TGACTCAAAATCGTTTTCAATATTAATATTGTCATCATCAATATCACTTAAATTACTTAAAGAATTACGTAAAAGTCATGGAGTTCGTCACATCACTGGAACGGAGATCATAACCCATTTTGAACAACTCACTACGCACGCACATCAAACAACAAAACAAAACCAAACCATAGGTTAAACAATTAATTTGCCACTATTTGCAAACTCACGACAGCTGTTTCAGTTCAGACGGAGAGAAACAACATAATTATAACGATAAAAATACATCGCTAAACAGCCGTCTTCAATGGTCACCATGAAATCCTGAATTAGCTGAACAGATAGTATAAGTAAGCTGGGACATTGATTACGCATATACAGGGTGTTTCAGTAAAGCGAGATTCAGATTCTACATGAAAAAATAAGTCGAAAATGCAGACTAATTTTTTTCTAGATTTCGGCTTAGTTTAGCCGTAAACCGCCATTTTGTATTTTTTTGAAAATAATTAATACCTCAAAAGCCCTTGGATATATTTTCATACAACTTGGTCTACAGGTATAAACATTCTCTGAAAATATCTTTGATCAGGCTTATCAAATTTTAAAATGGTGGCCATTTAAAATATTTAGGGCCGGTTTCTCCAAAGTGGTTTAAACTTTAGAAACGGTTTAACTGTTACTTTAACTGGCTCACCGGTTTCTCCATTGTTCTTTGGAAGTTTAACTTAGGAAAAAGTTAAACCATATTACCAGCTGGTTTAAACCACATATTAGGGTTTAACTCACTGTCTGCACTAAAATACAACATAACCCCAAATTCCACTGTTGAGGCATTGACTACATTCAGTATAATGATCTATAAAAGAGGTTTGTTTTAACTAATATTGTCATGTATTACATATTAGACATTGGTTTTATATTTATTATTTCCTGAATTCATTTAATACAAGATATTTATTTATTTATCTTCAATTATCTTATTACATTTTAAGGTAGAACTGGGTAGTAATAAGTATATATAAGTTTAATAAGAAATAATACGTTTGTGTCAGTTTTAGTTCGGGGAAGACTTGTTCCTAACCCATTTAAGTTTTACGCTAGTTAATAAAAATATTGACTCCTGTGTTAATGATATTTTTCTTATCTTTAATCAATGTCTTATGGAATGGTTCAACTACGTCAATTGAAATTATCTTAATATTTGTTGTTCGTTTGTTCTGTTAGGGTAATCTTTTTCATAGTATTTTGTCTTACTCTTGGGTTTGTGCAGGTTTTTTATGTTTATTTATTACTTTTTTCATTTGGAGAAATAGCCTCTGGATCGTTATTAATCATTGTTATAATCTAAGGCTTACCTTACAATCCAATTGATTTATTGTGGAGACCTAGGTTTCTACGCCGGAGCGTTATCGTCAGTCCTAGGCTAAGCTAAACCTTTTGTGTTTCATCTCTTACTTGAGATATTGTCGGTTGAATAGAATTTTTACAAATACAAACACTGAATATACATAAATATTTACAAAAACATAGTAGAGAGCTTTGATGCAGGGCCATGATCTTGTCAATCCTAACCTCCAATGTTGAGACGTGATAAGGAAGATTTTAATTTATTTAATTAATTTATTTTATTTTTTTTATTTTTATTTATTTTTATTTAATTTCCATATTTGATTATACAACTATTACGAATGCGAGATAATAAACTTGGAATTATTTATATTAGCTGACTTCAGAGTAGCCTATTCCAAATAAACTATGATGTGTCACTCTTTAGAACCTTCAACGTCAGTTGAGTTTAGCATCATAATTAACCTCACTTTTCAGTATCGGTTTTGAGTACAATGATGCGAAGTATCGAGTATCGGCGATTCTTCAAAACCACTGGTATCGAAAGTATCGAGGTAACGAGAATCGGAATCGGCCCATCCCTAGTTTGGCTGAAAGGTAGTGCACTGCTAAGAGTATTTGGAAACAATACAAAAAATAACTCTAGTTCTGGGAAGTACACTAATTGTGTTCCAATTTAAATCTTTTAACTGTGTGAATGAACTGCTGATTTGCTCCTAGATTACCTTCCAAGGGGTGGGAGGATCTTTATCTTTTAGGACAGTTAGGCAGTAGCAAAGGCCCTGAGCACCTGTGTGGTGGAATCAAGGTTGGTAGATAAAGGTATAGATAGGGACTAGGTCCTGTGATACAATAAACAAATAACCTCAAATAAAAAAATCCATGGATTATGGATAAAGGACAATAACGGATAAAAATAGGTAGTATAGTAAAACCTCGAATAACCATCATTCTTTTAACCACCATCTTCTATCCACTAATTCAAAAATGTGTATTTTGCTATTTTCATTGTAGGTTTTTCCCATGCCAATGTTTTGAAAACAATTTAAAGTATACAAATTTTCCAAACTATAGTAAATTATTAAGGCATTTTTGTTATCTTGTATTAATTTAGCCGTGATACACGTCCCACCCGTGACGGTCATTAGAGGTTTTACTGTAATGGTTATTCATGGTTAAAAGGAAGGATATTAGGGAAAACTCACCAATATCAAATGATTCCAAAGTGTTAGTCTCAACATCAATAATGGGTTCCAATCTCGCTGAAAAGTTAGTGTAATTTTATAAGTAGAAATAAATGTGTTACTTTGTCCAGTAATTAATATATAACAAAAATCAAAATAAAAATGGTTTATTCTTTAAGTCCGAGGGCTGTGCAGGAAAAAATTAGATCTTTCGGTCTAGCAGCAGTAGATAGGACTTAGGTGATTATCTAAGCTTGATGCAACAATTAGTGATTCTAAAAACAATGCACATCTACAGTGGCGGCAATAAGAGCCCACAGGCCCCCCCACCCCGCAAGTTTTTTCACCGGCCCCCTGCCCTCCCTCAACCCAATAATCTTTAAAAACATTATGACAAGTATTTCCGCCTAACCTTGCACTTTTGCTTGGGATGGCATCTCCCGAGGCGTACTCATGGTCTTGCATGATCACGACAAAATCGTGAATACTTCCCGTAGTTGTGAAAACATTATCGTAGTCTGGCGTAATTGCAACCAAACCTAGGACATCTACAGATAACAACATCATTGTCTCCCGCGTTCGCGGCCCAATCCCTAATATTTCATGCGGTGATGGAAAAAATAATTTTTTCTGCAATCACCTGCAGAAAAAGAAACGTCATCATCATCTTCTGCAATAGCGTCAAATCTAGAATACCGTGCACGGTCAAGGAAACATTATAATCGTCTTCCATTATTGCAGCAAAATCCTGAACCTCTCCTGGTGTGGACATCATTATCCTCTTCCGCATTTGCGGTAAAATATTGAACATCTCCCGGGTCCGCGGAGACATTGTCATCGTCACCAGCGGGGAAATGTCCTTGCGGCAAAAGCATAATCTTTCACACGGGGAAATGTTCTCGTCGCTATCCGCCAACGTGGCAAAAGCTTAATCATTTAATCTCGTGAACGTGATCCTTGCAGACATAAAAGCTTTTACTTTTTTTTATAATTTTTATTTGGGTAATTTGTATTGAGTATTGTGAAAATCGGCTCGAGCTCAATCTTCTATCTTTGTGCTTGATCCCTCAAGCTTGTAGGCCAGGCTCTGTTCGGCTCGAAAATCAATATTATATTCTATATTAAAAATCTACAGTTTCCAAAGCAAACTGATTTTGAAGCGACCAGATTTTCGTCTGAGGCCCATAGGTAAATAACATTTTTTACCTGACTCAAGTAAACAAATCTAGTGTGCAGCCTCCTAATAGTATCAATGTAAGAATGGAATTATTTATTAGCTTGTGTCCTAGCCTCCTAGGTTTATTCGCCGATCTAAACGTAAAAAAAAATACATGGCCAAGTTCATAATTAGTTGAATTAGCATAGAGGGCCCTCTCCGGTGTGACCCGCCGGGGGCCACATCAGTTCTAAACACAGCCCTATTATAGCGTGTTCACACAGTCCACGAGGTCAGTTGATGCAACCAACAAGACTGATGACAATTCTTTTACTTAGGTTAGTATAGAATTTCTATCGATTGGTCAAGTGTAGTGTCAGTTTAGCTGTTTTAAACTAATTGTCCTAGGGCTCTTACTGGTTTTAAATTTTCGTAACAAAAAACTTATGGTAATTCTCATATAAATATTGTTATGATAGTGGGGCCGTGTGGCAGAGACTGTCACACCGTCGCGTGCCCGGTCAAATTTCCCCTAAAACCCCGGTCAAGGCTCGCGGGCCCACTATCGCCACCACTGCACATCTAGTTAGAATAGCTGCTGGTATCTACTGTGCCTCATTAAATTTAATATTCCAAATAAAAACGAATCAAACCTAATCAATAATAAAATAAGGTAAATAAATAAACTGTTCAGACCAAGACAACATTTTAGATTTTGGTTGAAAAAATGTTTAGTTTAACTCCACCTTAAGTTGGGGCAAGCTACCTGACAGGAGGACAATGACCAAAAGGACATGGTTAAACAGGACCTATGATTAAATTCCACAAGTTAAACCTCACTGGATACACCACTTGAAAGTGTAAAATGTAATGTATGGTTATAAAATTTAGTTAATTTTTATCTGAGTACGGGTGAGTTATCATAAAACATACAGTTGTGCATTTGTACCGAGTTAATCGGCCGGCTTAGGTGCAGGAAATATAAAATCTGCAATTAGTATCAACTATTAGGTCAGCTGATTAACGTGGGACAGGGACAAAAATTGTTTGATTTATCATAGCTTAGATGTTAATGCCTTTTTTCAGATAACCAATTAATAAAATCTTCAAATTATTAATTACATTTCCACTTTTAAGTGATGTAGTCAATGAGGCGCAACTGTTTTGATTTAATCACAGGGCCAGGCAAGCCAATGTCATTTTTTACCTGTCTGGTCAGGTAGCTTGCCTCCTCAACTTAGCTTGAGACAGGTTATAGAGAAGAAAAAACAGAAAGCAAATACACAAAAACAAATCTGGCAATTTAAATCAGTAACAGATTTGGTTTGACTTACCAAGGGGTCCGCGGCATGTAGGGCAGCAAGTTAGTTTAGGCCTGCAGCTGCTGCAAACGAGGTGACCACTCTGACATTGTAGGATGGGCGGCAGCACATAGTCAAAACACACAGGGCATTCAAAGAGGGATGCTAAGTCTGCGGAAACTGGAACCGATACTGCACTGTTGCCCCCCACCTGTAAACAGAGTCATTCATTTATGCCTAAACTAAACCTTGATCAACAATTTCGGGTTAGATATGGCCAAAATCTAAGACAATAACTCATAGATAACATGACAATGAGTTTGTAAAAGGTTTTCTTTTAGCTGACCACAAAAATGAAAGTAATTGTTATACAAAATGAGAGAAATTGAGCAGCAGCATCCTTTGTATTTTAGTTAAACAAAACACACATTTTTGTACCTATATTAGAAATGTTTTGAACAGTGATGATAGAGCTTATAGTTTACCAGCTTAACTGAGAAAATTTAAATCCCGGGGCTAATTTTTGAACAAGTAAAAGGCCAAAAAATATAGCAGTAACTTATCTACAGAGCATTTATCTTGAATCTACTCTCTGAAATGCCTAGCATTTGGACAATACAAAATGTCTGTGTATATTTGGAATAAAATGTTATCAGATAAGCTGGCGGAATTATATTAATTAACAATCCTTATCAGCCATCTTTAAAATGTGAGTCTAAATTGGGTTCTTTTGCTCTAGCCTAAACATGTCACACAGACGCCAAACAGCTTGTTAACAGCTATTTATAGCTACACAACACAGTAAAGAACCTAGTTATTTGCTTTTTTCCCCTGACAATCAAAATTAATACTAATACCACCTCCATCAAACTGACACAGTTGTGTAGTTAGCAGCCAAAGCCTTCAGTAGAGTTGCAAAAAACTACTCTGCAATAGGAATCACTGAATGTATGATATGTAAATCAAAGATAACTTGGTAAACTAAACTGAAAGTAAACAGTACAGGTAACACAAGCTGCAGTTTATTCCAACAAAGCTAGAACTGAAGAGAGGAGAGATGTAGAAGAGTGAGTCACAAGTCTGGACTGAGGAGAAGGAGAAAGAATGCTGGCTCAGCAGCAGATAACAAAACGTCAAACACTGTGTTGGCTGCTATAATGTTGACTGTCTTTTTTATTCAAAAGTATTTACTAAATAAGTCTTTGCCGATTTGAATGTTTAACAATTTACAGATCGATCTTAAATAGTTTTTTTTAAACTACAACTACAGTATGATAATATCCTTTAATACCTTTTACTTGTCCAATAGTAAGAAGGCTCAGATAAGATAAGATAAGATAAGATCTTCATTTCCATTAGATATTCTTTTGAATACATTGGATATGTCAAGTTACAATATATAATCTATACAATACAATAATAAATTAAACAAAGGAGCTATCTTTGTTTATAATAATGTTTATTGTATAAGCTATAATACAATAACAAAGGCTATCTGGTATTATAACGTCAAACTTCAAAATAAATCCAAATGTTAACTATAGACAGAAATTAGGCTTGGTATTATTTTTCAAAATTTTTTTGAATTTGTCAACTACTAAAGAAATTTTATCAAGTGTTTGCCATTGATTTGGGTGCCTAACTGTTAAAGGAAACAGTTCAGATTTATTTTTTTCCGTTTTTGTTTTTAGTATGATTAATGCTTGATTCTTCTCAATCTTAAGGACATCAATTAATAGTTTGTGTAGTAAATTTTCCATCAGCCTAAGAAACCCCATATACAAATAGATATCAATATCCCTTATCAACTTTTTAATGGGTTGTGTACCGGGAAAACTAAACCCAGTATTACGGTAACAAGAAACTAAAAAGTACTTTTTGGCCTGTTTGAAACTTTTGCCTGTGACCCCAGAATGGAGTATTTAGGGAGGCAGCTCAAATATTTAAATACAAAGCCCCATCAGGTGATACCTCACTTCAAAGGATATAAGTAGAAAACAATACCAGCGAAAACTAGAAGTCCCTATCTCAACCAAGTACAAAGTTGCGGCATGTTTTAGATTTAATAAACCTGAGCTCTTGAAAATATACATCAAATTAGAAACAAAAAACTACTGCCAATGGATTTCTATTGAATGACTGTAAAACTCGAGAAATTAAATTTACATTGAAACACCGCCGCAGCAAACCTACCAACTAAGCGAATTTCCATTTGTCTGAATTAATTTTTAACTAAATCTATTTAAAAAATACCCCCGCCGCAGCAAACCTGCCGTCTAAGCGAATTTCCATTTGGCTGAATTGATTTTCAATTGATCTATTTAAATAACATCAGGTTTAACGAGTACCTAGGTTTGCTGCTACAAGGAAACTAATAAAGTGTGTTTTTGGTAAAATATTGATAGCTTACTATAAAATAAATAAATTTGCCAAGTTTGATCAAAATATATCCATAAACAAGCAAACTACAACATTTTACAATATTCTCCATAAGAATAACATGGGAATTTTAAATTTACAATTTTTTTAGTTTTCTCCGTAACCAATAACTGTACAAAAACACTTTGATATACTGAATTGTTTGTTTTTTTAAGCTCTTTAAGAAGGTTTAGAGAAAAATTGGGAGATTTTGTGTTTTGAGGGTCAAAAGTGAGAAAAACCAATTTTTACCCCATAAAACCCCCCATAAAACCCTGTTCCCGTGGTCCGATCATGCTGGATCGCGAACTCATTCAAGTTTATCCCGCCTTACACCTTCAAACCAAATTTCATCAAAATCGGATAAAAATTACTCAAGTTATCGTGTTCACGGACACATATATATATATATATAAATATATATATATATAAAAATTTGAACGAATGGTGTTTTTGGCCTCTGGGGACATCAAAATGAAAAAGTAAATCGGTCCCGGGCCTAAGTCTTACCATGAGACCTACGGTAATAGCTACTTCCCTATAGGGAAATTCGCTAAAAAAAACATTAGGCTTAATGAGTAGGCCTACCTAGGTTTGCTGCTACAAGGAAACGAATAAAGTGTGTTTTTTTAGTTAAATATTAATAGCATAGTATAAAATAAATAAATTTGCCAAGTTTAATCAAAATATATCCATAAACAAGTAAACTACAACATTTTACAATATTCCCTATAAGAATTACATGGGAATTTAAAATAAATTTTTTTTTTAATTTTCTCTGTTAGGCCTACCAAGAACCGTACAAAAACTTTGATGTACTAATTTTTTTTGTTTTTTTAAGCTCTTTAAAAAGTTCTAGAGAGTAATTGGGAAATTTTGTTGTTTTGAGGGTCAAAAATGAGAATACCCATTTTTTCCCATAACCCCCCCCCCCCAAAAAAAAACCCCGTTCCCATGGTCCGATATGCTGGTTTGCAAACTCATTTAAGTTTATCCCGTGTTACAAAAATCGGACAAAAATTACTCAAGTTAATGCATTCACAACAAAAGTTGGAACAAATGGTGTTTTTGGCCTCTGGGGACATAAAAATGAAAAAGTAAATCAGTCCCAGGTCTAAGTCTTACCGTGCCACCTACGGTAATAGCTACTTCCCTATAGGGAAATCATAATCATAATCACAATACCAGATTTAAAAATAGTGCCATGTTATAATCACATCATCTGAGTAAGACTAGCAAGAGCCACACAGTGTTATCAACTGAAGTATACACTAACTGGCCAAATGCAGTGGGTCAACCAAAAAACATCTTACCTATTCAAAAACTACATGCTACAACAACCAAGGCAATCAATTAAGTTTATAAATCAAATTCTTGTAACTTGGATAATAAATAGTTATTTGTGTAACAAGAGGACGACACAATTAGTGGCACTTTGCTGCACACAAGAGAAATGCTTACGTGGAAAGGTAATGGAGTACAGTAAAGGCAATTTGCACTCGTTTTACACATAATATTTTTCCTACAGTTATTATAAAGCTTAGAAATAATTAGTCTTTCAAACACTAAACAACACATTTTAGGTTAGGTTAAATCCAAGCATTGAACGAAATGGGAAACACTGCAACAGCTGATCGTAGTCATAGTATCTTTAGGTGTTGCCAACCTATTTCCAAGCGTACACAGATTATGTGCATGATAAAAGCATGCTGTTTTGTGTTGTTTAGTTGGAATACTGGTGTGCAGCAAAAAAAAATGTGCGGCAAAAATAAGTAAATGCAGCAGTTAGCAACTTTCTGTACTAATATCAGTGCAAAGAAGCCTGCTTTGTCAGGTGACTGTAGGGAAATTTTAACTTAAACCTGTAACTGTATTTATCTATTCAAGTTATTTGTCTTGGAAACTGAGCCATAAGTTCAACTTTGTTTAAAAGTTACAAATGGGCCTATTTGCTGAGATAAGCCTTTACCAAGCTTACAGTACCTGAGATGTGGAGGTGCTGCTTGAACTCGTTTGGCTAACCATCGAACTGTTAGTTCCTCTTCTCTTAGTGCTATTTGCATTCATAACAACACTCATTGTAGGTTCTAAAACAAAAAAAAAAGAGTTACCAAAAATAGGGATTCATACCTAAATGAAGCATTCTTAGCTCTAAATATCCCCCTCCCCCCGCAGCAAACCTGAAGAATTAGTGAATATGCATGCACTATGGCGGAGCCATATTTTATTTCGGAATTCATCTCCTCCTCCCACTCATCGAATAAACATCACCCAAAAACTACACTTAATGATAAACTAAGGATCTAGAAGACCATCTGACAGCAGCAATTTTAATTCAGCTTTGTTAAAGTTCCTGAAAAAGACCTTGGAAGAGTCATATGTTTTGACTTTTGGCACAGTGGGTTTTTATTAAAGGATATGAAGTTTTAAAACCCAGTCATAGACTACAGCCAAAAACCAAGCATAGTGCTGAAACCAAAAGACAAAGGCACCACTGGTGCAACCACCCGTCCTACTTTCCCTGTTAATCCAACCAGTTAATTAATCCCCTGCCCAAAAGCTCTTCTGAACTCTTATTGGTCTAATATGCATGGGTTGAATTCAAAAATGCACGGACGGTTATTTCATAAGGTAGGTAATTAGTTATTTGTGTTTTCAGAACACTATATGTCTTATGATGCAATCAAGCTTGAGAAAATAACCAGATGGGACTTTGTTACTGCTTCTTGTAGGAGCAATCACATAAATGATGGCACTGCCCTTTATGTTAAAAAAAAAACTCTTTGATGATGTTAAGCCTATGTTAACACGTTGACTGCCCTTTAATGTGGCGCGCGCTGACAAAAGGCGGCACCAGACCAACAGAAATATATTGAGTCAGTGTGAGCTTAGCCTCAGACGGAGACCTTATAATCGTTGCCAGACTGCCAGCTTGTAATGCGAGCTTTACTTTGGTGTAGGTTGGTACTAAAATTTCCTGTAAAATCCTGTCTGGCAATGCTTTTGTCCCGGTTTCGGGGATTTTTTCTCTTCAACCCACATTACAAAGACACTGGATACGGATCTGTGCAGTGCTGCTACCTTTGAGTGTTTCAGTGAACTACATCCACTCTCGGGGTAACGCAGCACAGTCACCACTGCTCTTTTGTGATTCGTCAGACTGAAATATTTGAATGCCAATTGCGTTCGCTGATTCGGTTGCGTGGCGGGGCTTCGCCCACCACTGGGGAGCGCCTGTACGTTGTTTTCAGCAGTCAACGTGTTAAAACTTCTGCTCAAAAAGTAACAGCAAACTTTCACACCGCTTGCACTAAAGAATAAAAACAAAGAGGTAACTCCGTGGTTTAAGTTTTGGAACAGAGCCAATTACAGTAAACCTCACTTGACAGTCAACAGCTGACAGGGTGTATGTCTAACTGGCTTTGTTCTTCTATTGTGTTCGATTTTTCAACTTTTAATTGTTGAATATTGAACATTTCTTTATAGGTACTCATGTAGGCCTAAAATAATAAATGTATATGTAAAAATTAGTCTGTTACGTATTCATTTATTGTCACTCATTAAAAATTGTAAGGTTATGGATAACTCAGCAAGTTCTGGGTCGACAAATTGTTGAGTTAGTGAGATTTTACTGTAATTGTTGAGTTAGTGAGATTTTACTGTAATACAATAGGCTAGCTTTTCTTTTCCCATGGTGTTCCTTGGTTTCCTTCTTGTTCCTACAAGAAGGAAAGCAGGGACTCTCAAAAGAAATTCAGGGCTATCTATGTGCTTCACATTTATTTTCCAGTTACTATCCTTACATCATGAAATTGTGCTGGTTAGTAAAATGTTAGCAGATTGACTATATAGTTATATCCAAAATTCTGTCAAGTCTACACATAAGGATGTATATTCAATTTCTAGTAATTTAATTAAAAAGTCATCAATTATCTTACTACATTATGACTTTCTGCTTAAATTCTTGTATTGAACATTGTGTCTTCCCACCTAGCCTTAGGCCGGCCACACACAGAACTGGGCAGGGTGGGGCGCCACAAGACGCCCGACTTTCACTGTCGTGCTTTTGTTACGCAAGATAAGTAAAAAGTTTCACAAATTTTCTTCACTGACACACTTACAGCTCATAAAACCATCTCGCTGTTAGCGAGCTCAGTGTGAGTATGGTTGAGTGTAGTGTAAGTGTATAGATACATCTTTTTAAAATGGATGACGATAAGACCGTTTGGTTAATTCAGAACTATCTGCAACACTTGGACCACAATTTTATCAACAGAGAGATGTGGGTACACCCCATTAACCAGAAAAGGAATATAAGTAAGTTTTATTTCTGAGCTTCATGCCAACCCAGCCAAATTTTTTGATTATTATCGCATGTAAATTCCGATATTCAACTTTATACTTCTAGGAGTATTCGGAGCAGAATAGAAAAAAAATACCTACTCGAGATAACAGCCATAATTTCAAAGGAGCAGCTTTTGATAACCTTAAGTAGGCATATATAGTTGAATGTAGGGCGAGCGAGGGGTAATAGATCCAGTGGATAGACCAGCTAGATAAAGCTATAGATCCAGTGGAGGGAATAAATCACGTAACCGCACATGCGCAGAACGTTTTGCCCGGCAGTGACTTGCCTTAAATAGTTGGTAGGCCTATGTGGGTTTTATGTGTTTGAAAAATAATATACAAAACATGTGTGAATAACAAAATATTTTTCTAGAAAAATATTTAAAAAGGCATAAATATTTATTGTAATGATCATTTTCCATGAACAACTCTTACTTTATTTGATCTCCAATGTTATTGCCTTTACAAAAATGTGTATTTTTACTACATTTCTTGAAAACACATTTATTTGGTTTTTGTTTGAAATTTGTGGTGCAAAATCGTGAAACTTGCCATTTTATTGTTTTTGGGTCATAACTTTGTAAAACTAAATGGTAATTTAAATATTTTTACATTTGCATGTAGGGAAAATTCCAAACATTTTGTAGAGGCTATCTTGAATTTTACATGAAAAATGTTTGGTTCATGCAGGAAAGTTTTACTTTAAAGTTTCAAAATTCAAAAAACAATTTTTTATTTTTTCCACCTAATGTCAATAGGCCTACTTACTGTTGTAAATATTTATTCTATTGCAATTTTCAAATTCTCCATTTCACTACGAACAATTCAAGTATGCCTATATGGTTCAATAGGTTTTCTCTGGTTGCTCTGGGTCTTGGTTTAGTTTATATGAATTGCAAAAAAAATCAATCAAATATTTTTAAAAAAAATTAGTTTTGTTGTCAACTGTAGTTGTTTGACTTTGGTCCATCGCTTACTTTGTAGTTAGGTATCGATGTCATTATCCATTAGTAGTACACATGTCAATCTTAATCTATATAAAGCACAAAAAAGGTTATAATAAACACACACCAATCCACATGAAAAGGACTGGGTCAACTAACTCATCGAGACTTGTAGAAATTTGTGTGTAAGAAAATTCAGGCAATTGTACGGGGGAAAAGTCAAAGTGGAAAACAAAGCAACAGAATATTTAGGGGTTTTTCCATTATACCTACAACTAACAACAAAGTCGATAAAATAAACCGTACATTTGTGACAAGCCATAGAGTGTATGCGTCAACAATAGTAGACATGGGTCCAGTAAGTATAGACCGCGTGTAAACTATAGTTGACGCCGTTCCGTGGCAAAATTCATTAGGCCTCTGTCAACCATAGTTAACGCTGGTCTGCGGTGAAGGAATTTATTAACATGTTGGTAGCGAACATGTTAGCCTAAGTGAGCTTGTGTAAAAACAATTCCTCAAAAACAGGCCTACACTACTTTTTTCCAGTGTACTCTTTTGCACAGCCTAGCTCTGGGGTGGTGCAACTAAAGAAGAAGTACTTCTTCTACAAAAGAAGGCAATTCAACTCTTATCTAGTGCATATTGCCTAGCACACTATTAACCCATCTTTATTATTGAAGGTTTGTTGTCAATTTATAGTTTATATATTTTTCTTTTGTTGGTTTCAGCAAAGAAAGAACATTAAAAAGATGAAAAATACAGGGTGCGGCAGAAAGAACTCCCCTATTAGGAAAGCTAATAAAAACAAAACCAAGTAAGATATGACATTTTTATTGCTATTAACCAAAAACACACATTATGCCATTTTAAAAAATATAAAATTATAGTTCTTTAAATCAAATATCGTTTTAATAATTGATAATTTAAAATTATCGTGTTTTAAATAAAATGTCATTTAAATGGCGGCCTCCAGTGTTAACACTATCATCATAACAGCAATTTGGTTCAAACGTTCCCGGTAGTTGTCCATTGCCTTTCGGGTCATGTCGGGTGAGATGGCTGCAACTTCATGCCTTATTCTTTCCTTGAGGGCTTCTAAACTTTTAGGGCGGAACGATTGAACCAATGTGTTCAACACTGGAGGCCACCATTTAAATGACATTTTATTTCAAACACAATAATTTTAAATTATCGATTATTAAAACAACAATTTATTTAAAGCACTATAATTTTATATTAATTAAAATGGCATAATGTGTGTTTTTGGTTAATAGCAATAAAAATGTCATATCTTACTTGGTTTTGTTTTTATTAGCTTTCCTAATAGGGGAGTTCTTTCTGCCGCACCCTGTAGAAACGCTCCTTTATTTTTTACATATGCTTTTTATTAACTTATTCATTTTGTGCATACCTTAAGCTGTGTTTACATCGGACATCGGAGTTACAAACACATGTTTACAACTAATGTTCCTAAAACCAAGAAACACCTTACTTTTTGAACAGAAACATTTTGATGTTGGAAACAGTTTTGAAGAGTTTACAACAGAAATTTTGTTTCCTACCAGAAGTCTTTTAAAATCAAAGGGTGTTCCAAACATAAGGAAAATATGTTGGAACAAATGTTTCTGTACCTACTTCTACGCTGTTTACAACATTTCCCCGTTACACCCTGAGCCTACCTATCACCATGTGATTATCTTGATAGGGACTGACCTCGTGTTCTCGGGAACGTTGATTAAATTGTTTCCAATAAAATCAAAGAAAAGTGTACTATATTTTATAAACATTTGTTTTAGAAACAAGTGTTACCAATAAAAAGTTCCACAAACATTTTGTTCCAAACTACAGATATCCAAGTCATACAGATATAAAGGGCATGTTACTTTAGTGCTTTCACGAGGGTTGAGAGAGCAGTCATCTCAACCCTAGTCCCTAAGTCAAAATCGTAGGGCCTACAGCCTACTTTTATATAATATTATAAAGCTGTAAGTTTGTGTTTCTTTGGAACTCATCACACATTAAGGAATGGTCGATTTGAGCTGAAATTTGTCATGATGATAGCATTGATAGCTCATATTCCCCGTTAACATATAAGCCTATTTTAATCTTTAAAATTATGTTAGGCTTCACCAAAGTGGCTCTGAAATTTCTCTTGTTTACCCTGTGGGTATTCATCTAAGAAAAGAATCATCAAAGAATCTTGACAGATGTTTTAACTAGACTTGGCCTAAATAAATATAAGTTTTTTGATGTTCAATAGCATTGAATTTAAATTAAGAGGTTTGACAGCAGAGTGTACAGCATTTTTGGTTTGAATTTCTTATGACAGAGGAGCTGTATTCTAAACAGTAGCCCTCTAACAAAAAGCTGTGATTTATTACAGTTAGGCTAGATAGATTCGTTTATTGTGCGAATGGAGCGTTTTATTTTTTAAGTGCATAATTTATCAACTTAATGACTTTTTTTATGTTTAAAAAATCTAGGCAGGCCTGTTTAATTTGCATGTTTGTTTTCCCCCAAAATGATGTCTGGGAAACAAAGTGTGTGGTGTGTTTTTATTATTGTAGTAGCCTATTACTTATCAATGGCTTGGATGGAAGAAACTAATATTAAATGTAAGGTTCGGAGTAGGTACCCGGTACTGTCTGTCACATATTCAAATCACGTAAAAACTTACTTGACCAATTGAGCTGATTTTTTCTACGTACAGATCCAATAAGTTATATACCACGTAGACCTTATGGACACATGCATATTTTTACTATAATACACTCCTCGGGCTCTGCTCCGATGTTTCTATTTAATTATCACGAAAACTGGAACGGTACACTTAATATTAGAATTGCCAAATTGATATGAATCAGGTGTTTGAAAATGATTTTAGGGTGCTTTAGGCAGTGGAATTGACATAAGGCTTCCAAGTATTTTAAAAATCGTATCCTCGTTGTTTAACCAATTACAGTAGGGCCTACTCCAATAGCTTAAAAACAATATGGATGTAACACAAGTAACAACCCGGTAGCCTAGCGCAAATCCGCATAAACCTCGACCTGCCCTCCCCTCATGCCTATAAATAAGATTAATGTTCAACATAGTTCTTGCATATTTGTGATCTGGTTTTTATTCCAGTGAAGTTAAGTAATTTGAGTAAATACCCCCATGATGTGTTTTGTTACAACATGTTTTATGGGCCAAAGGTTTTCCGCAGAAAATGATGATCATTTTTGGAATCAGCATTGAATTTTGAGTAGAATGAAACAAAAAAGAGAAATTAAAAAATCGGGTACAGACCCTAAAATGCATATTAACCATAGGCCTAAATAAAAACTATAGCCTAGGCTACTGTAGTCTAAACTATGCCAAATTGATGAGTAAGTTGGCAAGTTTCTATCTCAGCTGCAAATCAGGCTTAATCTGCAGGTCTGAGACTAAGTCCCCTTGAATACTTAAATACTTACTTGAATCCTGCATCTTTGACAGATCTAGTCTGATAGATTGCGTCATAATTCAGAATCAGAATTTTTTATTGCCATAATAATACATAAATGTACAGGGCAAAAGTCACTAAAACTAAACAAATAAAATCAGACCCATTAAAATAAGATACAAACTTCAAAAGGTACAAACTATTTACAATTTAAAAACAAAGAAACACTGTAAAATTCCTTATCAACTAGATATTCCCTCAGACCACGCTTAAATTTTTTTAAATCATGTTCGCCCTTGATTGAGTTAGGAAGAGAATTAAAAAGACGGATACACATGGAGAATGATTGGTTTTTATGGAAAGTGGTACGAGATAGTGGAATATGTAGGTTAAAGTTCCTCCTGAGATTGTAGCTGTGGTGAGATGACCCTCTAATATGAAACATTGTTGAATTTTTTCTTAAGAAGGTCAAAGATTCAAAAATGAAAATTGATGGGAAGGTCAGCATATTATTTGTACGAAAGACAGATCTACAAGACTCTCTATATTTTAGGTTGAAGATTAATCTGATGGCTCTTTTTTGCAGTTTGAATATTTTCTTAGTCTGAAGTTTGTCGTTACCCCAAACGGGCACACAATTCAGATACATAGGCTACATAGATTGCCTAGGATACATTCAATCTAAGGTCTAACACATGCCTAGACCCAAAGCTAGCATTGTCTAGTCCTATCCCACAAACACATTTTAGATTAGGCCTAGAAGAGTCTCCAAAACAAATTCTATGTCTTTTGAAAGCAGGCATATACCTGCTTTCTAGGTAGATTCCACTAAATTACAAGGTAGGCTACAAATATATACTTAAGGACTTACACAAAGCAACACTATCAACGGTTATATTGTACCTAAGAAGTTAAGATGTGTGTTTATCTTGTCTAGATTTATTATGAGCCTAATTCTAAAGGCCTAGGCCTACAATGAACTGGGAAGAAAATGTAAAAAAGCAACACCCACAAAACAAAAGAGAACAATTTGTACGACTAAAATAAGTTTTCTATGTTTGAAGTGTTAATGCGATAAGTCTAATGAAACATAATTTTCATAACCATGCAATTTACCATTGTAGGTCGCATGCATGACTATAAACAATAATAGGCCTAGGTAAAGTTGTCATGTATATCACTTACGTTTATTTTATCGTAAGATCGGGTGGAGTGGCCAAAGAAACAACTATTACGATGGGTCAATCTATAAACATGGGCTTTAAACGAAAATGGTTCGAACATTACAAAATAGTTGACTACGAAGAAAATTAACTTCACCTAAGTTAGAAGTAAAATGTAACCATTACTATCGTTTCTCTTCGTTAGTAAGAGATGGCTGTCTATTGGCTAATAATACCGTCACTCAACAGTCGCCACATTCGACTCCGACATGATACAAATGAAAATCAAAGTGGTTTAAAATGAAAATTTGTGGGCGTATACAAAAAGATTTTTCATAATGTTATTATTCAACATGTTATGTTTAATATGTTATATAAATGAGTTTATTGAGAAATTAAAACTCTGCTTTATTGTGTGCAGCATAATACAATTATTTTATTTATTTTACATTCCAACGGGCAGCTCCATTTGGATACTGATAAACTTATAATCAAGACTTGCTCACGACTAGTGCAATACAATGGTTGATAGTAAATTGAATAAATTAGTTAAAGAACAAAACGACAAAAAATAAGTGACAGCCAACAAGAATAGTAACTGTAATGCAAAATATCAATCCAATCCATTCAATTAAATAGCTCTTTCGTATATTATCATTAAACAGCTTAAAAAATTAATTAAACTATCTTTGGATTAATAACCCAAGCAGTTTCTTTAGGGAGTTAAAGGCGGCCGTTGACCAATCCAATAGTAAATTAGATCGAGGAGTGGGAGAGTGAGCCGGTCTAGTAGTAAGAGCTGGACTTCGGTCTCCAATGTCCTTGGTTCCAAAACCCCGCCTGTTTCCAACTAAAATGTTGTCTAAGCATAGATAACAGGAGTATAGACATCGGCCATATGTTTGGGATAAACATAGAGACCTTACGACCCGTGCCATGGTCCATTCCTACAACACCTGGCAGAGAAACATGCTGGATGTTCCCCGCGTTAGGCTCTCTAAGACAGCTGCTAGCTGCTACATATCAAATTCAGGGGCTTAAGCTCTTTAACAAACTGCTAATGGCCTTTAGGGGCTGGAAAATGGGTTATCTCAAGGACAAGCTAATGTTGCTAATGAAAGAGAGAGCCTACTACAGCATCTTTGAGTTCATGAATGACAAGGAAATAGCAAACATGCGGTAGCCATCTTTTCCATTCTGGAAGTAATTTTTAACTTGTATATATGTATATATATTGATTTTTTATATCTTAAATGGTTTTACACGTTGTGAAGTATTTTTTCTTTTGTGCGTGTAAATGAAATGTTTTTTTTATTTTTGTTGAGACGCAATCCATCCCTATTTTGGGTAAAAGATGAAGAAGGAGTAAGTAAGTAAGTAAGTAAGTAACGCAAACCACGCAACGAGAAGCTAAATGAGCCGTAATGTAACTGAGCCATCTAATATTTTTCCACAGGCTCGTATAGTATACTAGCCCGTTCCTATTATTTATATTAATTCAGGATTTTGGCTCGTATACTATACGAGCCAATTCCTGAATTATAAAATAATTCGTACGCTTGGCTCTTAGGTACTATCTGTAGAGTAAGTGAACCCTCTTCATTTATTTTATATTTTCGATTGGCTCTTATAGTATATGAGACTGTAATGCAAGTGAACCTTTAATATGATATACGAGGCTCGCGTAGTCTATGATCTGTAGAGTAAGTGAGCTGCCCCCGGAAGCAACCAAAATTAAAAAGTTATATGTAAAATATTGAACCACGCGGCTGCCGTGTTTTTACCTAGCAAAGCGGCGGCCGTGGCAAAGCCAGCCATTTTTGGCAAAATAAAAAAAAACAGTACAGTCCCCGGGTTTGACTTAGGGGAGGTACGATTGAGGCATTAGTTCAAAATTCCTCCATGAACAGCGCTGTAGTAGAGAGCATTTTGGCAATGAAGGTTTACTAATCGCAAAAATAGTTCTGTTCATAAAATAAAATTATAAATGCCTCTAATTCAATTTTATAATTTTTTATTATAAAATTACTATCATAACTTAACCGAACTAACCAAACTTGCTGATAATGAAATAATTAAAAAAGTGTATTAATAGATAAAATAATTCTGTTCATTTAATAAAACTAGAAATTGCTCAATAAAAATTTTATAATAATTGAATAATAAAATTAAACTGTCATAACTGAACCAAACCAACCAAACTTGCTGATAATTAAAAAATCTTAGTCAAATAGTTAGTGCCACCAGGGGGATTCGAACCCGGGACTCTCAGCATATCAAGCCGGCACGCTGACTACCAGACCACCGAGGCCGATGGCAGTTTTCCGTATTGTTACGGTAATGGTGTTCCCTCAGATAATGAGAAGCCCACATCTGTCATCGTAAGCTCATCTATACCTCCCTTGAGTAAATACCACAGTCCACTGGTGGAGTCCAGTCTCCCAAGTCTCAGTCGTCTGAGTCGCCCAGTCCCAGTCCCAGTCGTCTGAGTCGCCCAGTCCCAGTCCCAGTCACCCAGTCTGAGTCTCCCAGGAGTCTGTCAGTGACTCACTGTCACTGTCACTGTCAGTCAGTCAGTATCAGTAATCTTTAAACCCTAATGTAAACAAAACAAGATTTACATGAAATGCATTTAATTTTAAGTAGTGGTTGAAATATATACTTATTTAATATCAAAATAGATGTTGAACGTTTGTTTCCCCTATTAAAGTTTCAACTACAAGGATTTAGTTATATTCAAAATTTAGTTAGTTTATTTGTGATACCAACAATGAAGGATCATCCTGCCGAGACAAGGACAGAACTGAATCTTAAGAATTCCAGGACTAGATACAATTGTTTTTTGTCTTAAGGAAGCCTTTAAAAATCTGTGCAGTGAACCAGATCTCAATTAGTTTTTCTCACAATGGGTTCAGTTCAAAGAGCCTTTGCTCAGAAGCTATCAAGGTAAATATGAGTAGCTACATAATCTTAGGACCTGTGATTAAGCAAGTTAGGTTAGGATTTAGAAAATAATAAGATGGACTTGATTGGTTTAGTTAGGGTTGCCATATGGTAATGTGCAAAAAAAGGGGAGATTCTAGCTGGTGGCCCCCACTATTATAGTGTATAAAAATGAAGAGGCAAAATTGTATTAACTTACAGAAACTGTATGAGTCATAAACTGAAACATAAACAAAATGATGTCACTGGCCCGAAAATAAACAAGTTAAGTTATTATTTTGATTTAAGTTTAATGGAACTGTAAAAAACACCCAAACCAGTCGTTACCGCTTTTAGCCTTTACACATTCCGGCCAGTGACGTAATTTGTTTACATTTATTGAGTCCATACTGTTTCTGTTCAATATTTGTGCTACAATGTCAACATTTGAAACGGTATGTTAGAGCGTATGCGAAAATATAAAATGTTGCATCGCTTGCTACATCTCACTAAAAATACAGAATGAAGTCAACAAAATGCTCTCTGTCTGCTAGGCTTTGGTAGTGAACACAGATACCTTCGGACTGGCCGGCAGACACAAATTGAAGGACAGGGGGCAAAGAAACATACAATAAAGATAAACAAAGAACGTTGCTGGCCAAAGTGAAACCAAGGAATGAAAAAAACGTTGGTAGAGAGTACGAGAGTTGCATTTTTCAGTTATTGCATAACAATATTTGGGACTGTAAATATTTATTTTATTCCAAAAGTTCTGTTATATAATGTATTTTAATAGAGTAAAAAAGAGGAGATTTCTCACTTTTTGCAGAAATCCCCCGGAGCTAAATTTTGACCATCAAAATCCGGTAATCTCCGGGGAAATCCGGGGATATGGCAACCCTAGGTTTAGTGAAAATTTACCCGTGGTAACTGTAGCCTACCATTAGTGGTAGCAGAGGCCACTGTGGTGATATGTAGTGAGGAACTAAATTTGAGTAATTGAGCGAAGCGAAGCTCTTTGGGATCAACTTCAATGCAAACTTTCTAACACATAAACTCAATAACGGCTGAACATATTTTAGCCAAACTTACCAAGAGGTTTTATTGTCAAATGTTTGGATGGTTTAGACGAGACCATCTTCAATTTTTGATAGGCAGAGGATACACGTCTGGTAACTGGACGTCGATTAGGCGTCCAGCAATTACTGTCATAACCTACCCTAACTAACCAAAATGCTGATAATAAAAGAATCGAATGAAGGTTAAATTCTGTTCATAAAATAAAATTATATAAGTGCCTAAAATTCTAACAAAAGATGTACCGGTAGGCCTACTGTTAAGAAGAAATGGAATTCTAAGCAAAATCTGTGACAAATAGTTAGTGACAGCGATGGGATTCGATCTAGATACCTACCTCTTGTACATCAGCCAAATTCTCTATCAACTACGACATGAACACCGATGGTTGTACATCGTATCATTGTGGTAATGGTGTTCCGGGCCCCCACAACCCGGTGATGTCATTGCTGGCCAAGCCTAATCCACGTTCAGTTACCGGACGCGTATCCTCTGCGTTTTTGATAATGCCTATATAATTTAAAGTAGCTAACTCAAAGTTTTTAAATTTTAACATTGAGCTTATGGGTTGTCATGATGGTTACAAAATAACTACGTAAATGTAAACAAAACAAAGAATGATAGCATATGTTAAAATCCAGCCACAACCTAAACACAGTAAGAATGAAAAAAATTCCGATGATGACCACTTATGACATAAAACAGAGAAAGTCTTAAGTTTACATTTAAGTCGCAAATGGATACTACCACTGATCAAATAGGTCCTACAGTCACAGATAAAACATACTCCGTTAGGTAGTGTTTTACAGATTTGATTTACGTAGCTAAATAAGGTTATAACAAATAACATTTATCTTAAACAATTCGTCGGTGAATCACATTCATGGATCCATCTCATAAATGGCAAACTTAAACACATCCATGAAGTAAGGAAGTGGTGAAGGAAGTAGTAAAGGCCAGCAGTGTGGAGTGATGGAACGCTTTGGGACATTTAGATTTAACATATATCTAAAATACTGAAATGCTATGGGAAGGGTGGGAAACAGGTCCACGACGTTGGAAGTGGTGAATGTAAAGGCTAGCAGTGCAGAGTATGGGAAAGCTTTTGTGCAGTTAGATTAATGTAGGTATCTAAAATACTAAAATACTATGGGAAGGGAGGGAAACAGGTCCACGATGTAGGAAGTGATGAATGAAGTAGTAAAGGCTAGTAGTGTGGAGTGTGGGGACGCTTTGGGGCATTTATATTAACGTATATAAAATACTAAAATGCTATGGGAAGGGAGGGAAAAAGGTCCACTGGAAGTGATGAAGTAGGTACATCAGTCTCAGTTAGTCTGGGCGCGCGGACCCTAGTGTACTAGCCGTCCTGAGAATTGCGGCTCACTCACCCCCACAGCCCACAACCCTCAGCCGCTGCACTGACGGCTTGCCGTGTTGGCCAGATGTTTTTGGAAATGAGCAATAAACACTCCCCTCTGCACCCCCTGCCATAGTGCGGCCGCGCGCCCAGACTAGCTGCGACTACTAAGTAGTAAAGGCAGGATTATTTCTACATGAACTGCAAAATTTGGCCAATATTGAGAAAATGTAGATTGGTTTAGATTAAAGGTCGGGTTCAACCAGAACTGTGGGTTCACCAGATGACATTAGCAATCAACACACAGGAAGAAAAAAAATACTGATAGTCTACAAAGGATATGTATTTAATGCCCACATCGTTACTAACGAAACTTGTTATAGTTGTGATAGTTCTGAGCAAAACTGATAAGTAAGTTAAATTGATGAAATAGTTGTATTTTGTATTAGGCAATAAATTTTGTATTACTATATCAATAAACATTTTATTATTACTTGATTAAAAACCATGAAACGTGATGGTTCTCCGCTCAATTGGCTTTCACTGCTATGAAAACAATCCTAGTTATCATGTGTCAGGATTGTTTGGGCTTGTGTGTTCAATGGCTCATCGAAAAATGTGTATAGTTAACAAGGTGTTAGAACGTGGTGCGGTATATTTTTTAACATTCAAACAAAATGTGTACGGTATTGAACTGTTTCAAAAGCTCCATATTTGATAGGGCCTTTAGTTTGCTTACACCGAGACCTAAAAAAGCACAATAGCAAAGGCCTGTCATCTAGAATCAAGAATGGGTTAATGGAAAGGAAACTCTGCTCGACTGTCGTTTGTCATAGATTGGATAAATATAAGTAACCTATGAAATAATATGGTATCGGGACCAAATTTACTCAGTATGAACCTGTATTGAGTCAGAAGTTAAGAGTCTTGCACTATCTCCAGATACCAACCCGACCTTCTGTAAGTTCTTAGAAGAGAATTTGAAACTCAAATATAACTAAAAATTGTCAGTTGCTATACAGTTTCTTTAGGCACTTCTCATTTATTATATGATTTATCACATATCGATATATCAATATATGTTGTTTTTAGCATTTTTGCAAATCCAAAATATTTGTCTAGCAGGTCCTGTCCATCTTTGTCTGGTGGTAGTAGAAGACTGATTTGGAAAAGTTTTGATCACATATTTTTATTTTTTACGGTGACAAGTAGATCACATTCTACCAAACTTGGGTAGGCATATATAGGCCTCCTTATAACCTAGTTTAGATGACTACTTAATGTGAAATTTGAAAACTGTGCACATTCTTTGTAAACATTGTACTGAACCGGCAATTTCTGGGTTTCACCAAAAAAAACTAAGGATAATTCGAGTCTATTTTATAACCCCTTACCTGTGTTTTATCGATTCTCTTTTCACGGTAGGCTATCTTGTCAGTAAAAAAAATCATGATTGTGGGAAATTATCACTATGTGCGATGATCGGGGAGATCATCGTGATGGTGCCATGAGTGTGGGAAATGATCACAGATGTTTCCACATTCAATTGATTCTCATGTAAACTGTTTTGAGGGTAAATTTTAACTTTCAAAATTTGTACGGTACCAAATTTCAAGAAGGGTAAAACCGTATCATGATTAAATAAACACCAGAACTTACCTGTTGTGGTCCACAATGTGTTGGCCGTAGCTTAGACTATGTGCCAAAGAACGTAGGCCTAAGTTAGTCCCTGACACCATAAAGTATAAATACACACCGACATGACGTATTTATACACACTGACATGACGTATTTATACACACTGACATGACGTATTTATTTATTCACAACAGCACTCAAAATCATCAAATAAAGTCAAGCCAACTGGTTTTACAAATAATGTTTAACCCCAATGATAACATAACCCACAAAACTGGTGTTTGTAGACAGACAACGACTAGTCTATCAAAACAATTTCCAATCAGCTGTTGACTAGTAGTTTGATTCGCCAAGAGAGCGTATAAGCCTCGATAGAACTAAGCAGTCATTTGACCAAGGAAGAGAAATATTTGTCTCTGACGGTCAACAAGTTCACTATCAGACTTCTTCCACGATCCACTATACAATCGAAAATGTATTCCGAAGGTTTGCCATTAGTTAAATCTATTTTCACAATTTACGTTCTTTTCGCATAGCTCACCTATTCTCGTTTCTAAATTTGAGTTAGACGAGTTAAATCTAAATTTTGTAACGCAAATTTTGCCAACTTTATTCTAGACCCGCCAGTGACTAGCAGTGGTTAAATGATTTTTTTAGTTTGGGTAAATTTATTAGTTTTGAAATTACAATTATGCTACTCCGTTCGCTTAGCAAATAATTACGTTAATTTATTCCATTCTCGTAAATGTGTGTTTTAATTTGAGACTTGTTATCAGAAGTCTCGTCTTTGCAGGCTATAGAATCAAGTCTTGGGTGAATCCAGATTTTAACTAGTACAAAGAATAGCCTAAATTTATTTAAAACTGGATCACAATAAAATCCTTTGTTTAGACTTACCAATTAGGCCCCAAAGACTCTGTAGGATTTTTAATTGTATTTTGATCAGTAAATTAGCGTACCTACATTCTTTTAGAGTCATTTGCTAAATAGTTAAAATTGTAACACGATTAGTTTTGTCTAATTGGCTAGGATAGAATACTCGTCTGTACTACAGAGTCAATCTTAAAGTTAGGCAAAATAATAAAAAAAAAACATTTTAACAAAGATGAGGATTATTTAGGCCTAGCTCCATGTCAGCGTCTGAAGGATTTCCTTAGCGCTTCTAGAGCTCTGAACCAATCAGTCAAAACCGTGGAACAGCTTTGTAACGACACGGCAAATTTTTGCATGCATATCGCTGTAAGACTAAACAAGAGATTACCAAACTAATACAGGACATCTCTATAAGACTATCAAGGACTCTGGTAAGGTTTGAAAGTGTTATACACCCTGATCAGCAAGCAAATTTTCCTTATATTAAACCTCTGCCTCGATGGAAACTGATGAACACCCACTGCTGACCCTATGTGCAAATGTGTACGGCCTTTTGCTATCTCCCCAAGCTATCATAACTATTTTTGCGTACATAACTATCAACTAACTTAACAGTAATCAACATGGATTGAACCCCCTTCCTACCAAAACCTAATCACAGAATGTGATTCATACTTGGCAGCACTGCTGATTATCCTTTGTATTGTTTGTGGCTTCTATGGTGGTGGTATAAGGGTGGGAACGGTTTAGAATAGTATCTATAGAACAAGACGTTAGTCTCAGATTTGAACTAAGTGACTTGGCCACTACCAGGCCCGCATGTGACATGCTATGGGCCCGAGAGACAATTGTGCCCCCTTAACTCCTTGTGAGGGAATTTTTATCTTCCCTGCGACCTCTGGCCGGGACTGGAGCTTGAAGGATACCTTAATTTACAGACAACCCTAGTAAATTGTATTTGAAAAAAATGTACTAAGTTAATTAAAAATTTGTTAGGATTAGGATTCAAGATGAAAAGGGTTTTCCATATCTAAGCCATATCTAAGGTGAATACAGTAGTTATTATGCTATTATTTAAAAATTAGTACCTTTGTTCGTCATTCAATTTGTCATGATGAAACACCGGGTAAGTAAATGCTCAAGATTTAATAACTATTCCATCCTTTTATTTAATTATTTTTTACAGCCAACATGCAGCAGAGGTTAGGAGACAAATTTCAGCACCTTTTGGTAGAGACCTTAACAAGCCAGAAAACCGTATGATGAGTACCTCCTCAGTAAGTTATAACTATATTAGACACCTTTCCTACATCCGGAACTCTCTGTGATGATTAACATCCAAAATAAGGAAATCGGTGAAATTAAGAAAAGAAGTAACTAACTCTGTGTTTAGCAAGCTTTACCCAGGTTGTTCAAAATACTAAGAGTATACTGACAGATTATATTCAAACCCTCCAAAACCCTGTAGGTATCCATAACTTTTTGATTGTTTTACAATTTTACATTAGAATTATCCTGTTGTTTGTTTGGTGACTTTAAAAGCATCCATTCTTATGATTTTTATCTAGCTTCCATCGAGTAAGTTAAATAAATTTCAAATTCATATCTATTGGTAGGCCTAGTTGATTTTTAAATGCTCTCCAATTGTCACAATGTTCAAGGGATTCAACGATCATCAGTTTTATTGTACATTATCACTGGCCTATGAACAGGCTTGAGTTCAGGGGAAATGGGCTGCAAACAGCTTTGTTCTCTCCCTCTCCCACTCAATAAAAGATTATTTAACATGACCCTGATTTGATGTCCTAAATGTGCATGTTTTGCTTCATACAGTGAATAAATTAGTCTTGAAACAAATCTGAATTTTTTAAACCAAAATAGATAGAAATATTCTGTTTGTGGCGTTGATTGTTAACAATGGTTCCGTAATTTTTTACATCAAAAATATTTGTTTACCCCCACAAACAGGGTAGTGGGTAGGGGGTGACTTATTTTTTTCAAATAGCAGCCCCTATTGAATGACCCCTCATTTTGAAGGATTTGTCAAGAGAAACACAATAACGCAAATCCGAGGTCAATACCTCACCCCTAGCCAAAATGGCGGGTATTCCAAAATGGGTGTTTTTTCACATAAATCAAATTTTGGAATACCCGCCATTTTGCCTAGGGATGAGATATCCACCTCAGGTTTGCGTCATTGTTTTTCTTTTAACAAACCCTTAAGAATGAGGGTCACTCAATAGGGGTTGTTATTAAAAAAAGTCACCCCACCCCCAACCCTGTTAAAGGGGTTGAAAAATATTGTTGATGTAAAAAATTGCGGGACCTATGTTACAACCATATCCACAAACAGAATATTTCTGTTCATATCAGTTTTAAAAATACAGATTTGTTTCCATATTTGTGAAATTGGTGCTTTTTCACATACAGTAAATCAAATTGTGTAATACCTGCCATTTTGCCTAGGTATGAGATATCCACCTTGGGTTTGCGTCATTGTGTTTCTTTTGACAAATCCTTCAAAATGAGGGGCACTCAATAGGAGTTACTATTTGAAAAAAATAAGTCACCCCCTACCCCCTACCCTGTTTGGGGGGTAAACAAATTTCTTTTAATGTAAAAAATTACGGAATGATAAACGCCACAAACAGAATATCTATATCTATTTCGGTTTAAAAAATACAGATTTGTTTCAAGACTTAATTTACACACTGTATATTGTTATACATACACTGTATGTATAACAAACAGTGGTGTGGTTGGAGCGCGGGACTCCGGTTCCTGGGGTCCTGGGTTCAAATCCTGCCAAATCACCAATGGACTTTATCTAAGTGATAATGCCGTAACCCCTAGGTCCAGCCTGAAGTAATGTGAAAAACAATTCCAGGCTCGTGCCTAGCGTCCTAGGACAAAAAAAAAACAAAAAAACTGTATATTGTTATTGCTATAACCAATTGTTACTAGTAACACCTAATTTTAATTTTGTTACAGCCCTCAGATGTTGTAGACCCTTTAGATTATGAAGAATTCATGCAACAACACCAACTTCTCATTGACAGAGACCCGTTGCGTAACATTCTTGATTTTCCTCCCAATGACATTGAAGTGTGCATTATTCCACGCAAAATACGGTTACAAGCTCCCCCTGTGCCTAAAGAACCATTGTAAGTAGCCTATTACCATTTATTTTTTCACATTCATTTTATTTATATTTATCTCGTGAATGGATCGAGGTAATAATTGTCTATCAGAGAATAAAAATTCATAAATTATACTTCTAACTATTGCAATCAGCTATGAATTATTCTTAGGGACCAATTTCAATAACATTCAAATAATTTGTCAGAGAAAAAGAGATATACACACAGTGCCAGGTAGCGTTTTGTATATTACAGGAATGTCCTCGTATCAGGGACTAGTAGCTGGCTGCAGGACCGTAACCAAGAGACATATACATGACTATGTGTATGTTACAGGAATGAGCTGAGTCCTCATGTCAGAGACTGTGTAGAGTGTTACACCAGGGACTATGTGGTGGTTGACTATCACTATCGTCACCACAGCAGCAGTAGCTGGCTGCGGGACCGTAACCAAGAGACATATACATGACTATGTGTATGTTACAGGAATGAGCTGAGTCCTCATGTCAGAGACTGTGTAGAGTGTTACACCAGGGACTATGTGGTGGTTGACTATCACTATCGTCACCACAGCAGCAGTAGCTGGCTGCGGGACCGTAACCAAGAGAGAGAAGCATTACTGCAGCTGGTACCTCATCAGGAGTTTGAGATTGACTTGGAACATTCTTCTTGTAATGGCTCTTCAGATGAGACCTCTTATAAGGTTTTTGATCTTACCTTATTTATATTTAATTGTAATCCTGTATGATGCATTTGAAAGCTACATGATGCTTATTTTTTTTATTATTAAAGACAGCAGAACTCAAACAAAACAGACTAAAAAAAAACCTAATATTGCAGGAATAAGTTGTGGTAAATAACAAAGAATTGTTATTTAAGAAGGCAGAAGCCTTGGCATCACCATCACATTCCGCTTTCTTGGAAAATTATCATCACCTTTTCGATGTTTATGATTATGAAGATAGCGTAAACTTGTCGATTGCTAAATCTTTGAAGATGCATTCTGTGAATTGATGGTAAAAGCTTGGCTTGAGCTTGATTATTTCTTTGGTGCATACAGTAAATAAAAGTAATTTAATTAAAATACCAAACATTTCAGTAAAAATCCAACCCTCCCAATTTTTTATTATCTCAATGTGGTATGACCCCAATTAATTTGGATATCAGCTCCACTCTATATAATTATTTACGTTAAGAATAAAAATTACTTTATTTAAATAACTAACTTATAGTTGGGCAGATTGCATTTTAAGCTATGTCCTCATGGAGACATTTTATTCGAGAATTTCTCAAACCTTTTCTTTACTATAATCTGTAGTTCAAAAATATATTCTATCAATCGACACAACTCGGTGAGGAAATCAATCTTTGTAACTATTAAGAATCTGTGCTGTTTTAAGGTTATTTTAAAATCAAAAGGAGTCAGCTAACTTTTCAAATTCTCACTAAGAATGTTAATTTTGAATGTTTTAAACGATAATGTTTAAATGCTTAAAATTCTTGTTCACTATCAATTATCCACATTTGTGCCTCACAATGTACAATGTCTGTATGTAACCTATTCAGATCAAGCTGGGCACAGAACGAGTGGTCACTTCAGACATGCCCCGAGGTAGCTGGGCGAGTTTTGACCTGCTCAACTCTGTGAGTGACCCTCTCATCACCCCTCTACTGGAGCGGATGCCAGCTGACTCTATTGACCAGATTAACCAAGTCAAGCGGCTGGAGAACCGACAGGTAGCTATTTTATTTATTTAAAAATAATTAACAAAATTCACAAAGATTTATCTTTGATTATGGAGAGTAATAGACTTCTTATTCTTGTGTTAAATTTGTTGCCAGTTTAGAAAGAAAATGTTCGTAAATGAATCGAGCCATCGACTGAGTGTGCTGCAGTCAGTATTTCATACATTGATTGATTAACCAAGATAACTGAAAGTACAACAAACTGTAAACTACAGTATCTATGAAACATCAGTTATGAAAGTACAGTACACTCCCGATTAACCAAGGTTGTTGCATAGTTGGGAAAGTTAGTCAAAATTTCTAACTAGTTAGAAGTTAGAAGTTAGTCCCATAAAAAGTAACTGATAGAAGTTACTAGTTAGTTAGTTTAAAAAGTAACTGATAGAAGTTATTAGTTAGTTGAAAAACTAACTGATAGAAAATAAAGTTAGTTTTCGACATTTGTAGAAGATATCTGTTTGTTGGACGGTTGTTTTAAAAGATTTCATATGTAATGAAATAATGACACATCTTGGTTACTAATTATTGTGTTGTAATTAAATATTAATTAAACATTGTCACATTTAGATTACATGTAATGTAAAAACATTCATTTCTACAACAAAATTTACTTTAAATGCCTATTAAACTTTAAAAGAAGTTGTTTTTCAAAATTGGTGTCGTTGATTCTTCCTCTCTGTTAGTGATGACTAGGCTTGCCGCTCTGAACAGGTGTTCGCAGTGAACAAAGGTGTTTTTTAATTTGTAGATTTATATTTGTAGTTATCTTATTATAATGTATTTGTTTCATGACTAGTGAATATTTTGTTAGTAAATTTACGTAAATTTATAACTAAATAATGATTTACACAATAGTTTGCCGTGAGTGAATACTGAAGCAATGTCAGTGTGGTAGTCAGGTACACATCGGCAACGTCGCAGATTCGCACGCGCTCCCGCCCGGCTGGGAAATACCGTACAAACACCAGGCGGCCCGCTACCAGTCACAGGAGAATAGAAATTTTTGTCTACAAATATAAATCTATTTAAAAACCACCTTTGTTCGCATTATAAAATCTGTCATATTTTTGTTATTTCTTGTGTCACGGCAAACACGATGGTATTTTGAACAAAATTTTTAGTGCCTTATTAACGATGTTAGCATACGTTTTAAAAATTAACAGCAGCATAAAAACTATTGTGAATAAAATTTTTAAAATGCATGGAAATGTTAACAATAAACCTACCAATAATCCATAAAAATTGCAGAAAGATTGGCTCAGTGGTTTGTTTACAAATAAATTTTAAACTTCAGTGTTAGTGCAGAGTTTCTTAAAAACCGGTAATTTTTAGGACCTTTCAACTATATACATTTTTCTGATAATTTTTTTAATTGATACCACGTAAAATGTATTTAAACCAGCTTATATTTAATTTTTGTTTCAACAAAATCGGATAATTCATCTCAGAGATATTTAGGCTCAAACTCGAGTGCACATATTTATTTCCCCGACAAAGGTGATACAAAAACTTGGCATCACTCTGTTTTCAATACCGTAGTTCAAAAGACAAAAACAAATAGTGATCATCTCACCTTTCCTGACATAAACATTACTTTCGATACATAAACATAAGTTACAACTGAAGTTCCCGGTTAGGTAAAAACACAGTTTGTTGATGTTCAATTAGCTGAATTTTACACTCAAATTTATTGTACAACAATTAATGGACAGCAATTAATGGTTTACGAAATATCAGATAATTTTTTAAAGTCTGACGAAGTAGTTTTTCCAGTGTGATAAAAGTATAGTTTAGTACTAAACTTAAAAGTGACCTATTTGTGGCGAGATAAAGTTTAAAAGAGCATGGGAAACACATTGAGAAATACACTATGACTGTACTAAAAAATAAAAATTATATTCATTCAAAAAATATATAGGCCTATTCCACTTCAAGTTAAAAACGAGACCTTCATACTTTTTCTCCACTTACCTCGAAGCACTTGTGACAGATGCTTTAATTATTTTTGTTTTGGGTACAAACACAATAAACATTTTAACGCGTTTCCACCCTTTTCATGTTTTCAACTTGTTGAAATATGTCACTTAAATTTTGTCACTTGATATCACACTCACCCGCCATTGCAAACAAATATTATTAATCTACTCCTATTTAATTAAAACTGTTCACCTTGATAACTTATGTATTTAAAATATTTAACTATCACTAAAATATATATAACGACAAGACAACTAAGAAACTAACAAAAAATTAACACCTGTCACGGTCAGATATTGAACATATCGACTGAAGTGAAGACATTGTTTTGACACTAGAGATTACAGTACATATCAATCGCCAAACAAACATTCCCCCTTCCCACCATTCGGTGCTTGGGGTATTGTTATTGGCTGCCCTTTGCTCGCCCCCCGGGTCTGCTGCATACCAAAGCGACTGGACTTTGACTTTCTCTTTCCCCACCCCCTGCGTTGTTTGTCACAAGGGCGCTGACCTCTCACGTACGCTTGCAACAACCCTCACTGAACACGTAAAATAAATAACCCTTACTGGAAATACTTTCGCCTGATCAGTAAAGCTAACGATTTAAAACTAGCGAATATATTATCTATTCGTTGTCTATTAAACTAACAGAGTAGAAGTTATTTCCAGCTCTTTTTAAAAACTAACTAATAAAATAGAAGTTAGCCAAAAAAACGAACGAATAGCGCTATTCGTTAGAATTTCTATTCGTTATTCCCAAGTATGGTTGTTGGGACCAAGACTACCTCGGTTACCAAGAATCTCGTATAACACGGAGGTCGCCTAGATTTTGAGGTTAGGGTTACGGTACATTATTATGAAGTCAAATACTTGTAAAATATATCTTATAACAACACATACTGTGGCAAATGAAAAATTATAATAATGTAATTTTTATGCAACCTTTTTTTCCAAATAACGTAGTATTGTTAAAGAAAAATACCCCTGCAAACAAATAGACAGCAAACCTGCCGACTAAGCAAATTTCCATTTGTCTGAATTGATTTTCAGTTAAATCTATTTAAATAACATTAGGTTTAACAAGTACATTATGTTTGCTGCTACAAAGAAACTAATAAAGTGTTTTTTTGTAAAATATTAATAGCTTAGTATAAAATAAATAAATTTGCCAAGCTTGATCAAAATATATCCAAAAACAAGCAAACTACAACATTTTATAGTATTATCCATAAAAATAACAAGGGAATTTAAAATTTAAATTTTTTTAAATTTCCTCCATTACCAATAACCAATAAACACTTTGATATACCAAATTATTTGTTTTTTAAGCTCTTTAAAAAGGTCTAGAGAGAAATTGGGAAATTTTGTGTTTTGAGGGTCAAAAATGAGAAAACCCATTTTTTACCCTATAAAACCCCGTGTCCATGGTCTGATCATGCTGATAACCGGGGCTCGTATATTTGGGAGTGTACTGCATCAAAAACAAAGAGAAAAAATAAAATGTTTACATAAGCAAACTCTGTGAGCGGCTCATTTAAGTTCTATTTGAATGAGGAACCATATTATCCAAGGCCAATGGTTTTCAAAAGATATTTCCAGAGATAGGCAATTAATATGAACACTTAATGAGATAACATACTGTCTGAAAAATTATTTGCAGATGAAGCAATCTACTGTACCAACTTGGAGAATTTGTTTAGCTCAAAAACTTCTAAATTCTGTTTGTTTATTTATGTGCAGGACTCTTTGTTCCTGTTGTATCCTGTTCAGCAAGTTGAAGAATTGGTAGAGAGAAGACTGATGCCTGAGCTGCCTTCAGAACACCAACCCCACCGAATTCTAGTCAAGTGCCTACATTTAAAGTAAGCATTCTTGACTAGTTTATTATAAGATGTAAGCTTTGAGAATTTTAAGATTCAAGATTTGTTATGACAAGCCATTTAATCAAAGAGAGTAGGCCTACCTGTTGATCCAAAACACTATTTTATGGGAATAACTCTAGTTTAAAAACTGGGAATGAGGCTAAAATGTATAAAGTTAAATGGATTTTTCTTACCATACACTAACGTTTTTGAATACACAATGTTTTGAGAGGAAAAGAACTCCTCCCGTTTTTAAGTGACCTAAATCTAAATTGACCTAATTACACTCTCTTGCCAATGGTATCAAAATAGGCAGGTTAGGTTAGATAGGGGGGTTAGGTAAATGTAGATTGAGGTCACTTGAAAACTGTAGAAGTTCCCTTACCTCCCAAAAAGAGGTGTAGTCAATACAATTAGAGTAGGTAAGTCCATTTCACCGAAAACCAAAATTTGTATCCTACTCATTTGTGTGAAATCGGAATGAATAAACCAAGTAGAGAAAACAAATTTTCTTGGAATAATAATTATTATCGATTAACATCTATCTTGGGAGGGTCGTGTAAATTATGTGGTTAAAAAGGTAACTTCCGGTATCCATGCTTAGCGACAAATGTCCAGAATATGCAGTTTGGACACTCTAAGAGTTGTTTATTTCTCATTAATATGTAAGGTACCAAATTAAAGGGGGGTAAAAAACGTACTACGAATAAATGAACACCAGAACTTACCCGATTTTTATCCACAATAGCCCACTCCTAGGCCTATGTGTTGGCCCTAGCTTCGGCTATGAGCCAAAGAACGTAGGCCTATTTTTAATCACAGTGAAGTACACAAACACACCCACCACTGCATATTTATTCATAATAGCACTCCTTTTCGCCAAATAAAGTCAAACCGACCGATTTTACGAGTATTTAACACCGACGACGACATAGCCCCCAAACTGGTGTTTGTTTGTTGACAGACGACAGACGAGAACTAGACAAGCTCAACAAGTGAATTTGCGATCAGCTGTTGTCTAGTAGTACTTGAGTTCGCCGCTTGAGCGCGTAAGCCTCGAGCGGACAGGAACGAAGGATTTTACTCAAAGACAGGATTATTCGTTCGTATGCCGCCTTCGAAGTAACTTCGTTGTTACATTCGCCCGTTATCAACGCTTGCACGATCTGACGATCATCGATAATTCGTTTACCGAAGGTTAGCTATATTAATCACTTTGATACAATTTACGTTTAACATTCGCATTCCCGTTTCCAAATTCGATTTTCAATAACTAAATTTAATAACTTAAATTTCACCGACTTGATTCTAGACCCGCCAGTTCCTGCCTGCCAGTGACTAGCGGTGATTATCGTTTGGTTTGATTTAAATCAATTAGTTTCAAAATTACGATTTCTACGAATGATTATTACGTATGTTTATTCTAATGAATTCACCGTTTGAATACCCCGAGACTTGTTGTCTGAGTTCTAAACCCTGTCTTTGGCGGGCGAGAGAACCTAGTCTTGGGAGTAGGCTGATTTGAACAATCAGCTACCAATATTAGTATTAAATTTATCTTAAATCATCTCAAGTTAAATTATCCGTTCAATTAGATTAATTAGGCCCGACAACTCTGAAGGAAATGTTTTACCTTATATTCGATATTATATCAATTACCCACGTCCTTAACCATTTATTTCGAAGTTTAATACGAGTGTCACATTGGCTTAAGATTAAATACTCGTCGGCCCTACAGAGTAATTCTAAAAGTCAGGCGAAATTTACCAAAACACTTTTACAAAGGCTGGGATGATATAGCTCCAACTGGGCGTCTGCAGGATTTCCTGAGCGCTTCTAGAGCTCTGAGCCTTCGATTAAATATAAATAAATTGATCAGTCAAAGCCGTGACAACTTCGTATCGACCCCTGGATTTTTCTCGGCTCCTTCTGAGCACTCCGGGGAAGAAATTTGAGTGTGGCCGGTTCTAGGGGTAGGCCTTGCCTGACTTAGGTGAATACTAGTTTATTCCCCTCCCCTAGAATTTTGCGTCACAAATACATTCGCCAGGGTGGCGATTGACCGGGAAAAGCGGGGAAATATAATATAAATACCTCGTCACAGCTCTGTAGTTACTGTAGATCTACAGTAACTACAGAGCTGTGACGAGGTATTTATATTATATTAGTCATCAATTCAGCTCAGGGGCTAAACCATGTGTATTGAAAAGCGGGGAAACCGGGAAAAGTCAGGGATATAAAAAAAAATTCCCATGTTATTCTTATGGAGAATAAGTACTAACAACTGTTAGTTGTTGTTTGCTTGTTTATGAGCATATTTTGATCACATTTGGAAAATGCATTTATTTCATACTAAACTATTAACATTTTACAAAAAAACATTTTTTTACCCTCCCTGTTGCAGCAAACCCAGTGTAGGCCTACTCGTTAAAATAAAAATGTGATAATTTTAAGGAGACATTTTAGTGTAAATCCAATTAGGCAAATGGAATTTCGCTTGTGTCCTCCTCTAACTAATGTAAAAACAAGCAAAACAGCTGTCGTGTGCAATTCCTATTAAACTCAATAATGCTGTAAACTTCCACCCAAGCCGGACACTATTTTTAAGGTGGGCCTCTCCTGCTACACATTGTTGAGCTTAGTAAGGATTGCACATATACGGGATTGGAACTAGTAAGGCCACAAAACTAGTCGTCAGTGTCTTAGCCAACTGAGCTACCATGCCAGCATTGGCCGAACGGGACAAGTGCCGCTATAAGCACACTAGCGCTCGAAGGTGAGATTCAAAAGGCTAACGCCTCCAGCTATACTCAGGCTTAGGTTTTAAAGTGTTAAAAACATAGCGAAAATGCAATTGGACAGTCATAATAGTATACCATTATAACTCCTAAAAGTATTATTAAGTGAATAATTAAATGGGAACAATAAATTTATACAGTGGCGACTTAAACTGTGACTTACTCAAACCTGGACGTTACGACTGCAGACAATTGACAAACATGATTGACCCATGCAACATGACTATACTTCCACTTGACCCGACTCATCACACTGCTGAAGCTGATACCTTACTAGACCTTATTATTTTGAACCATCCCGAGGTTTCAGTCCACCATGGCCAGCTTCCAGTCCCTGCAATTTCCCGACATGACCTTATTCATAGTGATCTTGCTATGAAAGCTCGTAAGTCCAAACCCAAAATAATCTCTTACAGAAATTTTAATAAAGCAAATTTTTTGTCTGATGTAAATTTAATCCGTTGGCACTCCATACACACCCTGGAGTCAGTTGATGATATGGTCGGTTCACTTAATGAAGCCATATTAAAATTCTATGGCTAACGTTTGATGCCACAGGTTCTGACAGAATCCCAATTTCCGAAATTTTAGAGATAACGTATTTATCTCTCCTCCCAATATTAACTTTCATATTCAATACCTCACTGAGATCATGCATTTTCCGAGAAAAATGGAAGTCTGCGCTTGTCCGTCCCTTGAATAAGATCTCATCCCCATCGCTTCCGCAAGACTACAGACCAATTAGCATACTCCCTGCTCTCTCTAAAGTCCTAAAAAGAGTCGTTTCCTCCCAAGTTACTGAATTTTTGTCACATAATAATATTCTTAATAGCTTTCAATCAAGTTTCCGTAAATTTTCAGCACTGAAACAGCAATGCTTCATATTACTGATGATATACGATTCGCTATAGATTGTAATCAATGCACTATTTTGACATTATTTGACTTCAGTAAAGCTTTCGATACAGTAAACCATAGCATTCTTCTAACCAAACTCCAGCTTATAGGATTCTCTAAAATATAACTAAAATGGATAAGATCATATCTTCAGAGCCGAAAGTAGTGTGTCCGTCATGACAAAATGACGTCCAACTGGAGACATGTTCCCTGTGGTGTTCCTCAAGGTTCAGTTCTTGGTCCACTGATTTTCACAATTTACATAAATGACAATACTGCAGTATTACACCATGTTAAGTTTAATTTTTTTCTGACGATTTGCAAATTTCTTCTCATTTTAATGTCAGTGATACAAATAAAACTATTGACTATATGAATGTATGAATGAATGAAACTATTGAATCATGACCATGACATCGACAACATTGTTCAATGGGCAGCAAAGAATGGACTAAGACTCAACCCTGATAAAACAAAGCCAATCATCATAGGTCACTCACGGTTACTTAGCAAACTTGATGTAGACAATTAACCAAAACTCATTGCAATCAGAACCACTTGAACATATCAAGACAAAGTGAAAAGTCTTGGTTTTATTATAAACCGCTCATTAGACTGGACTGAGGCACGTAAATACTTGTAAAAGAGTATTTGCCGCTATTCATACACTGAAAAAGATGCAACAACTCCTACCGTTTCACATTAAACTCTTACTGTTCAAATCACTTGTGTTTCCGCACTTCAACTACTGCAACACTGTGGTCAATGATATGACTGTGGCTTTGGCAACAAAATTACAACGAGCTCAAAATTATTGTACTAGATTTTTGTTCAATAGGCGTGACGACCACGTCACACCATATTACATAAGTGAATCAATTTAGAAATTAGATGACATCAGAAAAACCCTAATAGTTTGCATCACTCATTCAGCCATCAATCTAGGAACTCAAAATTATCTTGCAAAGAATTTTTAATTTTTGCATGAGAGAGGCGTGAGGAATATACGCTCTGCTCGTTTACGATGCACATTCCCCATCACGGGACGACTGTGTATAATAAATCATTTGTATAGAACTCCATATCACCGCTTATTGAAACATATGGAATTTTAACAATGCCTTCACATTACATTTATAAAATTCTGGTACACTTCAAGAGTAATGCACAATAATTTATAAACAATTAATTTATTCATCAATACCCAACACGTTCAAAAAATAATTTGCAGTATCCAAAACATTGGCTATGCCTTTACGAAAGATCGCCGTACTATATGAGTCTGAGGCTTTACAACGGTCTACCTGCTCATTTTAAAAATATCAATAATATTGTAAAGTTTAAGAAAGATTTAAAACATTCCTTATAAAAAAGAAATATTATACAATAGAAGAGTATTTAAATGACTGTTTTTTTAAAAGTGACTAGTTTAATTTTAATTCTTAGTTTTAATTTTTATTTTTGTTAGCTAAGAAATGACAACGTTATTGTTTCACCAGCTTTGCTGGAAATGTGAAATGTTTTATGACAATAAAGTGATATTATTATTATTATTATTATCTTATCCCATAAAATCCATAGAAAACCAAGCCCAACTGAAAGTGGCGCTGAAGGAAAATTACCTTAACCGGATGGCCGTAGCTTGGCGGGATGGCAAGCATTAGGCGTGGGTGCAGCAGAGGATGTGTGTGCATGTGACTGTATGTTAGGGAAGCAAAATAAATTCATGCTATGTTATTTGCGCTACTGTATTTGCTTTATTACAAACTTTGTTCTTATAATTTTGTTAATATTTTGTTATTGTTAGTTTTTAGAGGTTTACTGTAAGAAAGGACCATGATGTCCTAAGTTTGCCTCAATAAAGAAGTATTTTAATTTAATTTAATTTAATTTCATACAATATACATTTAATTTTATTTTATATACATTTTTTTTGTATTTTGTTTCTCAAGAGTGGCAAGTGCTAGGGTTAGACACTGTCAAAAACACTTTACTACGTTCGAATAAAGAATCATTTTAAGACCTGTATGTATGATAATGTAACTTAAGCATTCGGAAGTTGACATCACATACAACTGTCCCACATAACTACAAAAATCATTTCAGGTTGGAACTGGAAGTAGAACCAATTTTCGCCTCAATAGCTTTGTACGATGCCAAAGAGAAGAAGAAGTTGTCAGAGAATTTCTATTTTGATATGAACCCAGAGAGCCTACGTAAGATGATTGAGCCCCATGTAGGTCAAAGTGACCCGAGCACGTTGAGTCGTGCTTGTGTATTCAACATTACTTACCCTTCCCCCGACCTGTTCCTGGTCATCAAACTGGAGAAGGTATGTAGACCCTCATTACGATCTGTTATATCCGAAGACTTAATATAAGCCAGATAATGATCAAAATTGGTGATCTTATGGTGGATTATAAATTAAGAGCTTTTGTTAAGATTAATAACTATGTAAATAACCGTCATGATCTTAAAATAGAAATCACTCTGATTCTTATCATCAGTAGAAAGTGGAAATTTATTATAATTTATATTAAGGGCAGTCTGACCCCCTGGAAAACATAATGATAACCTGTATCTCAGAACTGGTAATAGATAGAGCGCTTAACACAGTCTTTATCGTTGGTAAGCTGTCAGCCTCAGTAGCTCAGTTGGTTTAGTCGCTTCGACCAAAGCGAACACTGAGGGTTCGAAACCCGCCTGAGCCTCCTAGTACTAAGGAAAGTTTGTGTCAGTGCACAGGCATATGATATCGGCATCCTCGGGATAGGCTCCTGGCATAAGCTGCCAGGAAACCCAAGAAAGGCTCCGATGTGGCGGGCCTATGCCTTTATAATGGGGTGGATCTGATATTTATATGTTCTTGTGCACTGACACCAGACACCCGTTTTGCATTTTTAGAACGTCAAAACAAAGTAAAACCTTTAGACGATTTTATATTTTGCACTATTTCAATAAAAACCTTGCATTGCACACCTTTTTTCATATTTTTTATACTATATTAACATAAAAAAGTTATGTTATATATAATTACAAACGGAAAATTCTAAAGATTCAAAATACATAAAAACCTAAAATACTATTTTTACAAGTCAGACTGCTTTAAATTATATTTGTTTTACCCAGTTAAGATCTTCAATACAACATAACCTTTTTTAATGAACACCCAATTGTTTACTCAATTGAGCTACCTTAGAGTAAAGAAAGAGGTCCTTTTGACCACAACTTAAACAACTAAGCTTCAGTCTATAAGAAAAAAATGTGTTTTAGGTTCTTCAGGGAGATATAACTGAATGTGCTGAGCCGTATATGAAGGATGAAAAGGTAAACGTGCCACATTCAGTGGGTTAAAATAGTGTATATTATATTGCCTATGAGAAATAAATAATGCAGTTGAAGCTAGGTAAACCATAATGTCAGTAACTGTTATTGTTTTGCAACATATAAAACAATACTCCCTTGACTATATATTTTTTGACTGATGAATAATAAAATTGGCTTAGTATTCTTAAGTTTGCTACTACAAAGTGCATACAAGAGGGTTGTTTTGGTAAAAGTTTAGTTTATAAGTCTGATAGACATTTAAAACCCTTTAGATACTTTCTTTATTAAGAGTCGTAAAACTGCTTTTCACAGCAGTAAAAGTAAAGGTAGATAGTTTTGGTAAATATCTCATAAGGAACTAAGTTAAATAGAAAATTAACCGATAGTAATAAAGAAAAATTATTTCTAAGCTTAACTTTTAAACAATATATTCTTATCGATAAAATGTATCTGTGCTGTTCTATTGCAGAACTTAGACAAAGTGAGAGCCAACGCAGCACAGTCATGTGAGAGGCTGGGCAAGTACAGGATGCCTTTTGCATGGACGGCCATCTACCTGATGAATGTCGTATCAGGAGGCAACAGCCTGGAGAGAGATACTGGAAGTGACAAGGAGAGCACTGGATCCAATAGTCTTGGTAAGTGACTATGTAAGTTACTCTGCAAGAACTGCAAGTAGACTCTTTATCCGGTTGTAAAACCTAAACCCCTTTTAAATTTTTGTTAGCTTCTAAACCAGTGAAATTTTTCAAAGAATCGCAGACACCTAAGTTAAATAGGCTCAAACCCCTCAAATTTTTGTGGGACTGTCAGAGATCGAAACCGACCCTCCTCAAAGTCCAAAATGCTAACCACTAGACTAGTAACACATTCAGCCCGTTTTGTTGCATGTTCCTACCATGTACCTATTTTCTTACATAAAACTTCAGAAAATACCAACGGTGATAGAAAAGCTCTCAAAATCCAAAATTGTCTTAATCTCAGTCATTGAAACAATATTTGACAACAATTTTAATTTAGTTTTTTTTAAATTTAGTATTTGTTCAAATTTGTTTAAAATGAATGAACTTCAACCTGTAATTTATCAATTATCCTTTGGATAAGCTATGTAATATCTAAGGATTTGTTTACAATTTGAAATAATATTACGTGAACATTCTTCTCACTGATTTAAAATAATCTTTTTCAGACCGCAAGTCAAGTATGAGTAACTTTGAGCAGTTGCGTAAGAGAGCCAGTGATATGGGTTCTTTGACTAGACGAGGGTCTCTAGAAAGACGCACTAGCTCGGACAAACGTTACTCCTGGTCTCCTGAAGATTTGACATCTAGTCTGGATAACTTTCGACCTGTTACGCTCACGGTCACCAGCTTTTTCAAACAGGTACCTTTGTTGTAGTTTAATAGTTATTTTCTTTACACTTAATGCCAATTATTTTAATCTTAAGAAATTTATATATATTTCTCTTTTTTAATGAGAGTGAATCTATGATGACTTTATTCTTGCGAAAAAATAATTTTTTGACCTTTTTACTCATTTTCTTATATTATTTTATCATAATTCACTATACACAGTAAAGTACAATACTAAAGCTGTGACATATTAAGGTCTTTGTTAGTATAATATTTTACTAATCTCTCTAGTTATTGAACTCTACTGCTATATTAAGTACATAAATGGCACTATTACCATTGACTGTAAGGTTTGAACTTAAAATAATGCCTCTGTTCTGGTTAAGCTTATTAAAAAATTAAGAGCAGAAAAATATTAAATAAATTTATTAGAAGCAATATGCAATTTAGCTTGTTATGATTAAGAAGTCTAGGATTGTAAAGAGATTAGGAAAGTGTTGAAATGAATGAAGTTATATAAACACATTTACTCAGCCCATGGCACACTTGCATATTTGTTGCAAATTGTATTTATAAGTAAATCAACATAGATTGCAAATACACCCACAAATTAAATTAGTTTTTTCAATTATTTTATTTTACTTATTGTACCTTTTATCTTCAGGAAAGTGATAAATTGAGGGATGAGGATCTCTACAAGTTTTTGCAAGATCTGAAACGTCCTTGTTCAGTCATTAAAAAACTCAAGTCCATCCCTGGTCTCCTTAAACTTGATATCTCCCCTTGCCCTGAGGATATCAAAGGGTGCCTTACCCCTGAGTTGGAGCCTATCGTACCAATATCTGGTAAGTAACGTTAGGAGTCTTGGGAAATGTTGTTAAAAAGTTCTCAAACTCTTAGACTGGTCACTAGTGTGAAGCTTATATTAGTAAAACTCCTGAGGAATGAATGTGAGTTTAAAGTTTTGCTAAGCTCAATTACCATTCATTACCATCGGAGGAAATATTTGTCGGTCTAAGATGAAATTGTGATTTTTTTGCATACAATAAAAATAAATCACCTTGAGATATTCATAGAATAACTCTCACAAAATACCTCCTTAACCCTTTTAAGGCCGGCGGCCGTAATAGGCACCCGCGGCAAAATCCGCGCCCGCGGCCGGCGGCCGTAATAGGCACCCGTCTGTTATATTTGTCTTTACAGGCCACCTAAACGTCCAAACATGCTGTAATTTGGCATGAAGTCTTTATATAGTATATAATTTAGAGGAAACATACTCAATGGTCTTTATTTTTAATCTTCATTATGTTGGTAACTCTGTTTACTCAGCTGTCTGTCGGGACATTGTTAGTGTTGTCATTCCTTATTGGCAGTGTTTTGTTTATGTTAGTAAACTGTGTTTAGACGATTGTAACTTCTGATAAGTTAATTTTGTGTTTTTTAACGGATTGTAAGTGATTTTAAAATGTCATTATGAGTAAAAGAGTGAAAGAAAAGTCCCCGACTAGTGAAAATACTTTAGTGAACAACATTTTAGGTAGTGGTGTACAGTTTGTTGATGATGATGGAGGATTATGTGATAGTGATTTGGAGGCTATGTATGCCAATGATTCAGAAGATGAGTTAGAAAATGAATATAATGGGCCTAGTGATGATGACAGTGTAGTAGATGATACAGACGAAGACCCTGACTTTGAACCTACACAGTATCCACCAGAGAGTAGTTCAGAGGAGGAGGCTGTTCCATCAACTGCAACTGGTAGGCCTAGGGGTAGACCTCCTAAAAGTGCTAATTCTTCACATAACAGTGAAAATTTAGATAATGAGTCTTCAGATAGGCCTAGACGTAGACGTAACCGTAGGCCTAGGGTTGTCAACCAACCTGATCACAATGTGTATAATGTACAAACGCCAATTGGGGAGGCTGATGCAAATGAGGGTTGGGGATTGTACACAGAAGAAAATGACCCTGGTAATTGTACAAATCATGAATTTTTTGAAATTCCAGGTCCCAAACATTGCCCCCCAAATGATGCCAAACCAATATCCTACTTTTCCTTGTTTTTTACACAAGCCCTGTTTGAGCTGTTTGTCACTCAGACAAATTTGTATGCCTCACAATATTTTGAGAAGTTTGTAAATATGCCTAGTCCTGTGAGCTGGAAACCGGTTTCTGTATTGGAGATGAAGGCCTTTATAGCTGTTATTTTAAATATGGGCTTAAATAAAAGACCTACCATAGATAGCTACTGGAGGGTTAAAAGTAAAAGTCAAAGTTTGCCTTGGTTTAGGCTAATGTTTAGCAGAAACCGCTTTGAAACGATACTTCGATTTTTCCATCTTACAGATAGTACTTTGCTGGCTAAACCCGGTGAACCAAATTATGATCCTTGTGGTAGGTTCTCAGTTCTAGTTGACCACGCAAATCGGGTGTTTAGAAAACATTACACCCCCCATCGTGAGCTTTCTATTGACGAAAGCCTCATTGGTACAAAAAACCATACATCGATGACGCAGTACTTGCCAAATAAGCATCACCATCGGTGGGGGATAAAACTTTGGCTTATTTGTGACTCTGTTTCAAAATATTGCCTTGGTTTCTTTTGTTATAAAGGTAAAAAATACCAAGGTCAAGCCCCAGATGAAGCCCAACAGGAAAGCCTTGCATACAGAGTTGTTGTCAAACTTTTGGAACTTGGTAATTACCTAAACAAAGGTTACCATGTTTTCGTTGATAACTTTTTCATGTCCATTCCTCTGGCTAGGTTTTTGTTTTCAAGGGAAACCTACATAACTGGGACAATCAGGAGGAACAGAAAGGAAATTCCCTATAAGGTTAAAGAAAAACTCGGAGTGGGACATCAGTGTTATATGCGTAACAATGAGCTACTAATGCTTAGCTACAGGGGGAAAAAAAGTCAAAAAAATCCTGTGATCCTTCTGTCAACCAAATATAAGGCAAACACTGTGGAGAAAGTTAAAAGGAGGGACAATGAAGAGGTAACAAAATTTAAACCTGAAATAATTGATAGATATAATATGTACATGGGGGGAATCGATACATCGGACCAAATGCTCTACTGCTATTTGGATGAGCGACGCACATTCAAGTATTGGCGTAAGGTAGCTTTTAATATTATGGCAAGAATGGTCCTTAATAGCTACTTGCTTTATAAAGCAAACAATACTGGCAAGATTCTGACCAGGTTTGATTATACGGCAGAAATAATCGACGAGTTGGCTCAAGAATGGTTGGACCGTGATCGACCTGCTGCAGGTGGTGGAGATGGGCCAGGACAAAATGAATTTGGTATTGAACACCTTCCTGGAAGGTTAGAGAAGAACTGTTCAGTTTGCAGTATATTAAGTACTGCTAATGGGGGTCCTAGAAAGAGATCACGATACTGTTGCAAAAAATGTAAGCGAGGTATCCACCCCTTATGTTTTGGCGACCATAAGTGCTGACCTACCGTGTGTTACGGTATCAAATTGATGTAAATAGACCTTTTGTAAATAATTTTAAGTGTTTTACTACAATATAGTGTATGAATTTTCTTAAGTATTTTGTGGATTCTCTTAAGTATGTGAAAGAAGAAAATATTCTACAAGATAGTAAAGATAGACTTGCTTTTCTCTCAGTTTTGGGAAAAAAACCGCCGTTGGAACTTTCAAATAATTTACTATAACTGGACTTCTACTAAAGGTAATTACTTGAAAATTGGCATGTTAGCTATAAACAATATTTACTATAAGAAAATGCATGTTTTTTGGGTTTAAAACCAACTTTTATATTTTTTATTTGTTGTCAAAAATAAAAAAAATAAAAGGTTTTTGTACATTTTACTTACATATATGAAGATGTAAATTTTATAAAGGTAAAAATTACTAACACCACTATAGTTTTTAAACGCCTGTATTGTTACAAAAAAAAATAAAAAAAAATATGGGTTTCTGATAATAAATATGGTAGTTATGGCTTATTTACCAAAACTATGTGACGCGGAACAAAAATAGCCTGGCCTTTTAGGTGCATTACTCAGTAATAGGGCTGGCCTTGGTGACCCGTACACCACAAAAGTTGATGGCCTTAAAAGGGTTAATATTAATAGAAACTCATGGGTGATGTTTATTTTTATTTTTTGGATTGTCTAGATCTGCAAAGTCTCCTACCCTAGAGACCTAGGGAATGAACCGGAAACCATTGTCTAGTTTCATGATTTATTTGGGGCCTGAGATTCGATGGGAAATAAGATCCTGTGAATGAGGATGCACAATACGCTAAAAAAAAGAAGGGATGCTATAAAATGAAACATACAAAGACTTAACATACATATTTTGCTTTGATGCAGTACTAAATTGATAATCCGAACACTTATTAAACATGGATTTTTCAAATTGATATTTCTCTATATATATTGTACCACTGGAATGTGGTATTTTTAATACTTATTTGTTCCAGAAGAAAACAGCCGTCCAATAAAAGAAATATTAGAATTCCCAGCTAAGGATATACCTCTACCTCACTTCTTATACAGGAATCTTCTATACATTTACCCTAAAGAGCTCAACTTTACTGGTCGAACAGGTAACTTAATTGTTAATTTAAGAGTAATGTTTCATACTGTTGAACTTGTCTCGATCAATTCAATTATTTTCAATACTAGCAACAGAGCCCGTTGTGGTTAAATACAACGGTCTCTAGTAAAATAATGGTTATGAAATAAATACACAACTTTACTTACTAATATTAATGGTACAGATTAAGCACATAGGCTAACATTAGAATCACACACTTAACATAAGGAACACACTTTAAACGCAAATGCAAATTGTTAACAACAACACAACAACAACAACAACAACAACATTTAATCAAAGAAAAATCTAATAAATAACAATATAACTATAAGCTGTTAAATTATTAACACATGTTTCGTATGATTAGATTATGCATACTGGTAAACCAATTATTGCCATCAATAATTATTGGTTTTTCTTTTCCGAGTCAGGTTAGCTCTTCTACACGAACGATTTTCATAATTTTGGCCTTAAACTAAAGGTTTGGACTTTGCCACATTTGCCATAGCATGTTTTGACGTATATTTCAAGTTATGCACAAAATGCGTCCCTGTACATTTCTTATGGCAGTTAAATTTGGGTTTTTTCGAGTTCGCTTGGCTCTTCTACCCGTCCAATTTTCATAATTTTGTTCTTAAAATAAAGCTATGCAAGCACATATTTGTCATCAAGCATCATCATTAATTAATTTAATGTATTACAAAAAAAAAAAAAATAATAAATTATTTTTTACTTCAATTAAAGATGTATTCCAGCAGTTCTAATTACATTACCCTATATGTTTTGGTCTAAAAACCTTTAGTGAAAAACCAGCTTTCATTTGAGCTATCGGTTATTAAGATTCAGATCTGAATAATCCTACCTAAAGCACACTGTTGAATCACAAATCAATCAACAATAATTTTAATCGTTTTAGTACTTATCTGCAATCAATGATACGTAACTCTATTTTTATTTAAGTTATTTTATACGTCTTGGTCTAAAAATACTTCAAAGGCTTTCACTTGAGATATTGATAGTTTTAATCAGTTAAGTTAAAGATACTCTATCGCTCAATCAGAAAACATAAATTTGATTATATCTTGGATATGGAATTTAGTTTTAGATATATTTACTCAATTTTAATTATGTTATTCTATTTGTTTTGACCTAAGAACCTTCAGTGAAATACCAGCTTCCATTTGAATGATTGATTATTAAGATCAGACGTACCTAAAGCGTACTGTTAAATCACGAACAACCCAAATTGTTAAAAAATGGAGTTATTTATCATCGATTTATAGTCGAACAATCTTGCTTGCAACCTCAATAGTAACTGTCCACTTTGACGGGTTTCACCTAGTAAATCTTTTAAAAATTAAACTTACATAATTATTTGCAAATCTACACGAATTAGGCTTTCCAATGACCTATTAATTAATAAAATTGGTTCCGTAGAACTGTAGATTTAATTGTACAAAGTATAATAACATCTTTAATTCAGTATTTTCTCACCACTATAAATTGGAAGGTTGCTTAACGTTTTTGCAAATAACTTTGAAATGGTGAGTAAATCGACCAAAGTGGAAGGTGATATTCTGATAGAGAATAATATAATTTCATACAAATTACTATGTATTTCTTGAAAATACTCAATAAAGGCAGCCTAAAGTTGTCTACAAATATAAACTTTGAAAAAAGGCGTTTTAAATGTATTATTGTTTATTTTTATTTTTTCACCTCAATTATGTAATAAAATCAAACTTTCATAATTGATTGCAAATCTACACAAATTAGGCTTTCCAATGACCCATTAAGTAAGAAAATCGGTCCGGTAGAAGTCTAGATTTAGTTGTACAAAGTTAAACAAAAATATATCTAATTCAGTATTTCCTCATTACTATAACTCATTACTATAAATTTGGAGATCACTTAGCTTATTGCCAATAACGGAGGGGAATTCGACCAAAGTGGATGTGATATTCTGAAAGAGAATAAAATTTACTACAAATAATAAAAGCAGCCAAAAGCTGGTTACAAATAAAAACTTGAAAACAGAAACTTTAAAAAAAATTTTTAATGTATTTTTGTTATTTTTACTTTTTCACCACAAATATTTAATAAAATCACACTTTTATAATTATTTGCAAATCTACATGAATAAGGCTTTCCAATGACCCATTAATTAACCAAATCGGTTCAGTAGAACTCTAGATTTAGTTGTACAAAGATTTTTAAAACTATATATAATAAGTAGATTGCTGCATTAATTGGGATAATTTCAAACTCTCCTCAGAATGGAGCATGAATCAACAGATGATGTTTTATGTTTGAGTTTTTGCAAAATCTGTATAACCTGACTTAAGCATTTTTATACTAGTATCAAAGAACTTTAATCCGCTATTTACAACCCTGCAAGCAACCCTATTAGTGAACAACAGAATTCTTTATGTTCAATAATTACATAGTACATTGTCATCTGAACCTTAATCCGCTATTTACAACCCTGCAAGCAACCCTATTAGTGAACAACATAATTCTTTATCTTCAATAATTACATAGTACATTGTCAACTGAACTTAGTGGTACTTGCAGACATTATGATTAAGACTGGGACATATATATTTATATATGACGACTGGATTGCTAACCATGAGCTTATCCAGTTAGTCTGTTGAACAGAAACATAACCATGAATATCTAGGGAATTAATTAGTTTTTGTGCTATCTTAAACAATTTAAACTTGAATATTTCAGTGTCATGTGATGTAAATGTAGAAGTAAAAAGAAATAATTACTCAGTTTTAGCTTCTGGCCCATTTTTTCAATAACCCAGCATTTCTCAAACTAACCTTTTTGGTCCAAATTACACAGAGTTGGTGGGTCTTTACTGTAGCTTACTTAACATATTAACTTGTCTCGACTAATTAAAAATAATAACCATCCAGATACTTAGAGACTTATGTTCAATGTCAGGTTCTGCAAGGAACATAGCCGTCAAAGTTCAGCTGATGTGTGGTGAAGAAGAACAACATGCACTACCTGTTATATTTGGCAAATCATCATGTCCAGAATTCTGCGCTGAAGCATACTCAACTGTCAGCTATCACAACAGGCAAGTTTGAATTAGATTTTAAGTCATAGTAATTTGATGGCTACCTATGAAAACAGTGCAGCTAAAAAATGTCTTCACTTTTAAGGTTGAGCACAATTGCACAAGTAAAGCAGGTGATTCACTTTTTTAGCTATAACTATTTTGCTGTGATATGTTCAACCGTGCTAGGAAAAATCCTTCACTGTTCATTCCTACAACATGTTTAGGCATTTTTACCCTTCAGTGGTATATGTTCAGTGGTACAGGTTAAGTGTAAGAAAGAGCCATGTGGCCCTAACTTTGCCCGTGTAAATAAATGATTTTTCATTTCTTGTTCAGTCAGAGTTAAGCTTTGGTTGAGTGCAGAGTACCACAGTAGAGCACAGTAGAGTTTCAGTTATCCAACCTCCATTGTTATCCGACTCTCCTTGATCGAGTACTGTGAAATTGCACGTTTTCTGTGTGGAATGACTGAACATCATAGCAAGTGTGAGACAACCCCTTAAATTGCTTTTGTCTTTAAGGACCTTCATTGTGACCCTTGGTTGGAATACATTATTGATAAAATAAAAGGATTACCATATCCAACCACAGTTTTTGGCATGACAACTAGTTTCGTTCTTTAGAACTTTGTCAGGTCTGACTGATTCATGATGTTTCTTCTTCTCTCCAGAGTGCCACCTGTATTTCAGTTCTCTAAAAAAGTGTTTCTAAACAAAACCAAAACGAGTAATGAAAAGTGTATATTTTTATGCTGCACTAGAATGATTTATTTTACCCATTATAAGTACCTATAAGATATTATTTTTGCTCAATTTAGGTGTCCGAATTTCTATGATGAAGTAAAAATGGTTTTGCCAGCAAACTTGAGCGACCAACATCACCTTCTTTTTACCTTCTACCATATCAGCTGTCAGAGAAAGTTAGAGCAGAATACTGTAGAGACTCCGGTTGGATACACGGTAACTATAATTTTTTTTATACTATATTACTCATTATTTTATACTCTATAGTTACACTTAACCTTATTGTTTTATTAAATATTGATGTTGAGATAGCAAGCATACCTGAATAGAAAAGATCTTACCCGTCACAAAAAACATAAAAACCTTATGCCCCAAAATTTGAAATATTTAACTGATACTGCAGCTTTTTCCCTGTTTGATAATGCTTATGTTGAAACACTTGGTTGAAAATGTTTCTTGTGACAGGATTGACTCTTTTCCATTCAATTAAGCTTGATACTCCAAAAACAATCCTTAAAACCCAGGCTCTGTTCTGTATGTAACATTATTAACTTCAACCTGTAGTGATGACAGCTCAGTTTAGCCCTCTCCCCCAATAAGAAGAGGTGTTCCACAAGGTTCTGTTCTTGGCCCTGTGCTGTTCTCTTCTTCACAAATGATTTCCCATCTGTCTTAAACAACCCCTCTTTTTTGTTTCAAAACTGCTAAATTTTCCCCCGAACCACCCCCCCCCCACCCGTTTGCTGGGGGGTATTCAAAAACATAATGACCTCGTTATCAACACATCCAAAAAAGTACATCTTCATTTTAGCTGTGGACACGAGTAATTTCCAGATGCTGGCTGTCAACCCAGCATCAGAAGCCAAGTTGCTTGGAGTCACCATAGATTCTGATTCTGACCTTTCATGGAAGGCCCACATAAATAGGCCTTTGCAAGAGCCTTAGGACTGGTGCTTATGTGGTTCGATTGGTGGGCTGTCAACTGCAAAAACAGCTGATTTTTCACTGATGGAATCTCATATCAGATACGGTCTTGCAAATTGGGGGAGGAACATTTGAAGAAAACCTAACCCGGATTCTTATCCTACATAAAAAGGCCATCCGAATCCTTGCCAACCTGAACTTTGGAGACAGCTGCCGGGAAGCCTTCAAAACCCTGGGGATTATGACAATAGTGGTGCTGCATTTCCAGTCTGTGATACTCTTTGCTGATGGTGAGGAATTTCCAAGAGCTGAAGATCTCCATTCCTACAGAACAAGACAGGCCACTGCTTACTACCTGCCCATCACCAAACAACTCATCTTGAGAAGAAGCCTTTGTACACAGGTCGTAGATCCCAACGCTCTACCTAAAACAATGAAGACTGTAGGAGGTGAAGATCATAAGTGGCTGCTTCAGAGACCATTTTACACCATCAGGGAATTTTATGAAGAAGCAAAGAATAACATATGAAACACACATTCATTACTTATTTGTAGCATTGATTCATTTACTGTTATTGAAGATCAATTGTAAATCAAGACTATGACCTTAATTTACAGTAGGGGTCTGCCTGCGGTGCACTGAAAAAGTCGGTACGGTTCTGGCCTAATTACTGCCATCGGTAAGCGGTACAAATTCCATTCGGTACAGCCTATTGTAATAATAAATTACTTTCAATTTACTATCATAGTCAAGGTAGTTGGTTCAGAGCACATCAAAGGTTTATCAGATGTTTGTTTACACTTTTCATAATTTATTACTAGGGCAATGAAACCCGATTAGCAGTCACAAATCCATTAATATTTTATCACGATAATAATTGTTGTACTCAAGTACACACAAGAAATCGTTGAGCTTTATCACTTTTATTCCTTTGCGTTCCATTTTATTACTATCGTAATAATTGTTATGAGAGCTCACTTAACGCGGAAGTCACGATAAACCGAACAAAATGTCTTAAATATTACACACAAACACTCACATACTGTCTTTTAATTTTGAAGCACTTGGCTGATACACTGGGTCAGATATTAGTTTGTATTCATAAAGGGGAAATATAATAATTAACTATAAATACTGAAAAATTATACAAATACCAATGGAAAAATTACCAGATTTATGAGTCTATAGCCTATAATTGAGATAAAAAAAAGAACAATAGAGGGCGATTAATATCTTGAAAAAAGGGTGATGAATAGAGAAATTGACACAGCGAGTATCTAACGGTTAACTCCTTGAGGTATGGACGCCAACTGGACATGACACGTCAACAGCATTGTTTGGATAACAATTGTGCTTAGACAGGTCCAGCAATTTGTCTGCTAATGAGAATTGGAAGAGTTATACAAGGTGTGTTGTGGGTAGTACACAGAAAAATGTACTTTCCCGACTAGCGGGAGATCTAAGCGGGCTTAGCAAGAATTAAATGAATAAAACCAATCGCATATGGAAAATCCTTTTTATAAAACTAACCCTAGTTAATGAGATATAAAGAGATAGTGACTTAATATACACATTAACATAATTATTAAATCTCTAGAATATAAATATATGAGTACTGAATACATGTTGTAATGTGTATGTCCAGTGGATGCCCCTGTTTCAAGAACACAGACTGCAGGCTGGGGAGTTCACATTGCCTGTGACTATGGAACATCCTCCACCCAACTATTCCTACATCACACCGGACGTGCTGCTACCAGGCATCAAATGGGTGGACAATCACAAGGGCATCTTCAATGTTCATCTGGAAGCCGTCACTTCTGTACACACTCAGGTAATTTCCTCCCACTGTTGTAAAAAGAGAATATATTGTTGAGAAGTGCAGTGTAACCGGAATATCATACAGTGTAATTTGCTTAGTTCCAACTTCCTTGATAAAAACTTCTTTCATTACAATTTTTTTTCTCGGTCCTTAGAACAACTTTATGTTATCAATGTCAAAATAACATAGGTTATTCAATTTGATTATAGATAATTAAAATTTTTTACTTTGTTTTTTGAGTTTGGTCATTAATGTATGACAACAATTTGAGTTTAACAAGGTCAATGCGTAAAAAACTGGCATCCAAACACCTGGTGTTGCAACAAGTCCTAATACTGCACACGACATAACCCAATCAAGGCCAAGGCCTTTTCTTCCCTCACTTCCTACCTTCCACTCTTAATGTCAGTATTGCTGTTTCCTTCACAACCAGTCACTTACCGGCTCTGTTCTCCCATTAACACGTTTGCTGCGGCCCAACAAATGGCAGGCGTAGCCCCGGTGCGGGGCAGCGTCTAGTGAACCCGTTCGGCTTTCAAATATTTCAGTCTGGCGAACGTGTTAAAACCAAAATAACCTACAAATCTTTGACTCTTGTTGAAAAACAACAGAGATAGCCTGTAAATCATTAAGTTAACTGAATATATGTGTTTACAGTACAATTGTGCAATAGAAATCAAGATATTTCAATTTTCAAGCTCTTTACCATACTAAACTGATATGGTAAAATTTTGAGATTCTTCAAATTTTGGATGGTAAAGTTTTTATTTTTACCTTTGATGTTTCAATGATATAAAATTCCACTGTGTTCAAATGAATAGAAGGTTTGTTTTGCTGAACATCAAAGTTTCCTTGGTTGCAATAAGAAGTGGACTATTTAATGTTTTAGTTATAGATATAAATTGAAAAAGTATGAATCTTTTACCACTCTACAAAGTCTTTCCCATACACAGTTTCATGTGCCAGATCGGTCAGTTTGCAACCATTCTTATAAGGTTATTGGGAGATAGCTTCCTTTTGCAAAGTGGATTTCCCAGCACAACAAGATTGCAAACAACAACACAAGACTTGATACTTGACTTGAACATTAACAATATTTGATAATGGATGAAATTGCTGGTGATCAAATTGACCAAATTGTACTATTAAAATAAAATTATGTAGGCATGTATTTCAATCTAAATAAAATAATGTGTAGGCCTATATAAAAAAAATTATTCCATAAAAAATATGTGTTATAAAAATTATAATGCCTATACAATGGATGGTCCCCACAAAGGCAAAGCCTGTGTGTGGTGACCGAGTTGTATCAGTCCATAATCTTAGAGTCTATTTACAACACCTTATACTGCTATACATACTAATATATAATTACAAAGGAAAAACACTTTAACTAGGGAGCCACAGCAGATAACTTAAAACTTATGATGACAAACTAAAAGTTAAAAGAGGATAAAATAAGGTAAAAATAAAAATTTATAAGAAAGGATTTAATAATACTACCAAAATACAAAAGTCACTGGGACTTGGAACCATTCATACAACTTCTTCACACACACCACAACATGTACAAGGACGACATACGCACACGCACTCTATGAATATAATGACACAAGATAAGTATATGCAAAGAATAGTTATATACCTGTATTAAATAAATATATCCAAGCTAAATGCTTTTTCCTAAAAACATAACCTTATGTACCTGTATGTAATTTTCAAATCATATTGTTTCCAAACTGTAGTAGGGCCTTATTATTTTGGCCACTGTAAGCTTAGTAGAGCTTATTACCTTATGAATTAAGAACAAATAGTGCTCATAAACAAATTTACTATGAGTCACTTCCTGATGATTTTTTTTTACCATTTTGATTAATTCACTACATAGGTTTTTTTTTAGGTTGAAATGTTATAATATTATTATAATAAATGTGTCAATATTATTATAATTAATTAAAATCCTATTCATTATTAGGTTTTTTAGGTTGAGTTGGGTTATGTTAGACTAAGTAAGAACCAAAACATAACATAAAACCAAAATTGTGTATTGTTACATACAAATTATATAGTGGTAGTGAATTAACAGAAAAAATCGGTTTCATTAAAATAAAGGTAACTGTTTGCCAATCAAGCATATTTTTCTTTGTTACAGGATGTTTACTTAGATCACTTCCTTAACTTGTGTGCATCATTGGAGCAAGGAAGAATACCTCAAAGAATGCAAGAGTCAAGCGTTGAAGGAGAACTTAAAAACAGGTAAGTTATAATTGGATATAGTAGATCAAACAGATGCTAGTTTTTCCTACTTGGTTCAAATTTGTTTTATAAAATTGCTTTAGGTTTAAAATGTTTAGTTTAAAGGTATTTTTCAAATTAAAGTGTGTAGAAGGGGTAGACAGTCATATTAAACATTTGCAAAATCTTTGGTACGATTATCTGCACTGTGTAGGCCAGCTGAGGTTGTTCGTCAGTCATGTTCAAGTCAACAAATAAAGTTAGGGAAAATCTTCATGCAAACTGCGGTGTGACTGAATGAGAAATTGCTGCTTAAGAGACCTTAATTCATGGGTAGCCCTTGAATATATAATTCTATAGTTGTTTTTTTCGTTTTTTATTGTTGAATGTAAGAAGATTATGTTCATACTCCACAAAGTAGCGTGTTGTTTCAGCATTCTGAACCTGACCCATGCCAAGACAGAGTCTCTGACCAAGTTCCTGCCTCTTATCCTCGACAAGTTGATAGCACTCATGGTTAAGCCCATCTCTCTAGACAACATGACTCTCAACATCAGCCAGACTGTATTTGAAGCTATGACCAACATTGTGAAAAACATCACTGTAAGTACTAGTGGATTATTACTGAAGAGTCAAATAACTTATCTTATAGGCTATAAATTCATATATACAAATATTACAACATGCTTATACATTTTGTTTCCGGGGTAAAATAAATTTGAAACAAAAAGTATTCTTACTTGAACATGGTTATAGAAGACGACAAGCCTTGTAGGAAGGTTTCTTTTTGTACAGAGTTAGCCCACTCAGGTTAGCCTGCTGTCCGAACAAAAATCTTAAAAACCTAGGCTCTTCCGCTCTATGTTAAATTCTTTATCAAAGGTTTGTATGGTAATACAGGCTCTACAAGAAGTCAATCAAGATGTGATGGGTCGTCATCTTCTACTGACCTCTTACATCGCTTACCAGTGTGCCTTGCCTCATCCAGAAATTAAGGTCCAGCCTACACACTCGCCTTACGTCAGGTAGGATGTTTAAGAATGCCATAGTATGTCAAGTGTATGTTTATTTCTATTGCGTCAAACAAGAGCGTTCATAACTTTATATGAGTAGATAGAATAGGAGAAAGAGACGGCACTTGGAGGGTTTTTTCCCATAAGAATAACATAGTGGGTCATGTTTAGCCACATTTGTAAAAATCCTGCCCACAGCTTATACATCCCTATAAAAATTTTCCATATTATTGTCCAACCCTATAAACATTTCAAATCCACATCCATTCCCATATATATTTTCAAAATCATGTGAGATTTGCACCAGAACTCGGGCACGCTCCCGACCCTTAGGCACTGCTGCGGGCATGCTTCTCGTCTCTAGTGGCAACTCATGATTGAGTTCTGTCAACTTGAAATGGGTAGGCAACCCTACAAACTTTATCTCTTGTTGAAGTGATTTTTAGTTAAAAATTTCTAACTAAACTAAAACTAAAACTAAAAACTAGAATTCTTTTTTTTGCTTGATTTAAAAAATATATAGGTAATGGGTGAGGATTGGAAATATTTATAGGGTTGAACATTTGTATAAGGATATGTAGGCAAAGAGCCAAGTTTTTTAAAAAGTGTTCAAACAAAGCTCCCCTTGTTATTGTTATGGGAAAAACGCCCAGTGATGTCCTTCTACCATATTATAACACTTATATGCACAGACAGTTTTTTTACTTATTTTTTATTTTTTAATTTTTATTACGGTACTGATATATGCCCTAGTGATTCGGAAAATAAGATTTCGCGGACTACCCTTAAATTACCTAGCTCTAACCTGTGACTTCATGGCTGGGGAAAAATTTATGAAAATTGAAAAAAATGAAATTGAATTTGCAATTATTGACTTATGAACTTGAAATATGGGTGAAGGAATAATAACTATGAAATAAAATTAAATTGATGACTGCTTTGCTTACATTCTAAGAAGTTTGTTTTGATTTGTTTGACACACATTATCAAGCTTATATTTATTCAACTTATGACCTGAATGGAAGACATGTGTCCGCGCCTTTTGCATCACTGTTTGGTGTAAGTTTACCGTGCACCTTTTTTACCATACGCACTACATTCATTCTCCTTTTTTTTATTGTGGTACCCAAGTCTACTGATTTGCTAAAAAAATTCAATGAGAAGGATAGGAGGGTTGGGTGGGATTATTGTTTACTGATTATTTTTACCATACCATTTTCCCTTGATCGCACAACTATACAATGTTGACCTTCTAAATATGATTTTTTTGTTCTTTTCCCCATTTTTAAATAAAATCTGAGCGTCAAGCTACACTCCAAAAGAATTATACCATATTCCTCAGATTATATGATACGCCCTAACTGTTCGTTATCTTGGTGCGTTTCCTGCTGGTGAGATAAGAATCTTGCTTGATGTTTGGCCTTGACCGATATTCTGTTTACCTTTATGGTCTCTACTCTACTTCCTACTTAATTATATTTCACTTATTGATGATCTTTTATTACTAATTTTAATTACCTGTTTCTCCATAACACTATTTAATTTTTTTACATTTTTTAAATTTTCCTTAACTCATAACTAGCACAGCAAATAGACAGACATGAATAGATGAACGATGTAAAGAACTACTGGATTGCGCTCTCAGTAGCACTGCGGGGGCTGGTTTTGGTCTAGCTCCCCTCACCATCTACTAGCAGTAGCCGACGCATCCCATACACTCATCATTGTAAAACGCACCTTTTCAAGTTGCTGCTCTGTTGAAATTTATAGATATAAAATATTGCCAACGCATGCCAAACTTGTTTTACTATTCTAAACTTTTTGTCTTCTTCTTTTCTTGCAGAAAATAACACATTTGAACTCTTGAAAACCCGACTATATTTGTTTAGTTTTTACCACAGATCTATGCTTGACATTAACATGATAGGCCTACGTTTTTCTTTATTTTTTTGACCTATTTTGTAAGATACATTGTCATTACACATTGAAAGAAAAAAGTATCCCGTTTATGTTGAATATAACGGTACGTCTGCGGCAACAAATTAGCAAAATTACTCTAAATATTTATGTACTATTTGTTTGTTTAATAAAATAGGATTTCAATAACAAATATTGTACTTTCTATTTCTCCTTAGTAATCACTTATTATTTTATACCATGTATAATTTGGAACTAGCAATATCAGTTTTCTAAAAACATCTACTAATCAGGTTTAGTGAATTTGTAGTTTTAAAGAATTCAGATGGGCTATTTTCTGCAAGAAACAAAACAGACATAAGGTCAATATTTTATCCCTATATATTTCAACAGAGCAGCAACTAAAAATGTGTGTTTTATAATTGTTAGTGTATGGGCTGCGTCGGCTTCTGCCACTAGATGGTGGGGGAAGCTAGACCATGCGGCCAAAACTGAGCCAGCGATCCATGAGTTGTTTATATCGTCTATTTTCTTCCCGGCATAAAGAATCTGTTCAACTGGCAAACGTGAGCTGTTTGATTGAACGTATTTTCCCGTTGATGGGCTTATGAGCTTTACCGTTACTGGAGATGTAAAACATTCTATAACACATGGTTTCGACAAAAGTTGCATAAGTTTTTTATTTATATTTTCTACTACCTTACTTTGGGTATGAAGTCTGTACATCACCCAGTCACCCGGTTTGTAAGGATTTGGTTTTTGTTGCCTGTTGTATAATTGTTCACGCTTTTGTCGGGCTTTTGTAAGGTTTTTTATTGCATCCTTCCATCTTTCTTCCGTATTCATTTGTTGATCGTATGGAATTAATTCTTTAAAACTGAGATATGAAAATACATGTTTAGTGAGTAAATTTACTGTTGTTGCGGCTGTTTGGTTCCTAGCTGGTAATAAAATTGTATACTTTGAAAAGGCGTCTACTACTGACAAAAGATATTGATTTTCATTTCGTGACCTTGGTAATTTCCCTACGTAATCTATAAAAATCTTTTCAAATGGTTTAGTGACAATTTCTGATGCTAAACAACCTACTCTTGTGTTTTGCATGGGTTTGGCGCGCCTGCAATCCATACATGATTTAACCATGTCTGTAAATATTTTATTTAAATCTGGAGCCCAAAAATACTTATTTATTTGATGAATGGTTTTCCTAATTCCTAAATGTTATTCACTCAATTAAACCTGTAATATATTAATAAAATACTCCGACTTCTATCATTCCCAACGTACATGCACCTTAATCACAAAACCCTAAATTTATTTACGTTAATTTGGAATTTAGAAAATTATTTAAATTTAACCCTTTTTTCTTTTAATTTATTGCTGTTACTCATTAACTAAATTCCCTTTAAATTAATTAAACTTGTACCTAAATCTGAATTTTAATATAAGTTAAGAACAGTCAAATCTTCCACCTGCACCATAAGGGCCCGAGTGTGCTGAAATGTATGATTTATATATTAAGCAGATACAGTTAATAGTTCCCTAAACCCCTTAATCCCCCCCCCCTCTCCTGAAAGATTAGATTTAGAACATTATTTTAAATATTAATTCTAGTGGTAAACTTATCCATCTGTAGACCGGCGTACAGCATGGATCCGCTCGGGTAGACTCCTGGCATACAACTCCATGTCTTGTGGCCTTTCCTACCCCTTCCCCAAGTTTTCAGATATCAGCTGATTTACCGGTATGACACGGATCAGCTGTGATGCGAGTGTCCAAATCTCAACAATTTCTACATCAATGTATATTTTTTATTCATCATAAATTATTTTAAAAGGTCCAAAGCTTGCCAGTCACGTTATACTCTTGTTTGAATTAGGTAATAAGTGCAATTAGGTAGTGTATGTGTGAACTCTAGTCTTAGTGAATGAAAGTCTGTGTCATGTAATGAGACTATACGGAATTTAAATATATGAACTAAATTCATTATTTTATTTATAGGAGTAACAGCAACCCTAGTTCCCTACATAACCTTGCAGCTGAAGACTCAGAAGTAAATACGTATTCAAGAGGATTGGATCGTACTTGCAGCATGAAAACTGGTTAGTTTGAATATTGCAATATTTCATACATAATGTCTTAACCCTTTCAGTGCTATGCGACAATATATCATTGTTGTGCGTCTATTTCCTAGAAAAGTGGTATGGCATGTTGTTCACGTTTCATGCGAAAAGCGCTAAGCGACGATATTATGTGCCAGCACAACTTTCGATCGTGTGAGTTTAAATGGGCACATCGGTTGACTCGGTTGGAAACAGCGATTGTTTCTTTCGATTCCTCATACGAACAAGGCCCAATTCACTAGCACTTTTGGGATGAAAAATCATGTTTTTACGTTTTACCAATTTCTTTTTTTGTAACTAAACTTTGTCCCTGTGGCAAGCATAGCACTTTTCGGACGAAATAAGTACATAACTCTAGCATTTTCAGAAGATTAATACAAAAACAATTTCAGCATCAAAAGGGTTAAGAAAGGTGTGGTGATTTGTAAAGGTAATTTTTACAAGTATTAATTGTTTTAAAGAATTTATAACCTTATATACATTATTTTGATGATTTTTGACACATTGAGCTTCCAAAAACCTTATAAAGATTATTTAACTTAGCTTATTCTGGTACCCTCCCATGCTAGTAGCACTAGTACTATTAATAGTACTCTAAGAATTATATCTAGATTTTGGCCATTCTGAAATTAAGTGGAATTTTTTGCCCCTCTATGTTTTATATAAAAACAATAATATTTATAAACTTGATATTATTTATAAATGAAGCAAGAGTGTATTTAAGAGATCCCAATGTTAAATTCTTACGTTTAAGAGATAAAATAAGCAAAGTACTCGAAATGTAACCACCATGGAATGTCCCCACCCATGTTTTTGAAAACTCTGACAAGTGATTTATGAAAAAAATCATTGTATTATATAACAAATTCTCAATATCAGTAATAAAAAATATAACCTAGACTTAACATCATCTTAAATTTTTTTACAAAACTATCTAATTAGCTTAATTTAAAGATAAAAAGTTGTCCACGGGGTTGGATGTAACCACCATGGACCATTATAAAAGTTCTAAAAATGCTCACTGGAGATCAGCACTGTTCATTGGTGGAGTTTTGAGGAAGAAGGGGGAGCCATATTGAGGTTTCTGGTGATCGTTTTCTGCTCATGTGTCCTACTTACTATTAATGAACAGGATTTCCTTTCTTGCAAGGAGAGTAACTTTTACCTTGTAACGTAACCTCCATGGTGTACAACAAATAATGCATGTCATATGCTAAAATTTTAACTTTGACTTTTTATTTGAGAGATAGTTGTTATCTTTCAGAAAACATAAGCTCTGGATATATGAATCTATAGGTTAGGACTTACAAGTGACTGAACAGATAAATGTAACCTCCATGGAGGTAACTCCCATGAATTATTACTATATATAATATAGCATATTATATTATATTAATTCTTTACCTCTACAAAGGGTGTATATGTATTTAGTTTGTTATTAGACTTAAAAAAATTATATTAAAAATAAATATTCTCTCATAAAAAATTTTAAAAAAATCTCGGGTGGAAATTCCACTTAATTTCAAATGGCCCATTTTAAAAAATTCTACTATTCTCTTCTGATTTCAGGGGTTTGCCAAGAGAATGTCATGTACAAAATGAACTGTTGTAAGCTCGTACACGAGGAGGTAGCCTTACAATGGGTTGTGGCCAGTGGGATTGCCCGAGAACTCTCAATGGCGAACTCATGGTGAATATTTCATTTCTTCCAAGCTGCTTTTAAACAAATATCTGTACAGGGTGTTACTCAAGTCACTAATTTAAATTTAGACCCATTTTTCTTATTCTCTGTTTTTTTATCAGGGACACAAAAACTACCGTTTTTAATGCATGCCTTGCAGGTATAAAGTAGCTCTTTTACTCCTTAGGGCAGGAAAAAAATTATTTTTTTTACCATTCAAAATGTGCCACTAGAGTTACAATCTAAAATCGGTTTTTTGAATTATTTAAACTACTATTACTAACTAACATTGTTGAGTCAGTCACTGAGATGTCCGCAGTATTTGTGTTCAGTGTAGGTGTTGTTTCACTGCCTAGAAGGCAATGAGTTGCTACTTGTAAATTCCTCATCTTGTTTTTGTCTTCCCACATCAGTTGTCGGTGTATAGTTTTAGAGCTGCAAGGCAATTAGGTGTTTGCTTCAACGCTACATTGGACAAATCTGTTTCTCTTTCAGCTAAAGGAGTGCCAAGCTCGTAATGCTCTTCACCAACTTCTTGCTGGAAGTAGGTTGATTTGCCTTTCTAGATTTTTCCTTAATTTCTTCCTGATGTTCTGGGGATGAAGATGATGATTGCTACCTGGTCAGATTTTGATTTTTCATTTTGTACTTTACTGATATTTTCTTTCAGTTCCTTTAGGAAGCAGTCATGAGATAGACCTCACCTCAGAACTCTTTGAGACTCTTGGTTGTATGACACAATGCAGGCTTTAGCTTTAGCCACTTGCTGGAATTGAACAATGTTCTTAGAAAAATGTTTTAGTTCTATCTGGTCCCTCACACAACCCATTTGGGGACATAGCAACACCTCAAAGTTTGTTCTGAATAAAATTCAATTCAATTCAATTCAAACAATTTTATTCATGCAATTCTTAAATTAATTACATAATCCCATGTGCCATGCAAAGCATGCGCGGGATGAAAATGTCCTGTTAGTTGCTTGAAGGCAATGTCATTCTTTGTTTGACGGTTTTCCATAGTAATTCATTTTTGTAACAAGACTAAATACTTTTGCTCCACCTGAGACTTGTTGGCTGGTCAATTTCCGATCAATATAATTTGAATAGTTGGTTCTCCCAAATTTATGCCTGAAAGAACAGCTACACCTGCAGACATATACCTTGGGTGCTCAAAATCTGCTAAGATAGTGTGGGCAAACCTAATGTGTTGTTTGTAATCATCCATAATATCACTATCGACTACGTTTATTTCATCATTGAATAAGTTGTTTTGTGAGTGTTCCTGTCCCTGTTAATCTTCAGAGTACTTTCTACAATGATGTTTGCTACAGCTATGGATACTTTATTTTTTCCTTTTTTTATTAAGGTGCATCCCATGCTGGGAGAAATATTGTCCCTAGGAAGCAGATGTAATGGGAGAATCACTATGTTGCGATGTTTTGAAGCTGCCTTTTAATTAAGTGCTATGATCTTTAGGTCAAGCTCAGGCTTATCATAACTTATCTCATAGGTAGGGAGGCCATAATAAGATTTGTGTGCTGTGTTGTCTCAATAAGTTTTTGTATATTGGGAATTACTTGTTATTCTTCCGTGGTTTCTATATCGTTGGTCCCTACAAAAAAAAATATAATCATCTTGTTTTAAGTTTTTTGTAATTTGACTTGTTTCTTCAGTGACTTTACAAAATGTTGCTCCTGGTCTCAAAAAAGAGTATACATTTGATGTTATCCTTTGCTGAATCATGTTTCCTAAAAGTTTGCCATGGCTATCTGCAAATATTATTAATTATTTTCCTGCTGTTGTAGATTCTTGGTTACATATAATTTTATTTCCTGCGTTCAGATTAGTTTTAGATTGTCGTTTTGTAAAGTTTCCATTTTGTTTTGTTTTTCTAAGTTGGCATTCAGTTTTACTCAATTTACTTGAGAGTTTCTTTGAAGAACATCAGATTGGTTTTTTAGTTACAAAAATTGGGTGGTCTTGTTGTGTTGGCCTACTGTGCCATTTCTCACTGAACTCCAGGGCACTTCCTGGTTCTCATTTTGAAGTAGCGGGAAATGGTGGAGACACTTTTGGTTGTAATTTTTAAGTCCATTATTTCTTTCTCTGCTTTTGAATAATACTTCTGAAGCATGTCTATGGCTCTTTGAACATTTTGGTTCTCCAGTTTGAATTTTTTAAATTCATCCTTGGGGATTTTGTTGTGAAAAATTTAGTTTTTAAGTGGAGTTTTCCATCTTGGCTTTAACTCACCTAAACTCATGAATAATAGTTTCCTTACAAGCCAACAGTTTTTCTAGATTAAGATATTTTTCTCTGATTTCTTTCAGTTCTATGTTAAGCTTATTAACAGGTGTAATAGCTTAGATAATACCCAATATTTCTTGTGCAGAGGTTGCATTAGGTAAGCCTTGTGTTAGGCTTAGGTCCGATTGATAAAGCAAGTCAAGAAATCGAGCTTAACTAAATTTTTATTCTAGTGATATTGTGATCGCAGATGCGGAAGCGTCTGCGGAAATTGTGCAATTGAAAATTCTCAATTTGTCAGGGAAGTTTTCAGGATTTTTACATGTTTTCCGATTTCTCTCATTGACATCCAGATGTTAGGCACTTTCACTAACCCGTCACTACTTAAACATGGGACTGGTTTAGTGAGAGTTTACTGTACTTTTTTGCCAAGTAACCTTACTAATTTCATACATGTTGTGTGTTAGGTTTTTCTTTGACCTCATGATAAAAAGTATGGTGGAGCACTTGCTTGCTACTCAAAGCCTTGATATACCTCGAAAGTTACGGTTCTCGGAACAGTTTACGGATGATCTCTCAACATTGGTCACAACATTCATTTCAGAAATCATTGCATCCTACAACAAGGATCCGAAGGTAATAATTTTATTTTTTACTTATTAATAATATAGTTACTAGCCTAGATGGTTTGAGTTAGCTGAGCCTGCATAAAAAGTTTGTTTGAATATAAATGAAATTTGAATTAAAGTTTTTTTTTTTTAAAAGGTTGGCGGCCTTTTTTTAACCTTGCATTTGCCCGTCCACAAATTTATTTATTTATTTACTTGTTTACGGTTACACCATTTTTACTATTTGGTAGGGGTCTGCGGTGCACCGAAAAAGTCGGTACGGTACGGTACAAGCGTACAAATTCGGTTCGGTACAGCCTAATTATAATAATAAATTACTTTCGTAGTCAACGACAGTTGGTTCCGAGCACATAAAAGTCTTATCAGATGTTTTTTTACGATCTTCATAGTTTATTACTAGGGTGAAGATGCAATAAAAACCCCATTAGCAGTTCCAAAACCCATTAACATTTTATCACGACAATAATTGTTGTATTCAAGTACTTCCATGAACTGTTGAGTTTTATCACTTTTATTTCTTTACGACTTTCTCCAATTCTATTTTATCATAAAATAATAGTTTTATGATGACTGTTAAATGTTATCTCTAACTTAGTCAGTATTTTCGTAGATATTCAATTTGCTGCTGGCCATTGCCTACTGCCATAAAACTGTTTATGGCTACATATTAAACTTGTAACTAATCTACAATCTTATTTTATAAGTTAAAATATTTGGTCTGATAAAAAAATATCTATAAAGATATTTTATCTTTCTATTGACAACCACAAGCATAGTTGTTGTTGTTTGCATAATTTTTGTTTTCGTTATTCAAGCCTACTCGGTCTCAAATTATGTCATTACATGTTCTGTATCTTGTCTTATATTGTTAGATGTGGCTGTTTAAGGCTTAAAATGTTTTTTTGTTTCCTGTATTTTTGTGTTGTGTTGAAGGTACTTTATGCAATCTAAATCTTATGAACTAGATAGTGATTTTGCTACCCTCATTGTAACCTAATCAATTTATATATAGGCCCTCCTAAATAATTAGGTCTAGGCCTGGGTCTTTTGACTCTTTGGAAGAGCTTTAAAATATACTAATACTAAGAAAATTGGATTGAGCCTAAGATAAACTAATGATTGATTTGATTGATATTGTGGATGTTAACTTTGTAAATGAAAAGACAATAATCTTACTCTGTGATAATCCAAATTTTAGTTTCAGAAAAAAACGTTTCAAGAGTTGTATCCATCTTATAACTAGTTTTTGAAGCTGATACAAAAATATGCTCTTTGCCATTACTTCATCATAATCTCTAGTGAACGGCTCGCAACTACACTGTCATTGTACTGAATGCTTTTAGGCCTCTATGTTTTAAAAAAATTTAAAAAACAACTAAACATTGTGTTGGTTGGAAATAATTGTTGTGTTAAATTATCTTCTTGTCAATAAATGTTTCAAACATGTTTGTTCCTAAAAACTCTTATCATATTTTTAAAACCACTTTTATCATGGCTATTCAAAGTATCTCAGAGTTAAATAGGTAAAGCCTTTATCTTAACTGTGATTTTTCTTGACACAATCCTCGTAGTAGTAAAAGGTTTTGTTTTAATAATGTGTGGTACAGTAATTGTTGTTAGAAAACCATGAATGTAGGATACTATCCATTTTCATAGTTATGTCAATGTATTAAAGTTAAAAATAATGGTTTTTTATACAGTTCTTGGCAGAAAACCACAAAAATACGGGTAGCCGCGTACCGTACCGATTTTGTACCGAGAACCGAGGTACAAAATATTGTACCGTACCGAACCGTACCGACCTTAAATTTTCTGTACCGCAGACCCCTACTATTTGGTGTAAAATTTTGGTTACCACATAGACTATATGCCCGTGTATGGAAAGCATCCAGCAAAGAAATAGGTGAGCCGGTACAGTACTGATAAAAGTTTTCTGTGGTGACCAGGACCCGAACCCGCGACATCACTGCCTTGGGTCCAAAGTCTGTGATGCTACTGGCTGAGCCACTGACTCACCATTATGTCATTATAGTTTACATTATGTCAATTCAATCCTTTATTTTAACAATACATTTGACAATAGTTTCATCATATATCACATTTCTATCATACTCTAACTACTATCACATTTCACTATCATATGTCTCAAAGAAAGAAAGTAAAACCAAAACTTGCCTGGATTTATGATACATGTTTTTTGTCTGTTTTTTATTAAGACGATCTTATTTTGCAGGTGTTGGGAACTTATGTCAATCATTGTTCGAAAGTAAATTTTCTTATCCTGAATAATTATAAATCCAGAACAATTTAGAACAGAACAACAAGGGGTTGCACTGTTCATGCTTATCTTTCTCAAGAAAATAACTCTCTACTGTATTTTAAATTAATGGCATACTTATTTTTCCTAGCTGATCCACAGTATGAACTCTAGCCTAGCATTCTTCCTCTACGACCTCTTGTCTATTTTGGACCGTGGGTTTGTCTTCATCCTAATCAAGGGGTATTGCAAGCAAATTTCTGCAAAAATATCTTCTCTTCCAGATGGAGCATCTCTCTACAGTCTTAAGGTTAGATCTTATTTCTATTCATTATATCAGTCTATACTATTGCATTATAAATATTTTACTGTCTCATATTGTAAATTAATTAACAATATGCCTATCACAAAACTTGCACATCTTATTGAAAAAAAGTTTAGATTTTTAATATCAGTAAATGACATTTTATAAAATTTTTGTATGGTAATACATTTAAAGAATTGATATATTGAACGATTATTGACATATACATATTTACTCTGTTTTTCTACTCTAAATTGGTTACTTTTCAATATCATTACATTTCAACTGGATTTCAAGGATGCAGATGGTTGTTTTGGCATAAAATAAAATGTGTAAAATAAAATGTCACCATTTAAGAATAAAGTAGGTAGTAAGTATAACCTACCAAACTTCTATTAAAATATTTCCACTATTTCATAGTTTTTCCTTCTATTTTTATTCTTAGCTGAGTTTCCAAGTTGCCTTGCTAACTTCATACTTGCATGTTAGGGTATTTTACTTATAAGAATTCTTGAGATACAATAGTATATAGATTGTGTATACATATAAAATAGTTAATAGAGCATCGAGTATCTCCTGTTCAATAAAAACTCAACTTACTGATTTAAGGTTTCAGTTTTATACAACTTCTCAGGTCTAGTATTCCCTTAAAATGAAGCTCTCAGGCACATACTGCTGTTAATGAACTTAAAAATATTCAGAACTATCCTGCATGTTGTATGTGAAAGTTAAGTTAAAGAATCATAAAATATAGGGCACATGTTCTATCGTACAAATTTTTGTTAAGATAGCAGATTTAGCTTAATGGAAAATATTCTATCCTGCCACAATGAAATATCAACACAGTTTTTCACTTTCTTTTGACATCATTATCAATAAACAAAGATTTGAGTTTTAGAAAAAGATGTATGGAAGAAACTTGAATGATTCTAATCTTTTGTGTATTGGGTAAATGTATTGTATTCATTGAGCAAAGATGGGCTTTATCAATTCAGATAAACCTTGCTGGTCCAAAAAAAATAAAGAAAGGCATGGTTAAAAAATCAATTTGCATAATTTATTTTGTTTTTTGTTCTCAGCTGGATTTTGTTAGAATCTTGTGCTCTCATGAGCACTTTGTGGCTCTGAACTTGCCATTTGGAACTCCGTTCATGTGGAGCTCGGCCCCTGCTTCTCCCACTCCTTCTCAAGCTTCGTCCACATCTGTTAACCGAGACAAGGCTTGTTTTGCAGAGCTGTCGTATGAGTACAAGCAGCAACACTTCCTCATGGGCCTCGTTCTCACTGATCTTGCCATCGTTCTAGACATGCAGTTAGTATATTGTGTGCCTTGTTTTATGCATTTGTCGGCTTATCCAAATCAATAATAACTTATATTAACGGGGCTATTTTGAGGATTAATATAAGTATTTTAATTTAAAACAGTGATTATAAAGTTATTTCTGAAATATTTGCTAAGCACACATTCAATTTGCTATTTTACCCATACAGTAGAATCTTTATTATCTGTCCTTCAGTGGTTAACAACCCTCCTTAGAGATAATTGAGTACCAGGAAAAAGTTCTTTGTGATATTCTGTATGATTTGATGGGTACGTCTAACATCCCAGTTTACCACCTAACAGGGTCTGTACATGGAAGAGTGTTCAAGCAAAGAAAACATACATAACCATAAGAAAACATATTACCCAGAATGCTAACCGAGAGAGCTCTGCCTGTCAATTCGTAGGCAGCGCCACCAGCATACAATGCACCACCATAGAAATGCTGGTGGCGCTGCCTACGAATTGACATGCAAAGCTCTCTTGGTTAGCATTCTGGGTTATAGTAGTATGTTTTCTGTGGTTCAAGGCACCTGCACTTAACCATTGACTGCATTATCATACAGTTTGTATTTCTCGCTACTCTTAAAATCTTAGCTGATTTGTGAATGGAGACCTCAAATGAGTGGTAGAGTATTGCTTTATCTCATGTTTTATAGTAACAGTATTCGAAGATATGTTTTTATTTTGTTGGTTATTTGTGGTAGAGGCTTAAAAAACATCAATGACCTTTTACATGCTTACAATGGGTATCATAATTTATCAGATCTTTTCACTTGTCCCACCTTGTCGATGCCAGTTTAGGCCTGGCAATTGAGACTTTACTGTATTGAACCCTGTTAAACACATTTCACACAGTTAACTTTTATGGATACTTTCAGGAATCCGAGCCTGCACATGAAAGCAGTGAACACAGTGAGAAACCTGATGACTTGTCATGACTCAGATTCAAGGTTTGCTGAGCCGGAGTGCAAGGCTCGAGTAGCAACTCTGTACTTGCCTCTGCTGGTTATAGTGATGGACATGCTGCCTCAGCTACACAACTGCAATGCAGACACCAGGGGTGAGTAACCTCAATTCCCTGTCACCATAAAATAGACGTCTGTGCAGTGATCTCAATGTTTTGTAGTACTAGTAACTTTTATGTTGTTTAAAGGATTATTGCTAATATTTTCCACCAATTCTTGTGAAATGAAAAATGTCTGCAATAATAATTGAAATTACATCGAGTCTACATCTCCAAAAATGAAATCAAAACAAGGAATAATACTGATATTTAGTCCTATTATAGAACATTTTCAGAGAGTAGATCGATAAGAAAATATCTTCAATCTATTTTCACAAATCTCATTAATTTTCTCACCAATCTACTCTCTACAGATGACCACTTAGAAAACAAAATAACAGAGCTATGTTATGTGACTTATTTTAATGTATATTTGGACTATAATTTTCTAAAGAAAGTTAGCTGAACTTAAACCTTTTCCAAAAATTTACTTACTGTATATGGCATTATGGAGTTAAGCCATAGTCATAGTCATATATTTATCGTCGTCTTGCTATTGCGGCAAAATCATGAGCATCTTTTGCGGCCATGAAGACGTCATCATCGTCTCCAGGTACAGCAGTAACATCGTCGTCGTCATCTGCGATCGTGGCAAAATCATCTTCCACGGCCGTGTAAACATCATCGTCTCCCGCAGTCACGGAAACATCATCGCGTAGACGTCATCACCATCTCCCGTGATCACAAAAATTAAGTTTCCAAGTTCATTTAATGTATTTTTTAGGAAGACTACAAATGCATGAAGATCTGCTAGAGCCAGCTGCTGGCATCAATCAGTCTGTGGCAATGGCTATCGCAGGCACCTCTATGTTTGGGATCAAAGTAACCCCTCCGGATAGAGTCAAACTGTTTCATCAGGTAACTTTATTTTATAAATCTATAAACTTAGAGATGGGCTTTGCACAGTGGAGATTTAACTCCAGTCATAAGTACTTTCATTTCAGTTTACTAAATCATGCCATTATTGTCATATTTTATCCCAGCTGAAATTATCCCTATATATTTAACAACACTGTGCTCTTACAATGTTGAGATGAACTATTTACAATAGACAATAGACAATAGACAATAGACAATAGACAAAATCTTTATTGAAATATTCCTAGAGAACATTCATGCGTCAGGTACATAAAATGTACAGTATGTACGTCATATATATATATATATATATATATATATATATATACATATATATGTACGTCAATATCAACAACAACAGAGAATCTTGGTCAAATTGTTAGAAAATCAGGGATTTTTCCAAGAATACTCCACATTGTAGGAACTTTGTCCTCAAATTTGTTAAATGTTAAGGAATATAAGAAAATTGTAAACGTTTAAGTAATGAAGATGAGTTGATGGTTAATGGAAACCTAACATCTGAATGGTACTTCCATCAAATAAAATAAAAATATCTTTATTCATATCTGTAAATACATATTTACATGAATAGTGTCAATCAAGTTAAATGTTTAAGATCTACAAAAATATTATACTTAAAGTTAAAAAAGACATCAAATGAATAAAGTGCCCTCTATATATAAAACTCTTTCAATTTCACTTTGAAACCTCTATCATCCTGCATGCTTATTATGTGGTCTGGAATGTGATTTAGATACCAGTCTATGAGGTTTGTTCTAGTTAATGATTTGGTAATACTACTTTATTATTATGCAATTCAATTCAAATTCTCTTTAATTAATTCAACCGGAGAAGGGCTAAGTGCATTGGAATAGGAAACACAGAGTATTAAAAACATATTGATTTTTCCCAATAAACTGCCGCCATTTTGAAACAGAAAAATATAATTCATTTCTGTTTTCGCGAAAATGTTTGTGTATTAAATACCTTTAAAATTATGTATAACATGACATATGTAATAAATAATAAATAAATATTTATGAAATATTGTAATGTGCTAAAATGGATTAAGTGTGAATTTTAGTACGTTACAAACTAATGCAAACTTCTCTGTGCACCATTTTTTCTGAAATTATGTAAATGAGGATTCTACTTTATGTGTGATAAAAGGCATTCAATTGTATGTTTCGACGTTACAGAATCGTAGGACAGGGTTGAGCAATGAAACGACACGTAACCTTCTCATCTGCTTCCTCTGGATTGTCAAGAACATGGACAGAGAAGTGTTGCGGCAATGGTGGCTAGATCTGCCTGTGGCTAGGCTACGTCAGTTACTGGAGGTGCTAAACATCTGTATCTCCTGCTTCGAGTACAAGGTGATATTACAATACTTTGCTACACACACTAAGTCCAACACATTCTATAAACCGACCCCCCCAATGGTGGCAATGGCAATATATATGTTATGATTGCAGAAGAGATAAGACAAACTCATTACTATATTAGGTACATGCTTCCTATTCTTCTCACACACATTTTTGTCGAAACTCCCAGTTCCATTCCTTTTTTTTGTCAATATTTTGTATCACCTTAATTTACCCTTTAAAAGAAATTCACATTCAGGGTTGCACTTATATAATACTAGCGAATGGTCCAATTCAATTCAATTTGTTTATTTACGGCAAAAACCATTGTACAATAAATATCATAATTATACATACAAAAATGCAAAGCTATAGAATTGGTAAAAGTACATGCTCACACTAGAATCAATAAGCACTTGAAACATAATAAATAAGAAGTTGTAATAAATGGCACTTGCATAGCAAATAACAAATCAATACAAAAACAGAACAAAAATTGGCAATTACTGAGACGAGAATGGTAGTTTTAAATAAGAGCAGAAGTAACATTTGGGAGATAAACAAGCAATAATATATACTAATTAAAATAAAATAAGTGAACAAAGGTGAGCAGCTAACATTCAAAAGACATACAATTTACATAAGACCTACAACTAAAATGACACAAGATGCATACAAATAATAATACTACTAAATAGTGCATACAAAAGTAAGTAGCAAGTTGACTCTGAACAAAAAGAAGCTAGCATTACAAGAAGACATGCAATAGAATGTACAGGTTATGTACAAAAGGCATAATACTGTTATGAGACACAAGATGCATAAAAATCATAATAACAAGACATATGAACAATATTAATAAATAGTGCATACAATAGTGAGTAAAAATCAGACTCTGAACAAAAATACCCCCGCCGCAGCAAACCTGCCGACTATAAGAATTTCCATTTTGTCTTAATTGATTTTCAATTAAATATATTTTAATAACATTAGGTTTAACGAGTACCTAGGTTTGCTGCTACAAGGAAACTAATAAATTGTGTTTTTTGTAAAATATTGATAGCTTAGTACAAAATAAATAAATTTGATCAAAATACAAAATATATCCATAAACAAGCAAACTACAACATTTGACGATATTCTTCATAAGAATAACATGGGAATTTTAAATTTACAATTTTTTTAATTTTCTCCGTTACTATTAACCGAACAAAAATACTTTTATATACTAAATTAATTGTTTTTTTAAGCTCTTTAAAAAGGTCTATAGAGAAATTGGAAAATTTTGTGTTTTGAGGGTCAAAAGTGAGAAAAACCAATTTTTACCCCATAAAACCCCCCATAAAGCCCCGTTCCCATGGTCCGATCATGCTGGTTCGCGTACTCATTCAAGTTTATCCTGCTTTACACCTTTAAACCAAATTTCATCAAAATCGGACAAAAATTACTCAAGTTATCGCGTTCACGGACGTTTATATATATATATAAGTCTATATATATATACATATATAAAAATTTGAACGAATGGTGTTTTTGGCCTCTGGGGACATCAAAATGAAAAAGTAAATCAGTCCCGGGTCTAGGTCTTACCGTGCCACCTACGGTAATAGCTACTTCCCTATAGGGAAATTCGCTAAAAAAAAAAAGCTAGCGCATCAAAAAAAAAAAAAAAAAATGTACAGGTGGTTACGAGCAAAGACATACAACTGAAATAAGACGCAAGGTGCATACGATATATAATAAACGAGACATAATAATAATAAATAGTGCATACAATAGTAACAAGTAGACTCAGACTCTTACCAAAGCTAGCATCACAAGAACAGGATCAACATTAACGAGAGATAATGTGTAATTTAACCAAGCTTGATCATAAAAAACACAAGGTGCAACACTATGTTGAGTCACTACATGCAAGGCTCACAACGCTCAAAAATGCATCTCTTCTGAAGACAGCATGACCAACTCCGAAGAACTCCAGGTGGGCGTTGTTTCCGAGACGCATCAGGCGAGGTACAGGACTCTGGTACATGTAGGAGGTAGGGTAGTGCAGCTTGGCACAACGGTCTGTCTGGAACCTGAAAGTTCAAGATTTGAAGAATCTCGGGGCAGTCTACCAGGTAGTTGACAACTTTGTAAAGGAAAATCAGGTCAATGCAATTTGTCTTGATGAAAGTGGCAGCAATTGTAGTTGAGCTGCAACCTGATCAGTATTTACATCTGAATAGCAAATCCCTGCTCGAACACCAACCAACCAGGCAAAGGAAGTGCTTTTGGACCATTTCCAAGGAATTAATATGGACAATTTGGAACGGAGACCATACATTGGAGCAGTATTTGAGAATTGGTCTCACCAAGGATACATACAATATCTTCAAAGTATTGGTAGAGAAAGCACCACTCCTTGAAATAAGGGCAATTAAACCCAGTGCAGAATTGGCCTTCTTGCATATTCTCTGTAACTTATGTGTTCACCTGGGTCCAAAGTAGGGGTTATGAACACTCCAAGATCTCTAGCCCCATTAACTCTTTTTAGCTGAATGCCTAGAATTGTGTAGTCATAGACAAGCAAGTTCTGAGATCTCCCAAATGACATAACTACACACTTTCCAGCATTAAGTTAAGCATTAAGTACATAACAACGGTATTAAGTAAGAGCTTCTTGGAGTTCATGTTAATGTTGTAGAGAAGATACTTTCTTGTAGATCTTGATATTGTCTTCGAATAAGAGATACTCGTAGCTCAACGGGTTACCAATGTCATTTGACAAACATACTGAACGAGATTGGTCCCAAGTGTGAACCCTGTGGCACACCAGAAGTCAAGTTCACAAAGAAATCTGGACTTTGAGGTTATTAGGTACCGAGTTTTGAGGATTTTACTTTTGATTTTAACAGTTTTACTGAAAACACTTAATCTTAATATGTATAACGCAAAATAATAATTATGTACATGTAAATTGTAAACACTTATGTTTTTAAGTTTAGGAACTAAGAAGGAATATTCAATTACTGATTCTGACAAATGCGCTTTTTCACAGGGCAAGAAGGTGATCAAACATTCCGTGCAACAATTCCACAACAAGACCTTGGACATAAAATCTCGTCTGGAGGATGTTATCTTGGGTCAGGGCTCGGCCAGGAATGAGATGATTCTGAGGCGCAAAGGTGAATTGTTAATATGTTTGGTTCGGACATTGGATGGCTTGGAAATCAGATTGTGTATTACTATAGATAAAACATACTCCCTTAGAGATTTTTCATCCTTATATAGAACAGCTGAAGCCAATTTTATTGTTAGTTCTGTACGTCCAACTGTAGAGGTCATGGTTTGTTTACATTTTGTTTCTTGTTATTTCAGCCTTTTAAAACCTCATTTAACCAAATAAAACGATATAATCATTAACAGTAACTGGTCTCCTAGTTATATCACCAAATAGTAAAGCACAAATCATGAAAATAACGCTAAAATAATAGAAACAAAATTTCCTCTACCTCAGCGATGAGTGTGTACGTACATGAACTAGACACGAAAAACAAGCTTCAAAGTTTACAATGGGATGAGAAGTCTACTTGTGTTGCTTAGTCTATGGTATTACTCACGATAATTTCTTTAAAGTGTATACCTTATATCTTAATGCACACAATTTATATGGAAAGGCTATGTCTCCATATTTGTATCTTGATGCAATGAATTTATGTGGCAAGGCCATGTCTCAGTGTTTGTATCTTGATGCAAAGAATTTATACGGCAAGGTCATGTCTCAGTGTTTGTATCTTGATGCAAAGAATGTATATGGCAAGGCCATGTCTAAGTGTTTGTATCTTGATGCAAAGAATTTATATAAAAGAGTAAATATTTTTTGGATTAATAGGAAAATGCCCATTATATATGCATATGAGCCCTGTTAGTGCCCATAGGCTTCATTATATAACATTTAAATATTTAATTTCAATGTCACAGAGAGAGTAGCGCCGTCGCCAGGTGACAGATTCAGATGGCGCAAGGAACAGATGGCGTACAGACCTGCTGAGCCGCCAGATAATCAGAGTCGCTTTCAGGCCGAGTCTGACGCTCACTTGGAGGGCAACCTCGCCTCGGAGGTTGGACTAGTCATACTGGACACCCTGGAGCAGATTGTGCAGGTACTACTGACATGATTGACTTGGGCAAAGTTCTTACTCAAGGTTGATCATTCTTTGACCAGATTGATTTTAAATAATGATTGTGTAAATTAGAGTGGCGAGCTCAATGCACATGCACACCGGAACCCACCCCAACCACTGTCACTTTTATTATTTGAAAGTCATTTCAACAATTGGTTGCTATTGGATTAATTTAATATCACTAGCGACTAGTGGTGTGACGCAAAGTGTTGTAGGAAGCCTTTACCTCATCCCTCCCTTACACCATTCTAATTGACACAATCCAAACAGTACACAGCGGACTCCTTCTTCAGACTCCTCAGGACCAAGGCCAGTCCAAATATTTTCCTGTCAAACCAACATCCCCTAGAACTCATTAAATTAGGAATGTCTAATACATACTATATTAATCACTCAAAAACTAACCCAAATATTTGACTTAATTTGGGACAGCAATGTATTTTAGACATGTGGTCACTGGTCTCAAATCTTTCCCACAAGATAAGTCGTTTCACTTCCTGCTAAACCGATTTGCTAATACAAATTTTCTGGTTAAATGTATGTCTAGTTAAACGTTATCTGGGTAAGACGGAGTTTACGGTAGTCTGGACTATCCAAACGGTCTTCTGTGCTATCCAAACCTCCCTGTTGACGATCAAGTAGACCAAGAAATCACTACTAGTTCCATGTGATATGACCGCACACTGCAGCGAGTACATCAAGAAAACCTCTTTCACCGCTCCTTTCTGTATCTGAAACGCACCAGGCTTTAGGCAACTGCACTAGACTTGCTTTCTTACTGTTCCAAACACTACAATTGCTCACAGTTTACTCACCTTATACCTGCCTACCTATCTGCTACCCTTCATGGCTTAGTTGCAGTGTGAACAGAAACCTGTGTCTGAGTGGATGTGTATCATATCGAGTGGACCTCATTTCTTATTTTAGAGTTGAATTTGAGTAGTTGTTAGAGTAGTTACTTTCCCTTTTACGGCTATTTTCTATGTTATTTGTGATGATAAACTTAAGGCCTAGACTAGGTTTTGTTACATAGAAACTAGAATCTTAATTGATAGTTAATTTAATGATTTTTGTTAATGTATACAGTGTTTTTTCCATTATTTTCCTTGACGTCAAACATTAAAACCTGTAATTAATGTTTCCTCTCTTGTCAGGTTTCGTCTCAGTCAGATCATCTGCAGTGTTTACTGGGGCCAACTCTCAAAGTTCTTCTTCACGCTCTCTCTCGCAACCAGAGTACCCTAGTCCTGCATAACATGTTTGCTACTCAACGGTCACTTGTGTTTAAGGTACTAAAGTGTATTGCTAGAAGGAGGGAAGTGTTACAGTAGTTTTAGTCTAAAATTAGTGATATTATAGGAAAACGGAGTACGCTGTGGGTGTGCGGCAAGTTAGCAACTCAAACTTTAAAAAAAATGTAAGCATGAAGTGTTTGATCCTTGTAATATCACAAAAATTTGAGGTGTTTGGACCGCTTTTGGAAGAGTTATTTGTGTAACTAGTTACTTGCTGCACACGAGAGCAATGTTTACGCACGAGCCGCAGGCGAGTGCAGAATGATCTCGAGTGCAGCAAAGGCCTTTTGCACTCGTGTTACACATTATATTTTTCCTACAGTCACTATAAAGCATATAAATAATTAGTCTTTCAAACACTATACAACACGTTTTTAGGTTCAGCTGGCAACACAAATAGGTGCCCTAGAGAAAGTAGTCCCAGGTCCGTATCACTCCGCTATTTTTTCCTCGGCAAGCAATGTGCTCCGTGACTTGAGAAAACAGTTCCGTATGTTTTTGTAATTTGAAGTGGTTTCCGCGCCTAAAAAAATGCTTTAAAGGTATTTTCTTGTTTATTAAGATCGTAGGAATGTTTAAAAAAAGTTTGAAAGAAAAGTCCAGAAAGTTCAGAAATACCGAAACACCGAAACTATAAACACGAAATGACAGGTTAAATCGTAGTTATAATAGTCAATCAGCTGCTCATAGTATTATCATCTTTAAGTGTTGCTAACCTATTTCCAAGCGTACACGGATTACGTGCATAATAGAACCTTGCTGTTTTGTGTTGTTTCGTTGGAATCCTGATGTGCGCCCAAGTATAAACCGTACGACAAAGTATAAATATTCAGCAATTAGCAGCTTTCTGTACTATAAACAGTACAAGGAAGCCAACTTTGTCAGGTGACTGTAGGAAAAGTATTTCGTGCTACTTCTGGCAAAATGTTACTAGCGTAGTATCTGACAATCAGTTGACTCTAAAGTCTTTTCTATATCTAAGTGATAGTATGAATGGCTAGCTTACCTGAATGGAGATAATCCCAATATGTGATGCATAAGGCTGGACCAACAGATGAATTCCTGATCAGCAGGAGCTTGTAAGCTTCAACCAAACTGTAATCGTAAGTGGACCAAAAGAAAGGTTTATTTGTTTATCGCCTATGAACAGTTTATCTTCACGTTTACGATCTACGTATTTTCTACGGTCTATATCAATAATTTATATCGAAATTGAACTAAATTAGTTTATCCTTTTTCCATGTTTTGTGTTCGTTTTCGTTTATCACACGTATATTCTCGTTCTGTCACTGATTTTTGTGTTTTTAAATTTCGATTAGAAATTTCCAAGTTTTATAATATAAATTTCCCCGACTTAATTCTATACCCGCCAGGTCTTCCCTGATCTAGCGGTGGCTTGTAGTTTGATTTATATTAATTCATTCAAAATGATAACTGCTCTATTTATTTAGTAAATGAACAATTACGTTAAATGATTGTTGTAAATTTGTCGTTTTAATTCCCCGAGACTTGTTAATAGACCACGCTAATTGATGTGATCGCGCATGACGTTTCCTAGACCACAGGAGACAATAATAATGTTCTCACGGGCGCAGGAGATGATCAGAATTTTGCCGCTATCACGGAAGACGAAGATAATGTCCACACGACTGCAGGAGATGTTCATGATTTTGCCGCGATCGCGCAAGACGAAGATAAAGTCAAAGATAATGTCTACACGGCCGCCGGATATGATCAGGATTTGGCCCAATCGCGTAAGAAGACCATGACATCCATGGGAGATGATAGTAATGTCTACATTACCACAGGAGATGTTCATGATTTCTTTGTCTGCAAGATGACATTAACGTTTTTGTGACCGCTGGGGTCAATAATGATGTCTACTGGATTGCGGGTGGTGTGCATGATTTTGCCGCGATCTTGCAAGACGACATTAACATTTCTGTGACAACGGGAGATGATGAAAATGTCTACACGGCCGCTGGAGATGATAAGAATTTTGCCGCGATTGCGCAAGACGACAATGACATTTCCTTGACTGGGGGAGTCCATGATGTTGTCTACTCGGCCGCGATAGATAATCAGAATCTTGCCGCGATCGCGGTAAACCACGCTTGTCAAAATAAATCGGATTACTGTAGTGCCGGAGTAATTCATCAGTCAAAACCATGGAACAGCTTTGTATGGACCCCTGGATTTTATCGGCTTCTGAGCAATTTGGGGAAGAAATTTTAGTGTGGCTGGTTCTAGGGGTAGGCCTTGATTGAGAATACAATTTTATTTATCCCTCAGAATTTACCTCACACATCTCACCAACTGACCACCAGATCAAGTACACTGAACTACTTTAAGTAACAGTTTTCTGTTGGTCAGAAAAATAAATTGATGTTTAACAACACCTCCAGTCAACACGCACAACTTTGCCAAACAATTCCTCTTTGCAATATTAACCCCCAATCACAGGTTCTGTGATTAGTTGTACTCCTAATGCAAAGATACAAACCCGAGATACAAAATACAAACTCTGATTTTGCACAACTCTTCTGTTATCTGTTTGAAAACCAAACTTGAAAATAATTTGTTTCTGTATTTTTAACTTATGTAGAGCCATGTTGATCATAAGTATATTTTCTAATAAAAGAAACACTCCCAACTGTTCTTCAAGTCCCATTTAGTATATTTAGCTGAAATGTGTCTCTGGGTTCTCTAATTAATTATATTTTTATGGAATCAACTTATGTAGTTTTGTTGATGGTTTAATCATTGTTTGCAGTTTCCCAACCTGTTGTTTGATGAGGAGACGGAGCAATGTGCTGATCTATGTCTGCAGCTGCTGAAGCATTGTAGTTCTCTCCTCAGTAGCATTAGGTCTCACGCTGCTGCCTCACTGTACCTGCTCATGCGACAGAACTTTGAGATCGGGAATGTACGTACTTAACCAATATATCAAACTTATGTTGTCATAAATCATATGTAGAACCAACCATTGACTATACACAGAATAGACTTGAGATCTTGCTTTCCAATAGTTAGCTTACAAGTTATTTAAAGACAAGATGTATTTTCCTTAGCAAATTTTTATATTTTACAAGCAACAAAGAAATGTACAGGTTGTAGAAAATTTGTGCTCCAAAGCATTGGATTGAAACCTTGTAAAATGTAGGCTTGTCTTCTAATTAAATTTGTACGGATGTGAATTTCAAACTGAGAAAAATACAAACACTCGTTTTCTGACAGTACAAAAATGTCAACCAAAATTCAATTGTTAATTTTTGTTTTGGAAACTTTTGCATGATAATTCTATAATACTTCTGCTCTAACTTTCTTAACATTTTTCGTTACAGAATTTTGCTCGAGTGAAAATGCAGGTCACAATGTCTTTAAGCTCCCTAGTGGGAACAAGTCAGAATTTCAGTGAGGCTTCCCTTCGAAGGTCATTAAAAACCATTCTGCTATATTCTGAAGAAGATTTGGAACTCCAAGATACTACTTTTCCAGAACAGGTACAAACTTACAACTTATTATCTTATTACAAAAATATTATAAAATAAATCTAGCCTAGATTATATTTCTTTGCAAATACTTTCTTATAAACCAATAAAACACTATGAATGTATTAAATAAATTTTTGATAAAACCTCAATAAATCTAAATGGTACCATTTTATATATATATATATATATATATATATATATATATAAAATGGTACCATTTAGATTATATATTAGATTATATATAATCTAAACAAAGATTATATAGATCAGATATATAATCAGATATATATATAGAGATTATATACGATTATATAGATTATTTAGATTATATATATATATATATATATATATATATATATATACATGGTGTCCGGTCAGTGTCAATCTTAACAATAGATGTCATTTTTAGATAGATATATAAAAATCCAAATAATAAAAAAATATACTTTACTACACAATTTATAAAGTAGGTTTTAAAAATATTCTGTGAAAATTTCAGCTCTCTTAACACCTCATAGAAACAAAATGGTGGCATAATGAATTTCCTTTATTAACTAATTATTTTAAATTTATTTATTTATTATTATTTTTATTAACTGGCGATGGATCACAGCTTGAATCATTTTAGACTCTACTTTTAGGTTTTTATAAGGCTATGTTCTAGTTTCCTGATGCAAAACCTTAATTCCCTAGAATGTGATAATACAAATATTTTACAAAACCAAAAACACCATTTTAAATGTTTTTAAGGTATCATTTTTCAACATGCCACCAATTTCTTTTTCAAGGGGTAGGGAGCTGAAATTTTTCCAGAATATTTTTTAAACCTACTTTATAAATTCTGCACAGTTTCAAAATTTTCGATGCATAAATATGCAAGTAATACAAAATCAAACAGTTATACCTCATTGTGGGACACCGTGTATATGTTTTTACATAACAACTACCATTATTTTTTGAAATCCTAATTTATCTTTCATTCTCCTACTGTTTGAGTTGGGAACATCAAACATCATTCAATCGCCTTATTATGTTGATTGACAGATAATTTTTTTAAACGCCTATAACCGGAGACCCTGTACAGTATATACATTTCTTTGTTTAACCCTCTCTCTGTCGCAAACAAGTTCCTTAAATGTCACACGGATTTTAACAATTTTGCAGGGTTAATTTACTTACAATTTTTAAACTTATTATTAGGAATAAATATGAACTATTGCATATCATTTTGTTCACCAAATTTCGGAGTATACTAATATATAATAATAATGACACTAACCTGGTACTAAAAACAATTTTCAGCATAGAAATCCTAAGTTGTTTATAAATAATTTTATTTATGGAAGTTTTCATTTGTCACCACTTCAACCCACTTCACCAAGAAACAATTTAAATATAACCAAACTTTAGGAAATAAAATATTGTTTTCAAAAAATGTTTATTGTCTAACCCTAAAAATATCTACACTATGTACAAAAACCTTACGTTGATCACAGCCAAAACACACAACTAACCTCACTAACCTACATTGCCAGTCTGACAGCTGAATACATCGCATATTTACTCATACCTAAATAATAATTAATAAAAACATTTGTCGCCAAACATACAAAGTGGTACTATAAGAAAGCTTATGATTTCTACGTTAAAATAGTGAAAAAATGATGCAGAAATTATTAAAATTATGCAAACGGGAGCATTCAAGTGAACGCTTGCTAAATGGATCGGAATTCCGACTTTGACAGTTCACAAATGGCGTAAATGCGTCGGAAAACCGGCGTGTAACAGAGAGAGGGTTAAAGTTCATTCATGGTGATGGTGAGATTATGTTATTTTGTTATTTAATATATTATTTTGGACATTGTCCATCATGATTAGTAAAGACCTTTAGTGAAAGATTTGAATTTGACTTAATGTGATGTAATATGTCTGTATTAATGTCTCAAATACATACTTGTGTGTATTTTTGATTTAGGTTTGTTTGCCAAACCTAACACCCTTCAATACATTTATATGCTAGGTCTGATTTTGAAAGATTCTGTCAAGAATGTAGCACTAATGCCTATATATTATTCAGGTGAAGGACTTGGTGTTCAATCTTCACATGATCCTGTCAGACACAGTGAAGATGAAGGAGTTCCAAGAAGATCCCGAGATGTTGTTGGACCTCATGTATCGTATAGCCAAAGGATACCAGAACTCTCCTGACTTGCGCCTAACCTGGCTGGCAAATATGGCTCAGAAACACATGGAGGTAACAGTGCTCTCAACAAACAGCCTCTATTCATTTTTTACTTTAAAATGTTTTATTCTTTAATAATTCCTTACAACTTATCCCATTACTAGAAGAATATTCACACAACGAACATTGGAGGGAGAGCACTTTGCTTAGAGATACATTAGGAAAGGAATAGATAAACACAACTAACTTATCCAAGAAAAGAGTTCCAGGCAGTTGATTGTATCAACAACACATGAAATAAAACACGATGAATATTTTGCCCCTACAAGTCAACGTAGTAGAATGGGCGCAACAAAACTTATCTGAACCGTCTAAATCAATCTTGCCAACAGACATCTTTCTAATCACTAATTATTTAATTGTTTGTTTTTTTTACCCTTTCAACTCTCCTACCGGCTGTGAGCCGACATTGGCCGTTTTGCAACCGTTTCACATTACGGCAAAAACTTTTTTTGAAAATATAAAAAAATTAAATTTTATTTGTTATTGTTAATAGGCTATAATTTGAAGTTAAAATACAGGTAGGTTTAATGATCTGCATAATAAATTAAACTTAGGACATGGTGGCGGAGCCCTAAAATGATAGGAGGTGAAAGGATTAAGGTTAAGAATAAAAATTGAATTCAGGTATCAAACAGGATTCATGTTTTCTTTATTTTTAATTTTTTTTTAGTTCAAATATTCATTTATCACCATATTTGTTATTATTTCAGCGAATCTAGGCCATCAACCAATAACCAAAGAAACAAAAAATATTATCTTACGAAATCAAACCAAAAAGTGTAACTAATAAATAAACTCAGGTCAAACCACGGTTTAAGCTTAAGCTTTTCCCTAAAGCTTAAGTCAATTATGACTCCCAGAATTGCATACCTCTTATTCTTATAGCTGTAAATTAGTATCTATCACTAAGCAAGCATGTAGTACCAGTTACAAACCATGTGTTTAAACCATCTATGGGAAGGAGGTCTGTGTCAATTTACTTGACAGCAAGTAAAAACAACTAATAAAAAACCACTAACTGAAAAATTCATCACAAAGCCATATATGTATATATACCTGTAACCCAGCTGGTAATGCTGCAAAGGGTTAACTATATAGCTCATTGTCAGAGTTACAGAGTGAGCACTTCTATGTCCTCACCTTAATTTGAACTGCACTTAATGCTTGAACCGCACCTAATTAGTTCACATTGGTCCCAAACCAGGATAACAAATTCTACTCCTTATGATGGAGCTGCATTCCATCCACTGCTGTTTTTGAATGGTGATTAAAGTCTTGTTTAAACTGCAATTGTTAATGTTGCAGCACAACAATCACACAGAAGCAGCAATGTGCTTGGTTCATTCTGCAGCCCTTGTGGCAGAATATCTACACATGCTAGAAGACCAGCCTTATCTACCCAAAGGTGCTGTTAGTCTGGAAGGGGTTACTCCTAATGCCCTAGAGGAATGTGCTGTTTCCGAAGATGTGCTTAGTCCTGAAGAAGAGGGTGTTTGCCTTGGCAAAGACTTCACTGAGAGTGGACTCATTGGATTGTTAGAACATGCTGCTAACTCCTTCTATTCGGTAATTTTACAAAATTCCCAGTTAATTTTCTATAGATATATTTTTATCAAGTCTACTTTTTACAAAAAATTCAAAATAAATATTTTTGTTTTGGAAATTAGTATGTGTACTTGTTTAAAATTCAACTATATTATATATTTTTTTTTGTCACTTTTTTTTATTCCATAACAATTGGTAAAATAATTTCCCCAATAGTAATAATAATGAAGTTTTGGATTAAGTCTCTGACTCCTACTCAGAATATAGGAACACTCACACAGTGGATCTCTGATAAGCCAAATAAACTAAATTTAATAACCAAAGCCTCCAACGTGCGAATCAAACTCCCTCTAAAGTTTCTTCATTCGTAGGCTTATGCGGCCGGTGTCATCTCTGAATTACTCTTCCAGTGAGAGGTGCGTCAAATTGGTTTTGTACATACTTTAATTACCAACTTGATGCGGTTCCTACGGGAAGACCAAGAATTCCCTCGAAAGTTAATTGAGCGAAGAATTACTTTAATCAATTAATTCCCCTAATAATATTATAAGTCAGTAATATGTGTGCTAAATGTAAACATTCTTTAAATTAAATGATTTTGGGTTAAGTAGTTGAAACCATGTGTATTATAATGTGTTTTGCAGGCAGGGATGTATGAAGCTATGAATAACGTATACAAAGTTATGATCCCCATCACTGAAGCTAACAGGGATTACAAGAAGCTCGCCAACATCCATGGGTGCGTACTATTTGTCTCCCGGTTTATTAAGGATTTTACACTTTTCAGACTTGTAAGCTTAAACTAAAGATTACTTAAGTCATATGATTTATTACATCCCACGCTATAGATATAAGTCAAAGTCAAAGTCAAAACATTCTTTATTCATTGTTTTGTAGCGTAAGTACATTGAACATGCGTTAATGTACCCTAACATATGTATAAGGCCTGATGTGTGAGATGTCACAGCTACAATAGATCATTTTCTATATTTTTGCTTTTAAAGTACTATATTTCCAAGAACACTACTTCAATAAATCCTTTGTTTTTTTTCAATAATAAACTCTTCAAGTATTTGCCTCGTGGTTAAAGTATGTTTTAACAGTTACCATTTCTCTATGGGGATATTATTTTTTGATTTCAGCAAGTTGCACGATGCCTTTAACAGAATGGAACAGTTGCAAGGGAAGAGGGTTTTTGGCACATATTTCCGTGTCGGTTTCTATGGTTCAAAATTTGGAGATCTAAATGGAGAGGAATTCATCTACAAAGAACCAACCCTTACCAAGTTGCCAGAAATATTCAGTCGACTAGAGGTGAGTTAGTTGTCCAATTATTTCAAAGTTAAATAAAAATCTAAGAATTTCAATCCTATTTTTAATTACTGTATTTAGTTCACAACTCTTGAAAAACAAATTTTAAATTTAGAAAAAACTGTTTACCAAGCTATACTTTCACTTTTATCTGCACATTGATTAACCCAAGATTATAAGCGCTATCGTAAATATGCTTTTGTATATAAATAGATTGGAATTTACTCAATAGTCAATAGACACTTTATGACACTACCATAGAGTAAGGGTAGTGACAAGGGTCGGGTAGTGTCAACAAGGTGTAGTGTCTGAGGGTCGCTCAGACTGTCGACACAAACCACATGACAATAAACATTTTGTTTTCAACAATGTCAAAGGCATTCCTTTCTCCCATATGACCTGCTTTGCTCAGTAAACGTGGAATCAAATCTAGTCATGTATTTTATAATTGAAAAATAAAGTTCGGAGTGAATAAAAAATGAAAGTGCTGGAAAAATGCCGGAGGTTCTCTGCAAAATACACATAACAATCTGATTCTCAACAGCCATTTCAGTCATACTATGAGTTTTAGTCTAATTGAAGTGTAAGCAAACAAACCAACTAGATCATATAGAAAATTCCTCTGACACCCTGTGTTTTATATTTTGCAGAACTTTTATGCTGAACGCTTTGGACCTGACAACATGGTAATCATCAAAGATTCCAATGTTGTGGACCCTAACAACCTAGATCCAGACAAAGCATATATTCAAATAACCTACGTGGAACCTTACTTTGAGCCATACGAATACAGATACAGGTTAACTCATTTTGATCGGAACTTTAACATCAGTAAGTATCAGTTCATCAAACTTATTCTACTTGAATTTAGTCAATACTTGAATATCACTTCGTTGGAAAAATTGAATTTAAAATTTTTAGGGTTTTTGTTAATTGGGTTATGAGGAACTATGTGAATAATTCAACCATACATTTATATAGACTGATCAAACATTTATCATCAAGGTCCTGATCCAACTGTAGTCGTGGATAAATTAAAATACACCCAGTGGTTAGACCTGTTCCAAACTGGCTATTGTTCAGAGGTTCAGCTACGGCTCCCTTGTCATTGCCCCCCCCCCATTGAACCCCCTTACTTGTTGTGGATAGAAATATGTTAACACTGACTAATTTGTGTGTAATTAGGTATTGGATTGACAACAAATTTGAGAGAAACTACATTATTGTATTGTTTTATTTTTATTTTTAATATGACTAATAGTCGACTTGGATCCAAATTTTGTCCATATATTGGTAAGACAATTAATGCACATGTATGGTTTTAAATCATACCCATCTACTAGACTGCAAGCATCTGAAAAACAGTACTGTGTCACATCTACAGAGATTTGTGTTTCTGCAGAGTGATCATATTTATGATTAGACCAATTAAAGTTTTGCATTGTAAAATCTTTTTATGTCACCTCCTAGAAGTACCAAATCACTGTCAAGTTATAACCTTGACAGGTGCAGCATTCAATGGTCCATGCATTGAATTTTATATATTGTCAAAGCTTGAAATTTTTAGCACTATGATTTATTTTGCCTATCTTTGCAGAACGTTTTGTCTATGCCACACCATTCACTGCCAGTGGTAGAGCACATGGAGAGTTGCATGAACAGTATAAGAAGAAAACAATCTTACAAACAGCAAATCATTTCCCTTACGTGAAGACCAGGATTCAAGTTGTGCACCGGAAACAAGTGAGTATTTGTTTTATATCATATAAAGGAAAACAGTTGTCTTTTTGTCCAGCCACAATTGGTGACACATTTCACGATAGCCTGTTTACAATAATAAGAAAAGTGGAAAACTGTTTATTAAGGTAGGAGAACTTATGCAACATGCAATCACAAATAGAAAAAATGCAACTAGTGGCGTTTTCTGGTTTTTAGTTTGGCCTAGGGCTTTAATTTCATATTTTATTAACCTATGTGCAATGTTTAGATGTAAAAGTTTTGTGTAGTAATTGACAAATCCCTTAGCTAAACTTCACATTGTTTTAGCTGATGATTACACCATTTTGTTAAAACATTTCCCAACCTCCACATACATGTAAATAATCTAGAGCTGATTAACGGTTTGGTGAGAATATATTGAATATTTTAGACACACATTCATGAAGAGCGCAAAACGTCAAATACCAGCAACATTAGTAATTTTATCTTTCATAAGTTTCTGTTTTACTAATCCAGGGTTTCCACACAACGGGAATTCCAGGAATTAAACTTAGTTTTATAGTGGCATGAGTTTGCTGGGAAATTCGTAAAAAAATATGAGGATGCTTTCCTGTAATAAAATATTGCGAAATAATACTGAAATAATAAAATGTAAAAGTAACAATAGGATATTGGGGGGACCAAACGTGTACACGCAACGCGGCGTTAAACGCACAGTCTTTGAGTTAAATGTGTCTATGTCTACATGTGTCAACAACCACATATAAGGTGTAATTTGTTTGTTGTGTAATGTTTGTGTTCAATTTTAAATTTTAAATTGTATGAAAAAATATAGAAGATGATAAACCTGAAGATGTGGCAGTCACCACGAAACATTTTTGTTTGAACAAATACCCTAGGATATTTTTAAGGTAATGAAATTCTATTTATCAACAAAATATTTGATGGAGTGGCAGCTGTGTACATTATAAGCAGCCCCATCCAGGTTGATGACCTGATCATGCGTGAACGAGTTATGCACGTGTCCTAAACAACCGTCTGTAGGATCCTTGAGTGTTGCCAACGCCGGCGCAATGATATCTCTATTGGATTGTGGATACCAATCACATTGTTACCTGTTAGTTAATATCCATCAGAGGTTTGTTGTTAATCCCATGGTGAATATAGTAATTGTAATTAATTGCGTTGTACACAATTACCTGTATATAGAACTTGTAATATTTCCGTACAAAAGTTATAAGACTTATAAGCATTTAATTAATCAGCAGAGAAATATCCGGGAATTCTTAAAGTACCGGTGGGTAAATCTGGGAATCATACAGGCATTTTTAAAAGTCAGTTCTGTAGACAACCTGTAATTACATAACAAATACTTTGCATCAGAAGTCTTTTATTTCAGATGTTGTTTAATACCATAGTTAATAATAACAAAATGTACCCTATTTTTCAGATGGTTTTAACTCCTATTGAAGTAGCCATTGAAGACATTCAGAAGAAGACAGTTGAGCTAGCTCACGCTACCCAGCAAGATCCTCCTGACCCCAAAATTCTTCAGATGGTCCTTCAAGGCTGTATAGGTAAAGTTGATAAAGAATGTAGTTCCTGTAAACATCTTTTACAAATTTACCTAATGTTTTATTTTGCAACTATACAGCTGTCAATAACATAAAAAAAAATTGAACGGAACTGTAATGTATCCATTACAAAACATCAATTACGCAGTGAAATATTAACTGCACTCTATCTGACTGATCATAGGACAGGAAAATAATAGTTATATATAATAGTTATTGAAATTAAAGAATAGTTTTTAAAACTAGGTAATGTATAAGGCTAAAACTAGAAAAATATATTAATCATTAAAACTAGTCACAGGTACATTTAGTTCTGAGCATAAAAATCCTAGTCAATAGTCTCTATTCATATTGTCAAATCTTCATCAATAGGTTAAATTGGCAAAAATTGTGACCAACGTTTTGGATGCGTTCAATTGTAGTTGCTCTTCATATGCAAAAAGAAAACGTCTTTTGTACCGCCTCATGATGGCTCCACATACTGTAGGAGCAGAAACTAGTTGCATTTTTAATTTAAATGGATTGCCTAACAACATTTATTTAAACCTTATTTAATTTGAGTAAAAGTCTGATCAGGCAAATGGTAATTCGCTTAGTGTGGAGGTTTGCTGTGGGGGGGTATTTTTGCATTATTTTGTGTGTTGCAAGATGGATTATTTTAAGGCATATGTCAAATAGATCTGCTGATTAATCACTATGAATAAAAACATTTCTAGGTATACTACTATAGGTGTACTATAATACACATGTATATTAGTTAAAGCAGGTAGTGAGGAGATAATTGATGAGAATCAAATCTAAACTTCTTTTATTTGCTAAAAATATTTTAACAATTGCAGGCACTACAGTCAACCAAGGACCAATGGAGATGGCTGTGGTTTTTCTGTCAGAATTTGCTGATGGTAAAGGAACCCCAACCAAACTGCAGAACAAACTCAGATTGTGCTTCAAAGACTTCTCTAAAAAGTATGTTTGAGTAAAATTGATAATAGTATTATTTAACAAATTCTACAATGTTTCAGTAGGTAAATCTGTTAAGTGTGTAAGATAGTTGTGTGTTTTATTTGTTATAAATAAAATACCATACTTAGTACAGTACTTTAAAGCATTACCTGTCCACAATGGTCACAATACAAGTCATAAACTAATCAATCTGTGACAGCTATAGGCTTCAAATATGTTAAATTAACGTCTATATTGAGGCACAACTCGTTTTCTATCAAGGGACTTATGAGTTATTTATTATCGTAAAACTTTAAATGCTACAGTCATGAGACACTGAGAATACTAGGCTACAAGAGAGGAATTGGGAATCAACTCCCAGGGAGAAACTAAGCTTAATGTTTCTTGTGTTTTACCAGTTCAATTCAGTATTTTCTCTCTTAACCAACTCTCACTGGACTGGGCTTAGGGTATTTTAGATATCTTGTAAATTAAAAACTCAGCGGCATTCATTAAAAGCTTAGTTTGCAATGATTCCTTATAGTATACAGGGTGTCCCGGAACTCTATACCAATATTTTAGGGCATTGCTCCTGGGTAAGAAACATACCTAAATATCAAATTTAAATTGTCCGGAAGTCCTTAGTTACTCACACAGCCGCCATTTTTTTTTTTAAGTTATAAATTTTTTTCTAAAGAATGGTTAAACATACAAAATTGAAACTTTGCACACACATTTATGACAACTAGACAAAGCTACCAAAAAATTAAGAAGATTTTTCAAATTCATAAAACAAAATGGCGGCCATTTTAACTTTTGTTTCCTAAATAAATCGAAAACCGTTGATTTTACAAAAAATTTACAATTATAACTTTTTTAAGGCAATTTTATTACAAATCGATTGACACTTAAAGATTGGACGAGTATTAACTGAGATATGGTAGTTTTAGTGAGGTTAGTTGCAGCGCATGCTGAAAACGGTCACGTATCACTAAAACCACCATATCTCAGTTAATACTCGTCCAATCTTAAAGATTAAGATGTCAATCGATTTGTAATAAAATTGCCTTAACAAAGTTATAATTATAACATTTTTGTAAAATCAACGGTTTTCGAGTTATTTAAGAAACAAAATTTAAAATGTTTTTGTTTTATGAATTTGAAAAATCTTCATAATTTTCTGGTAGCTTCGTCTAGTTGTCATAAATGTTTGTGCAAAGTTTCAATTTCGTATGTTTAACCATTCTTTAGAAAAAAAATTAATAACTTAAATAACAAAATGGCGGCTGTGTGAGTAACTAAGGACATCCGGTCAATTTAAATATGATATTTAGGTATGTTAATTACCCAGGAACAATGCCCTAAAATATTGGTAGAGAGTTCCGGGACACCCTGTTTATAGCTTAGGTCTACTCAAGTAACAATGAAAAAATGCTAAGTAATCATGTTGGTGACATAAATCTTCAAATTTACTCTACTGTAGGAAAACTGTGTCTAATATATACTTTGCATGAAGAAAAACACACAAATTTAAATTGGCATGACTCTATTTCATCACGTTGAGAAGTATGAAAACCAAAGTCAAATTTATAGATTCCTGGACAAATTTTGTTAAGCCAAGTTTCAAAATATAAGTTACATAAAACCTACCTATTTTTGTGTGGGGAGAGGATTTTAATTGAGAGACGATTTATCAAGGGTATCCACAAAACAAAAAAATTCTGACCCGCAGACCCCTAGTTTAATCTGATGTAACTGAATTTTGCAGGCACGAAGTCTCAATCTTTTACGGATAACATAGATTTAGGTATGTTCAACTGAAGACTTTGTTGGGATATCCATGCACCTGTTTTGCGCATGCCAAGGTCAACATTTCCTCCCTTGCTACATGGGAAACAAAATTTAGTCATTTTAACTTATATTTGACGTATAAAACTTTTATTTACCTTGATTAGAACCAAAACAATTACCATTTAAAATCCTGGCAATCGTTTGTGGACACCCTGTATAATCATTTAACAAAGTTTAATACAGAGTTTGTACAGAGTGTCCCACAAAGAGGTTGAGACGTTTGATTTTATATTACCAGCCCAAATATGCTCCAAAAGCTTTGAAACTTCAAACTTGGCACAGTTTATAAAGTCGGGTTTGAAAATATTCTGTAAAAATTTCATCTACTTAATATTTGTAAAAACAAAATAATAGTATATTGACAAATTTACCTATTTGTTTTATGCCAAAATTACTTTCTATTAACTGATTCATTTAATGTTTAATGTGTTGCAGTTTTGACACTTATTGTTGATTAAAGAATATTGCTTGAGCCATAAAAACCTCTAGTGCAGTTCTACTGAAACTCACATTAGAGGAATGACTTTTATTTACCGGTAATGTTTAACAACACAAGAAATGTTGTGTGTGTGATATTGATTTGGCGTTGTTTTAGAAGCAGTTATACAATTTCAGGTGGCCTACCCGAGAGTTAAACCATCTAGAAGTCCAACAATAATCAAGGGGACAATTTTTTTGTTAGAAACTGATTGTGTTAAAACAAATTATAGGCTAAATGAGATATTAATACCAAATCAAACATCTAAACCTCTTCATGGGACACCCTATTTACCTATTGGATCTCTTGCTAGCCCTTTTCTTAACTTTTGTGGAATTGCTCAAGAACAATGCCATGGATTAAGCTGTATGTGCTCACATTGATTTGTGTATTTCAGGTGTTCGGATGCTCTGAGGAAGAACAAAAACCTCATAGGGCCAGATCAACGAGACTACCAGAGAGAGTTAGAACGCAACTATCATCGGTTCAGCGATCGACTAGTTCCACTCATCACATTGCGCAACAAACTTCCTCACACATAAATAGCTAGTGTGTCCTTATCTACTTCTGATTTTCATATTTGAAAGAATAGTTTTTCACCAAAGCAATTAGGAGACTCGCACAATAAATAATACTTATTTTTTAATTATGTATATATAGTTTTTAAGTTTTTCCTAAGTTTTTTATTACTTTAAACATTTGTTGATTCATATTTTAGTAAAATTGTACTTAACTCTATTTTTATAGTCAGTAAGGGTGTATAACACTGGTTTAGTGAAGCTGGCTTTAATAAAGAACAAATTGAGTTTTATTTATTTTTTTATTTGAGTTATAGCGCTCTAGACCCGACATATATATATATTTTCTGTATATTATTTAAATTTACTTAGACCTGTCAAGATATAGCAATGTAGCCTATGTCATACAGTTTTGTTTGTTTTTAGTTTTATACTGGTAAAATTGATTAAATTTGCCAATTAGTACTTTTATAATGCATTACACTATTGGTGTGTGTTGTGGCTGGACGATCAGCGTAATCCACCCTCTGTCCTGAAGACCCTCTGTCCTAAAAACCCTGTGATCTAGAGATTGTCTGTCCTGGAGACTGTCTGTCCTGGAGACCGCCTGCCTTACAGACCTTCTGTCCTCGAGACCCTTTGTCCTATATACCCTCTGTCCTAGAGACTGTCTGTCCTGGAGACCGCCTGCCTTACAGACCTTCTGTCCTCGAGACCCTTTGTCCTATATACCCTCTGTCCTAGAGACTGTCTGTCCTGGAGACCGCCTGCCTTACAGACCTTCTGTCCTCGAGACCCTTTGTCCTATATACCCTCTGTCCTAGAGACTGTCTGTCCTGGAGACCGCCTGCCTTACAGACCTTCTGTCCTCGAGACCCTTTGTCCTATATACCCTCTGTCCTAGAGACTGTCTGTCCTGGAGACCGCCTGCCTTACAGACCTTCTGTCCTCGAGACCCTTTGTCCTATATACCCTCTGTCCTAGAGACCCTCTGTTCTCGAGACCCTCCGTACTAAAGACCCTCTGTCTCCTGGAGAACTGGATAAAAATCCTGCAAACCACAAATGGTAATTTACTGAGTGATAATGTCACCCAATAGATAAGATTAAGCCTTAAGCTTGATAGATCCACTAAACAAATAACCAAAATATAAGTCTCTCAGCTAAAGAGGTTTTTACTACATTGGAGATCTCTCTTCTTTGAAAGGCCAAGTGATTAATTTTCACAAAATTGCTGTTTTGTAAAATAAATTATACATAGGCTAGGCTTGACCAAGCTTTTTCAAACATTTTTCCTATGTTTCAGCATCTTATCCTTGGAAATTTATCAACAGCCATCACCTAAATACCACCATTGTTTCTTAATTCAGGCTATACTTGATAAAAAATGTCAATTTATTTTAGTATCTTGTTTATAATTTACATTTTCAAGCTAATATTTTATATAACATGTGTATGTCTTAAATGTGATCAGTTACTTTACCAGAACTAAAAAACTCTTATTCCTGACTTATAGATTCCTTTTTGTCCAGTCAGTCGTGCAGACTTATATTATTAAAATATATTTTATTAAAGCCAAAAAGAAACACCTTTATCAGCTATATTTTATTAAGTTCTTATTATTTGATTAAAAGTCAAATTTTTACATTTTTGTATTGTGCATTTTTATTGTTTATTTTTTACAAATATATAATTAAAACCCAATGTGGGTGATGTATTGCATGAATTATTTTATGATTGTATGTCTAGTTCACAAATGAGCTTTTTACATGACAAATGTAAGTTTTCTAATTTTACTGTCAAACTTAATCAGGAACATTAATAGTTTTAATAAAATATGAAGATATTTTGTCATGTTTTGTGGTAATGCTTTGCTTAATAAAACCAAATATAATAGTGATTTTATACAGTTTATTCTATTTGCTACCTCCATTAAAATAATTTTTTTTATAATAAAGTGTATACAGGCCTACTAAATAATTAAAAATTTTTGAAACATGTTTTCAAAGGTTAGTTTAGTTAGGACTTGTACTTCAGATATTAGGCATAACAACTTACCTAACAGCTAATGACACACGGTTTATTGAATATAATAACTACAGTAGAACTCCAGTTTTTCAGATATTATTTTTTTAAACTATCTTATTGGAAAAAAAGGAAGAAATAAACAGAAAATTTAAATTTGCAATTTTACAGCAGTTATTTGATTTCACACCTTATGTAAAAACTTAGGGTCGTTTTCCAAGTAAGGACTCTTTGTGTGGCTTCTTAGTCCGCGTGTATACCGCAGTGAGGATCATCCCCGCTTACTGGCTCCTTTTGCAGCTCTGTAGCTGAGGTGTACACTTTGCTGTGTGTCTAGAAATCTTTTTTAAATTATTGAATCACTCGCCACATGCAAGATAAGATCAGTGATATGGTTTTGACTGCAAGAAACATATCGGCTGCAGATATTCATCTCCAGATAACTGAAGTTTATGGCCCTAGTAAGAAAAAGAATAACAATCCATTTATTGTCGTTTGTCAATTTACATTGCTATAGACAACGTCAAAGAACAAAAGAAAATACAGTAATATGCAGTATAAGAGGAAAGAGTACAATGTACTTGTCAGGCTAAGAGGTATAAGAGAATAAAACATCACAAATAGAAATAACAATTAGCAACAAATCAGTATAAACTATAAAAATTAATAGTAAATAAATTACAACTAATTACCAAAGCATCATTGGATCAAAGCTCATAAATATTAAGTTAAAATTTATATGCTAATAGTTCATCAAGATAATAAAACACTTTATTTATAAACCAGCTTGACAGTTTTGATTTAAATGGTTGGATTTCAAGGTTTCTGATCTCTGGTGGCAATTTATTGAAACACTTGATTTGTAGGTATTTGTGGCTGACTATAGTTTTCCACAATCTAGAAGGGTGTGACGATATCTTGTGCTCTTCTAGTGTTATAATTATGAACTTTGTCAAAACATACATAATCACTCTGGTTTTCCTTTACATATACAAGATTTTGAAATATGAAATTTCAAGGGACAGTCATTTTATTGTCATCAATAAAACATTGCTTACAGTCATCTTGATAAGGTAAATTGGCCAAAATCCTTACTGCTTTTCTTTGCCAAGCAAAAACATGGATACCAGCTCTACTATTTCCCCAGAGCATTGTGGCATACAGCAAATGGGAATGAAAATCACTAAAACAAGTATTTAACAATATATTTCTACCAACACATTGTTGTAGCTTACGTAGAAAAAAAAACAGGCCCTTGAAAGTTTTGAAACTACTGAGTTGGTGTGAGATTCCCATGTAAGCTTCTGATCTAAAGTGACCCCTAGTTATTTAACAGGCTTACAGTCTTCCTCTGAGTCTATTTTTTTTTTCAAAGTAAAACAGATTGTTCAGTCTTTGTTGGCAAAAGGAAAAGGATTTTCATCTCACATTTTATACTCCCTAACTCATTATCGCTCTTGACCCTCACTCATTGCTCTAGGGCCATAACCTTCAGTCATCTGGCAATGAATGTCAGCATCTGATATGTTTCTTGTGGTCAAAAAATATCTCTGACACTGACCGTATCTAGCATGCGGCAGATGATTCAATAATTTTAAAAAATGTTCTAAATACACAGCAAAGCGTTTACTCAAGCTACAGAGCTGCAAATGGCGCTGTTCTGTTCACAAATGATGCCAGTAAGTGGTGGCTATGAGCCTCGTTGTGGTGTACATGGGAACTAAGAAACTGCACACACAAACAGCCCAAACTTGAAAAACAAACTTTGAGTATCACACAAAAATAAAAGTATATTTCCTGTTTACAATTCCCTCAGCATTTTCTCCCTTGTGTAGTAGTGACTGCCTTTTTCTTTGTTGCTCAGGTGTCTTTGCGGAAAGTTTAACTTAATTCAAAAATAAATATACTTCTCAAAAATCTTTGAGAAATTAAAATAAAGTAATCATGTGATCAATCTTCAAATTGTTTGAATTTTCATGACCATTCATTTGAATTTAGGTTATGACTTCAACGTTTTTAGATTTGATTTATTAGGTTTGTTTTCAATTTATAGATTTGAACATTCTAGTTTCTGCCATCAATATCACACATTTATTTTCACAATAATTCAACTAATATCACACATTTTATTACAAGTGCAGTTGTTATGTTACTTTGTCTACATTTAACTCACAGGAATTAAAATAATAACAAAATTCCTACTTTTCACGGTAACAAAAAAAAAAACAAAGGTGTATTCCTAGTCAGTCAATATAACATTATATATCAGGGGATTTGGAAATCAAAAACTTTATCTCTTGCCTTAAAAAAAACTTTAAGTCTTTTACAAAGATGTTTTACATTAAGTATTTATAGGGTTGAGCTTAGATTAGACACACTCCTAAATACATCCACACCATAGTAACATGCTTGGAAGAGTGTTAAATATTGTATACTAATCTCTAATCTAATATTAGAATTGCAGAATATGCAACCACAGCAGGTACATCTTTATTTTTCTAAATTGATTACAGATGAGGGCAGTTAAACAATTATTCTTAAATGCCATTAAAATCATTAAAACTAATTTTCATGAGGTTACTGTGCTGTAATATCCAGGTTGTCCTCGAATTTTCCGCCTCCCATAAACCTCTATAAGTTTAAGTTATAATGGTTCCAAAAATGTATTAAGATACTGGAAAGGACACAGTATAGCGTTTATCTAACTAACTGTTTATTAAGCCAATTCCAAAACATTGTGATTATTTAAACTTCATACCTGAGTGACTCATTAGAAATGACTGGAAGCGATTGTGCTGAATAAACATTGTTCTTGTTTATTTATCTTTGGCCATGCAGCAAGCAATTTCTTATCTAGCTCAGCATTAGCTATTGATAGCATTATTATTGATAAGGATGAGGAAAACTAATAATTCTTGCTGTAGATGTTATGATTTTATTTGCTTTATTCTGACAAAGATTAACTCAATTCATCCAAACTAATAGGTGTGGACAAGTTTTGTTATTAGACTACATAAAAAACATAAAATCCATACAAATAAAGTTTGAAGCAGTCAATTTCAGTATTCTACTTTAAATTGATTCTGGAGATTTCCCTCAGCCCACATACTTCCAACAAATTGTTAAATTGTTTAAGCATGTCTGACGCTATCTATCTGGCCCTGGCTGGTCAAAGACAAAGAGGAGGTAATAGGGTAATAAGGTAAGGTCCACCTACTTGGACTTATGAGTTAGTAAATAAACCAGATTCTGATAGGAGTAAATATGAATTCAAATTAAAATATTGCCCTGATGCTTAATGCATATACAGTACTAAATTTTCTATAATAAACTATTGGTTTAACTAATTTTTGACATAGGTACTTAAAGATCTACTTTCATGACTCCATGAGAAAAAAAACAAGGCAAGGATATCAAGATATTCTGGTGGAGCTGGACGAGACTTAGAAAAATAAATTATGGAGAAGATGCCGTAAGGTTCATAACAAATGATTCTTTCTCCATAGTGAAAGGCTTTTTAAGAACCTGTGAGAATTTGACTTTCTTCTTTTTCATCTTCATTATACAATAACCCGAGGGATAGAAACACATGTGTCTAGCGGTTCACATATTATGGTGTGACATCAATAATTAAGGTATTTGTTTTTTATCTTAAGTTGTACAAAATGTTGATTTAAATGTCCTAAGATTGAGAATTAGAATTCCTAACCATTATATATTCCAATCTATTTTGCCAATTAATCGTCTCATCACATAACCATATAAAAATACTTGAGAAAATTTCTCAGTTAACAACATTTCGAAATAAAATAGTTTTATAAAGTATAGTTACCCCAGAGAATTCTTTTGAAGGTTGCATTTCTAATAAGAGATAACTTGCTTATTGCTAAACAAAACAATAATACCCCTGCTGCAGCAAACCTGCATACTAAGTGATTATCCATTTGTCTGATTAAATTGTTACTAAAATATTTCCTCTAACATGTCAAATGTATTCCTTATTATTAAATAAAAGTAGATTTAAGGAGTACTTAGGTTTATACTGCTTCAGGGAAGGGAAGGTAGGTATTTTTTTGGAAAATGTCAATAGTATAGTATAAAATGAATAATTAGCCAAATTAAAAAAAAAATTATCCATAAACAAGCAAACTGCAACAATTTATTTGTTCTCCATAAAAAATCAAAGAAAAAATTTAACTGTAGGCCTACAGTTTTTTTACATTATTTCTATAATTTTTTATTTTAAAACAACGCTTCAATGTACAAAATAATTTTTCTTAAGCTCTACACAGTGGCTAAGGTGAAAACTGACCATTTTCATGTTTTAGAGTGAGAAATGTGTAAAAACATTTTTTTTTTTAGTTTTAAAACTCCTTAACTCTTTGATTACCCAATCTTGTTGGTTGATGAACTCCACTTCATCATGTTTATCCTGTCCTACACAGTCATGACAAAATTTCACTAAAATCAGACAAAAATTACCCTAGTTGTCGTGTTCATGGACACATACACAACTCAAATACATTAAAATTATTATGAATAGTGTTTTTGGCCTCTGGATGAAAAGATGAATCAGTCCCGGGTCTAGGTATTACCAATTAACATGCAACCTACGGTGATAGCTTCCACTATAGGGAAAGCTTGCTAAAAATTAATTAAAGTTCTTTTTTAGCAAATTTCCCATGTAGGGAATATTAGCGAATTTCCCATATGAAATAAGCTATTACCGTAGGTCTCATGGTAAGACCTGGACCAGGGACTGATTTACTTTTTGGTTTTGAGGTCCCCAGAGGCCAAAAACACCATCCGTTCAAATTCACATATATATTTTTATATATTTTTATATATTATATATATAT